AGCAAACGTTAGATTTGTATCCACACTAAATCGCATATCGTTTTCAACCGATCGCTTCACATCATTACTCATCCAAGAAGTTTTGACACAGATGACAATGAAAATACGATTTTATCTCAAAGACAAAGCAAACTATGATGAGGACTATGCTAGGAACAGGACAAAGGTAGCATGCACAGCATCCAGTGGTTATTATAAATGTTTCATGACTAGAAAAAATTCAATTTCAGAGTTGTAGGGCCTCGAAGGGGTGAGAAAAGCAAACGATACTGGGAAAACGAAATGAAAAACATTCGATAAAAATTAGTCTTCAAACATAAATCTTCGGGGCATGAACTGTAATGAAAATTATGAAAGAGAGGAAAACAGACCATGATGATGTTGAGATCCTCCTGAGCAATATTCTCCAACGAGACTTGTTTGATAGCAACAAAGTCTCCGTTCTCCAAATCCAACCCTTTGTAAACTCGACCATATGCTCCTTTCCCAATTTCATCTCCAAGCATCTTTACGAAGTAATGAAAAAGAAGGTCAGCATCTTAATTCTTACAACAACCATTCAAAATGGACTCCGAAATTTCCGAAATTTTAATTTCTACAGTATTGCCTCAAATGCTAGTGCTCAGAATCCAAACTGTAGCTCCTTGATCACACTTCTTAGGAACCAAGTAGCAAGCTTACTTCCATACTTGCTATAATCCAAATCCACAATATTGTATGACAGATTGTAGAAAAGCAATGTTTCTGTTCACTGACCAACAGTAACTGCACATATGGAAAGGCTAACCGACTGAAATTACGACCAGATAATGGTCCGATGAAGCAAAGCCATTGGCAGTTAACTATAATCGGCATTCTAATTGATAATCGGAATCTAAAGGGTTCAGAACAGGACAATTCCAGAAATCCGCAAACTGATTTCGCTGGTAATCAACCAAATCGATTGAGTGGCAATCCACCAAAGGGGACAGAACCCCTACAGTCCTGAAGACTTGAACCAACAAGAAGTAAAACAAAACGAGCACAGAGAATGAAATGAGAAATCTATGCCCCAATTGCACGCGACGAGGAGAGCAGGGAAGTGCAGGAATTAAGCCTCGAGAAGAAAGGTGAAGGTAGAATATGCTCGAAGACAGAAGCCATGGAAGGGAATTGAAAGAGAATTGAGCTCACATATTTGTTGTCGAGAGTTTTGGATTTGTGGAAATGCGGAGTCGTTGATTGACGAGACATTTCTCTTTCGCCGGTCGAAATGGCCCCGACTAACTACGGAGCAAGGCTTAAATAGTCTCCATTACACGGAAAAACGCAGGCGCCTTAAACTTCGCCGGATTCCGGTGGCAGCAACCACAGACCTCCGACGACCAGGAAGAAAAGGTAGGACGGGAAAGAGCGAGGCGACGGAGAGAGAGAGGAGATCGGAGGGGTTTTTGCTTCTTTATAAATAACAAAAAATTGAAAAGAAATGGATCAAGGAAATGGACAGAGTTTCGTGCTGGGAAACAGATGGACTCCAATTTGGTAAATCATCATAACGGCGGTCAGCATAATATTGTTATTATAATTAAAAAAACAAACATAATACTGCTTATTTTTATTAAGCAATCCGGTGCTAATAGCTTTTTTGTTAGCACATTACTCACAAAATGGAACTGATTTTAAGAATTGTAAAATTTTGATGAGGGATTTTACTTAAATCCTACAAAAATTGGATTGTTGTTCATTTCACAAAAAAAAATTGGATTGTTGTTTAAATTTATTTTTGTTGATAAAAATGAGATTGGTCTAAATCTATGAAGCTAGTGGATGTAAGATTTTTTTTCTAAAAATTTGTAGAACTCACGAATTATAAAGTTTCATCTCATTAGCTAGGATTTTGAGAGGTGCTAATTTTTTTTGAAAGATATGAAGGTAAATTCACCATTAACCAATAAATTCAATATAGTAAAATTCATTTTGAAATCCGTCAAGCAAACATGTTTTTTTAGCAAATACATAATGCTTGGGATTTGGGTGCCAAATACATCACCCAAATCCCACAAGTAAAAGATACCGTAATTTTTAGAACCCAACACAAATTCAAAATGACAAAATCTATCATAATACTTCAATCATAAACTCAAGGGTTTTATGTCTGATACACACAAAATCTATCATTGCACCTGGGGCGACAATCGTGCCCAACCCACGACTCTCTCTAGTGAAATATTGGGTCAGACTCGTCCAGCTCCAATCGGCACACAATTGTGCCATTGCCCACCAACAGTAAATCATATAGTGGCTTACGATTGCCTCCAGTTGAGGGTTTCTCCCTCCGAGCTCGACTCTCCCCGATGCATTATTGCGCCCGAGCCCGTTATCGCTCCCGGGGCCCAGCACCCGGGCTCCGGATCCATCCTGACGCCCGGGCCCACTACTTCCCCGGCTCCTAGCGGTGGGTCCTCACCTCCCCTCAGGTTGTCGGCTCCCAGGCCCGTTATTGCCTCGGCTCCCAGCCCATAATCGCTCCCAGACCCCGCTCCCGGGCCTCGCCCTCCTCCCAGCACCCGAGCCAACAATTGCCTCGACTCTAGGTGGCAGGCATTCACCTCTCGTCCGGATCCCGACGCTCAGGCCCGTTATTGCTCCAAATCCCCTGCGCCTGGGCCCGTTATTGCCCCGGCTCTCAACGCAGTCCCTTCACCTCTTGTTCGGTTCCCGACGCCCGGTCCCGTTATCGCTCCCGGATCCCGGCCCCAGGCTTCGCCCTCCTCAGTCTCACGGCACTCGGGCCCACAATTGCCCCAACTCCCGACGACGGGCCTTCACCTCTCGTCCGGATCGCGGCGCCCGGGCCTGTTATCGCTCTTAGTCCCCTGCGCCCGGACCTGCTATAGCCCCAACTCCCAGCGTCGAGCCTTCACCTCTCGCCCGATTCCCGGTTTCCTGCAGCGGGTCTTCACCTCTCGTCTGGTTCCCGATGCCCGGACCCGTTATCACTCCATGTCCCCTGCGCCCGGGCCCGCTATTGTTCAGGCGCTAGATCTTCTCCTCTCGACTGGTTCCCGTGCCCGCTATCGCCCCCTCCACATGTGTCATGCCCTCTCCTCAATTAGTATGCATGTGGCAAGGGTGTTACCCTTAGGCAAAAGCATGGTTGACATGTGTACAACCATGTGGTGGGCACTAATGGGCCTAGACGACACATGTTCAGTGACGTGTCCTTCTTTCATCTCTAACGCCGACACCTGTCCTCCCGTTGTCTCCCCAGATAGATACAATATAACTAGCTCATGGTCTCCAGTGGAAGGGAAGGCAAGATACCGGGGGAAGTACCCTGAGAGCGCCCGCTGTAATCAGTGACTCTCATCTCCCGGATTCTCCTCTGCAAACCCCTTGTAACTTTACAATCCCCGCTGTAATTCCTCGTGTATGACATGGGGAAGGCTGATGAGATTCTGGTTGTTAAATCAAATGATACGATAAAAAAATTGTCTTATCTCATTCTCACTACATTGAGAAGGTGTTCGCTAAATTCCATAATGGAAATTGACATGGGTTTAAGACCTTTATGGATCAAAATATAAAATTTATTGAAGATTTTTATAAGTCGGTTTCACAACTGGAGTATTCCAATGTTATTGGATGTTTTTATGCATGCAATGACTTGTACAAGACCGGATATCGTATATGCTATATAAAAATTAAGTCGGTATACAAAAAGTAAGGCATGCACTAAGATATCTCAAAGCCACGATACATCGTGATCAATTGACTTATAATGGATTTCCATCCATTTTGGAATGATACAATGAGGCTTTTGGATTTTCGATGTTCAAGACCATACTTCAACATGAGACGAGCCTTTTTGCATAGCGTGGTGACATCTCTTGGACCTAAAAACGGACTTGCATCACTAATTAGTAATTGCATTATGTTGTCATAATTTGTAACCTTTGCTTTTGTTAGATGAGAGACAAAATGCTAAACAATCGAGACAAAATAGTTGAGAGATTGTCTAATACATTCCTTTATGACCTAAATTAATCTCAATATTCATATAATTTGTAACAATAATGCTACTTCGGCTACGACATATAAATACGTGTATAATGACAAGTCCTATCATTTGATAGCTAGATACATTGAAATCCATGATTTATCACTACGGAGTTGTGTCTATAAAGTATGTCCATACTCTATGGATTCCAGCTAATCATTTGACGAAATGATTAGCTAGTGACTTGGTGGTCAAATATGTGAAAGATATGAGTTTAAAGTCCATACAATTCTTGATCACGAGACACCCAATTCACCTAAAATAGAACGTTAGAGACCGAATTTAACGAGAAAAGCTCATTATAAAAAATCGAAGCACATATTTGTCGTCCCAAGATAAGTGTTTGTTATCTTGCACATGAGAAGAGCATGAAATTTAAATAAATTAATATAAATGAATTAAAGTCAACAATCTCAAAGGAAGAATCTCACCTTTTTGTTGAGATTTAAAATGAGTAATTGTGGGTGATATGAGATTTGAGGGCCCACCTCAAATGCATGTATTGAATAAACTTTTGGAACAAAAAAAACGATGGATTCTCCAGAATACATGAATTTAAAGAATCATTCATCTAGAATCATAACTTGTAGATACTTAAATTTTTGTATAGCACTCATCGGGGTCATTTGGATGCAGGTTTTGGGTGTGAGATTTGGGCACAATCCTACATAATGTGGGATTTTATTAAAATCACTCGTTTGGAAAGCAATTATATGATAAGAGATTTTAAATATTAGAGATTTCAGAAACCCGCAATTGTGGGATTATGAAATAGCTGATGATGATCAGCTATTTAAAAATCCCACACAAATCCCACAAATTAAAAACCTAAGTTTTTAAACCAGTGATTTGAGCCAAAATCCTACAAATTAAAAACCTGGATCTAAATGACCCCATCAAATTGCCCACGTAGGTTAAAATATATTAACATGCTAGTCGGTTAATAACTTCCCAGGGCTAGCAGCACTGCAACTAGGAACCTAGAAAACAGGAAGGGTTTCTGTCTATTCGAATCTGATCAGTGTTTCCCCCTCCCTCTTACTTCCCATTCGTTGAGACTCGAGACGAGGAAGAAGCCCCTCCGTGTACTTCCTCTCGTTTCCGTCTCTTCGTCTTCATTTCCAATTTGTCCATCGTTTGTCTTCGCCGTCTCTTTATTCTCCCCTGCAGTTCGCGTAGCGAGGGATTCCGGAACCGACCGTATTCGCGTTTCCCTCGTTTTAATTGGGGCAAAGCCATGCCCCTTTTCATCACCGACGACGAGCTCGCTCGTCACACCAACGACGCTCCCTACGTCGCAGCTAGGGCTGACGATTACATCAGGCGCTTGCAGACGGAGCTAGAGACCGTCAAGGCTGCCGCAGATGCCAATGCCGTCACCGCCGAGCAGACTTGTTCGCTTCTCGAGCACAAGTTCTTGTCCCTCTCCACCGAGTTCTCCACGCTCCAATCGCAGAACGCTCTGCTCCAGTCCTCGCTCGATGAGCGTCTCTCCGAGCTCGCCGAAGTCCAGGCTCAGAAGCATCAGCTTCACTTGCAATCGGTAGTCATGCTGAGTTTTTGCTTTGTTTGGTTATTTCCTGTCGCTATTAATTGGTATACTGCGATCGATTGGGCAACTTCTTGGTACATTCGTGTTTTAGGTCCATGCTCGTTGTACCGTGTTGTATTCATGACTTAGGTTTCACGTACTAGCTCTGGTAATTGAGTATTGCCTATGCTGGAATACTGAGTTTGAAGCTGCTTAATGCCACTTCTTCCTCTTGTTACGTAGATGAGCAAGGATGGCGAAGTAGAGAGGTTGACTACAGAGCTGTCAGAGCTGCGTAAGAGTAAGAGGCAGCTGATTGAGTTGGTGGAGCAAAAAGATTCGGAGATCAACGATAAGAAAGCTACTATTAACAGCTATCTCGATAAGATTGTATGTTAACTCGTGAATTCAGTTCTGCTGCTTAGCTTACTTGCTGGCCTTATTCCTCATTTCCTTTGGTCATTTATAGTCTTGGTTTTCCACCCTCTTTTCTGAAGGTTAATTTGACGGAGAGTGCATCAAAGAAGGAGGCTCGATTGTTTGACGTTGAAGCAGAGTTGGTGCATTCTCAGGCAGCCTGCTCTCGCCTTTCACAGGTTGGTGCGGTGCTCCCTTTTTGGAACGCAATAAGAACTCACTGTTCAGCCATATTGACTTCCTACGCGCCGTTAATGTTTTTCTTTTTTCGTGAAGCTTTTTTCTGTGGATGCGATGTTTTTTTTTTGGGAGGGGGGGGGGGGGGGGGTTGGGTGGTAGCCGTGGCGGATGTTTACCCAAGTGGCAGCATGCATCTCTGCAGACTCTTGCCTGTAACGGTAGATTGGCTCTTAATGAAGTGAAATCTTATGTGATTAGGAGAAAGAAATTGTGGACAGACATAACTCATGGCTAAATGATGAGCTGACGGCCAAAGTCGACAGTTTGATTGAGCTGCGCATTAGACATTCTAATCTGGAGGAAGATCTTTCTGCCAAGCTTGCACTTGTAAGTATGCTGTTGAATTTTCTCTGGTTTGGGTCTTCTGCTATGACATAACGTTATTTCTTATCTGGTTATCTATTGGTAATTTGCTTGCTCCTGTAGGCTGAGAAACAACTGAGTGAATCTTCAAGCTCTGCGCAGAGGAACAAGGAGAGGGCAGATGAGCTTGAAGTGAAGTTAACTTCCTTGCGAGAGGTGAATTTTTCTGTATGTTTTGTAATCTGCGTTTGTATGTGTGTCAGTCCATTGGTTCTAGGTGCCTCATGACTGGCCTTTTTGTACTTGCTGAAGGAATTAAGCTCTACTAAGGATGCTGCTGTGGCAAATGAAGAGCAGTTATCAGCTGAACTCTCTACTGTAAGTGAAGGATTTTCTTACATGACATAACATCTGAAGAACATAACTTGCTGCTGTTTGTTCCTGTTTTGTTTCTTCTGCTGTCTTTTTAGAGGATTTCTGGTCTTTTTTGAGAATCTATTATACATTCAATTGTTGGACACATCAGGAAAATAAAAAATGATTTTTTTTTATAAGGATGATATAAGTTTATTTTTATTATTACATGCTCTGCTAAAGGGATTAGAACCCGCGACCTCCAGGTTGAGGACCAGCGTTAGAATCCCTAGACCAAGTCCTTGTTCGCAGAAAATCAGAATTTTTTTGAGCCACGGGATGTGACTTATTTACCTGATTTTTTGCTAATGTAGGCAAATAAACTAGTCGGACTTTATAAGCAAAGCTCTGAGGAATGGGCAAGGAAAGCTGGAGAGCTTGAGGGTGTCATTAGAGCTCTGGAGGTAATTTTCTTGTACTAATTCGTCCAACAAATATTTTGCGTTCAATCGAAATTGTGCTCTTCTGTACCATTGACCTCCTTTGCTTGCTTTGCAGGCTCATTTGGGTGAGCTTGAAAATGATTACAAAGCAAGACTTGAAAATGAAGTCTCTTCGAGAAGCCAATTAGAGAAGGTAAGCTGTTTTATGTGGCTTGCTATTATGGGTTCTAATTTATTTGTTACATGTAGAAGTATACACTTCCTTTTTTCCTGTCCTCAGCGGTGGTTGTTGTACATGATATCAGCTGATTTCAGTCACAGTGTAAATTTTTAAGTGCTAACCTTATTTATCTTTGCAAGAGAATGGACTTAAAGTCGTCGAATCTGGGTATCCGTTTTATATGCTGTTCTTATTCACAATTGTGGCCACTATAATGGGAGGTGGATTGAACATTTCATCAGCTGGCTCTATGCAGTTTATTTGGTCATGGGAAGTGACTATAATTGTGGAAGTGATATCTTGTTTTAACAGTTGGTTTGTTTTGGTATTTTGCTTTGTTTTATCTCTCTTTTTTTCCCCCCGGTAAGAATTGTTTTATTTCTCTGTTCAGTGTTAAAATTGCTGTGACTATCAAATTAGAAGCTCCGTGTCGAGTTTTACTTGCTGTTTGATTTACAGCTTATTATGTCTTGTAGATGCTTTACTATGATGCTTGGTGTTTAGGTTTCTTAAGTTTTATATTCTTTGTTTTGTTATAGGAAGCTGCTGATCTCAGAGGAAAACTTGAAAAATGCGAAGCTGAGATTGAAAGTAACAGGAGAAATAATGAGCTTAATCTACTTCCTCTTAGTAGTTTCTCGACAGAAAGGTTTGTTGCTCACTAGCCAAGAATTTCTTCATGATCTCTTTTTATGTGTAATAAAGACAGACCATGGAGGTCTTTCTACTGATGTGTGTTAATGGAGTGATAAATGTGTCTTGACCTTCCTGGTAGTGTTATCTTCTGCCTCTCGTATGTTGATGCTTCACAATGTGAATGATGTGCAACCAAAGTTGCTTTGACGTGCAGTTGGGTAACATGCTGTCCTGTTGTCCATTTTTTTTCCTGATGGTCCATGGTTGAGCATGCAAACTGTTTAGCTGACGAAAATGAGCATCTTGACTCCGTTTCCCATTGTGATTATGCCAAATGTTCACTCATATTTATCCTGCAGGTGGGTGGCCCAGTCTGATAGTAATGTCTCCATGGAGGATACTGGCATGCTTGTTCCAAAGATTCCTCCTGGTGTTTCAGGGACTGCATTGGCAGCTTCTCTACTTCGAGATGGATGGAGTGTGAGTTATATGACTTGTTCTTTTTATATTCACCAGTCATCTTGTATTGATGCTGAATTCATATTGTACTTTTGATAGCTGGCCAAGATGTATGCAAAATACCAAGAAGCTGTTGATGCTCTTCGCCATGAACAACTAGGAAGGAAGGATTCCGAAGCTGTATTGCAACGGGTATGATGTTCATTACTTGTAAACCCTTATTTAGTTTCTTGTGTTCCTGAAGTTCTGTGTACAGCAGTTCCAGACTTCTTATGTTGATTCTAGGAGCTTGCATCAGTAGGCTCATATTTCTCACAACAATGATGTTTCAGGAGCAGTTTTGATTAGTCCATGCCTTTCTGTTTTCTTACAATAACGTGCTTTTGATTTTGTTAGACTCTGGATTCACTTGTCCTTTCCTTCTGCAGGTCCTGTTTGAATTGGAGGAGAAAGCAGGAGTAATTTTGGAAGAAAGAGGTATAAATTCCGATAAAGTGGAGTATGTGGAAGTTCATATTTCGTTAAAATCTGTTTTCTGGGATTCACATCTCTTTATACTTCTGTCTTTTTATGTTCAATAATGTCATGTACCTCTGGTTTTTTTTTTTTTTTTTTTTTTTGAGTAAGATGTACCTCTGGTTTTTAATTAATCTAGTTAATGGAAAAAACACAGGTTGGTCAGTCCAGCCCAATCTGTCCCAGTATAAAGTCACTCTATCTATTTTATCTTATAATATTTAAAAGGAAATCTACTGATTGGAGGCGTAATATATATTTTCCTTCCTGAGCTATCAATTTCAAAATTCCAGAGCCATCAAATTCCCTCTCTAGCAGCTGAACTGTTTAGTTCTCTTCAGCATAGTTCTTCACTGGACTTATGCCAATCTGTTGGTGGATTTCTATGCTTTTCAGCGGAATATGAGAGTATGTTGGAGTCATGCTCCATCATGGGCCAAAAGTTGCAGCAGTCAGTATCAGAGCGAGGGAACCTGGAGAAAATGATTCAAGAATTGAAGGTTTGGACCATCAATGTCACTTTTTGAAATCTGTTCCTTTGGCTTGTTGCTGATTGTAAATTTGCAGGCTGAACTAAGGAGGCACGAGCGGCAGTATAATATTGCCCAGAGGGAGATTGTTGACCTTCAGAAGCAGGTGGTAACATCTCTAGTGCTTATGTATTGTGTACAAGGTTTTCAGTTTTATCTGCTCAAGCATTGTGTCTGATCATCTTCAATACATTTTTTGACGTTTGCAGTCATATCTGATAGGCAATTGTAGTTTTCTTCTGTTTTGTTCTTAGTGCTTCCTTTTTCTTCTTTCCTGCCTGTTGTTCTTCGACAATGGTTTGTTATTTTTATTTTGTTGGGAATCTTGGGATCAAGTACAAGTAGGTACATCTTATCTATCAGCATCTGCAGCAGATGCGTTTTCATATGAACATATCCGTTAGAAACCAAATGCTATTAGACATATTATGCAGAAATACAGAGTTTTGAGTTAAGCTCTTTGGTAAAGGCGAACTTAATGTCTTTGGTAAAGGCGAACTTATTGTCTTATGGTTTTTTCAAAGCTTGAATAGATTGTTGTGGAGTTATTGTTTCCGGACCTAGTCTTACTGTCTGCTTATTTTGCGATGTTGTAGGTTACTGTTCTTCTGAAGGAGTGTCGCGATGTGCAACTTCGATGTGGATTGGGGGATAATGCTGGTGATGACTCTTCCATTTATGCTGATGTTGGTATGGAAACAGATGCTGTTGCTGATGATGTCATTTCTGAAAGGCTTGTAAGTTGGTGTTCCATTTATAATTTTCTTTTGCTTGCAAGATTTATTCGTACATCTTAGTTATATTTGCCATCTATTCAATCATTTTGTAGTTGACTTTCAACGACATAAATGGGTTAGTTGAGCAGAATGTGCAACTCAGGGGTCTTGTGCGAAGTCTTTCAGATCAGATTGAAAATAGGGAGACCGAGTTCAAGGTATTCCACGATACACGAGCCCTACTTTTGTTGTTCCACTTATAGTATGATTTATTGCTGCTTTGTTCCACTGGTTAGCCTGCTTGAGAACTTTGGACGTACCATTGCAGGAGAAATTGGAAATGGAACACAAGAAATACACTGATGAAGCAGCCGCTAGAGTTGCAAATGTCTTACAAAGGGCAGAAGAACAAGGCAACATGATTGAGAATCTTCGTGCATCTGTATTGTTACTTGTCTCACAATCTTTGAGTTTGACTTAGCTGCATTTTCCTCCGTTTCTGAGCAATGATATGTGCAATTCTTACAGTTACAGCTTTGCTCTTTATTCTTTACCCTTGTAGTTTGCAATGTACAAAAGGTTATACGAGGAGCAACAGAAACGCCAGTCACCATATTCACTTTCACATTCCTCAGAGGCAGCTCCAGGTTACTCTCACTGTCAATATATTGTTGTTTTTTTGGTTTGCATCCCTGGACTCTTAATTTCAGTTACTGATTAATGATTACTGACGGTTGTGTTCTCAGAATTTCCACTTTGATTGCAATTGTAACACTATGACAGTGTGTTCATCAGAACTTCTGTGTACATAATAGGCATTGAAGTGTTGCCAACTCCCTTCGTTGGCCCAATATAGGTCATTTTGTATTCAAGATCGTATGTTTTACATCTATGTGGTTTGCATAATTTTTATTATAATTAGCCTATTTCAGTGGCATGGACTCATGATCTAGTAGCTATATACGGTACTTTCTGGCTGGTTGAAACTTCCTTAAGGAGGCTTTTGAGATTGCACTCTTATCCTGTTTTTCTTTGATAATGCCATTTAATTGGCATGTATTGTCCTTTTTCTTGATGCTACCATATCCCTCTTTCTTTATGTGGTCTAACTAGGAGTCGTAATTTTCAGTGGTAAACATGCTAAGTGGCTGCTGGTCCCTTTTCTGTTTCTTAATTGCTTCTTTTTTGTTTTCAGTAAGTATTTTCCTTTTTTAATCAAGATGTCTAATGAGTGTTTTATTTAGTTAACTTCATAGATGTTGCATTCGCGAACATAACAGGAAACTTGCAGTTGCTCTAAATAGTGTGCTATATATATGCATCTCTCGGCCATGGATCCTAACACGGCTTCAATTCCGTATATGTAGAGAATGGAGGGAAGGATCTTCTGTTTCTCCTTGAGGGTGCTCAGGTTCTGTTAAAACAATTAAATTAAATGTTTAGACGAATTGTTTTGTAGGTGGAAAGGTTATTGATCCTAAAGCTTTTGGCTTATGTTTTCACTGTTCTTAAGATGCAGGAAGCTAGCAAGATGGCCCATGAAAAGGTTGCGGAGCAGGTAGGATCTCTTGAGGAAAAGCTGTCAAAATCTAGGTAATGCTTGTTCGGGGGAGGAACTTTGTGTTTAAGTGACATGAGGATTTTGTCTTTCCTGCTGCTTGAAATCATATTGACTGCATACAGTAACTACACTCTTTTCTTGCCAATCTATGCTACCTGGTACTCTTCGAATCAGGCTCTGCCACGATGATCCTATAATGGCTCTTTCTTCACAGAGGCATAGGTCCAATGATCTATATCATTAACTTTTTTCTTAAAAATTATTCTCTCCAATGTCCCTGGAACTCTTGCGTCTAGCCTGTCAACTCTCATTCCAACAGTCTTCCAACGTCAATAGCTGAATATCCATGTATTTGTTTCCACGTTGGTGCTTGTGGTTAACTTGATTGTTATTTTACTGTGGCTAGGAGTGAAATTGTATCACTGCAATTGGAGCGTGACAAGTTAGCTTCGGAGGCAAAATATGCAGCAGAAAAACTGGAGAGGTCTATGAAAGAATTTGAACACCAGGTGATTTGTTTTGAGATGGGAATTTTTTAGATGTCCCTAAAAGAGCAGTCGATGGAATTATTTGGGTGCACCCTTTTGTCATGTGTGTATAATTAGGATTTAGGACTGCACATAATATATGAATTACGTACCTTATTCTGTCTCAAGGATCTTCTAGTTCTTCCGCTACAAATATGCTTAATTATAATTTGCTATTGAATCATGCTCGTTCTGCTGCTGTTCTTGTTTGGCATTCCCTATTCTATCTCAAGCCTGTTGCTCAGTTCCTTCTGTGATGTGGTTGACAGGAAGGTCGAATCAAAGGTCTTGAAGCAAGCAACTTAGAACATGGCCGTTTAATTCTTGATTTTCAAAAAAGATTAAATGAAAGCATGCATGCTCAACATGCTTCTGAGGATCAATGTCGGAAGTTAAACATGGAGGTAAAAGAGCTGTAGTTGGACATGTTGGCTTGGTGCTCTTTGTGTTTGTCATTTCACTTAATATTTATTGACAGGTATCGGCCCTAAAGCATGAGAAGGAAATGCTATCAAACGCTGAAAAGAGAGCATGTGATGAAGTTCGTAGATTGTCAGAGAGAGTGCATCGGCTGCAGGTTTAAAAAGCAATATGCTATATATGCTACTTTCTGGTAACAAGTTTGCTTCAGTTTTCTTACATTGTATTGTGTCTGCAGTCTAGTTTAGACACTTTCCAGAGTGCCGAGGATGTTCGAAAGGTAGGCGTCTTGAACTGATTCTCCTCCTGTGTATTCTGATTCAAGTATTGCAACCAGCCCGTTTAAGTATTCTTTCTGTTATGTTAGGAAGCACGAGCTGCCGAGAGGAGAAAACAGGAGGAATATGTCAAACAAATTGAGGTAAATATGACTTCTTATTCACACTTTTTATATTGGCACTGCATGACGGTGAAGGAGCGGATGGCTCTGCTGAAATTCCTTTGTTGTCATCCATCCTTACAGTACACTTGTACATCCAAGTAGCAGTACCCTTGCTTCATTTTCAGGGTTGCATCATTTTAGGAATGACTTCTTTTCATCGAGTCTGAGGGATAAACATAATCTCTCATTCTAGTTGTGTGCTTAGTTGTTTTTGTCTTTGCTTAGAGCTGCCATTATCTGGTTAAACTTTGTCTCATTGAGTTGCTGATGGTGGATGTTAAGAGGGAATGGGCGGAGGCGAAAAAGGAGCTGCAATTGGAAAAGGAAAATGTTAGATCCCTCACATCTGATCGCGAGCAGACTTTGAAGAATGCAATGAGACAAGTGGATGAGATGGGAAAAGAGTTAGCTAATGCGTTGCGTGCTGTTACAATTGCTGAGACCAGGGCTGCTGTTGCTGAGGTTTCTAATTTCACTACAATTATTTTTATCTCAGGACTGTTTATAGACTAAACTTAATATTCATTTGACTGGACTTTGTCTGAATTACATTTTGCAGACGAAACTTGATTCGGAGAAAAAGAGGACGAGTTCAGATCAAAACGTATGTTGTAATCTGGTTTTTCCTTGTGAGATATTTGTGTCCGGCTAAATTTCTGTTAATTTATTTCTCCCATTCTTGATTAATATTATTTGTTATCTGGTACAATGACTTCAACCTGTGCAGGTTGCTGATGGGCAGGATAGCAGGGCGCTCTCAGTTTCATCTGCAGAGGTCAGTCTGTCTCCATGCTTACTTTTAATGCTACGGTTTCTTATTCCACTCACTTCTATATTTTCTGTTGGAAACTGTAGTTCTTTTTAGGATTGCTTGTTTCTTCTCTTAAAATTTAGGTGCAATTGGTTCATAAATTACTTTATTTGTATGGATGTGTACTCTCAGAGAGAAGAAGAGAAAAGAAAAACGGGGGTACCACCAGTTTTGTCTTTTAATTTCTTTGGTAGGACAGGGTTGATCATAGGGGCATTGTGCCATTGTGTTTTTATCTCTCGCCTCTATTGCTTACCAATCTATATTGAAGTTTGGTTGTATTCTATCTCTGGCCGTTTTTCATTGGTGGTGCTTTTCCTTGATGGTGGTTACCTAATTGTAAATTAGGCCACAACCGATTTAATTATGGTGAAGGAGGAATTGCGAAAATTGAGAGAAGAAGCCCAAGCTAATAAGGACCATATGCTGCAGGTATTTTGTCACTGTTACAGTTGCAACTACATTTGATATATGGTTATCTAGTAACATATATTTGTGACTTGCAGTACAAGAATATAGCTCAGGTAAATGAAGCTGCATTAAAGCAGATGGAAACTGCTCATGAGAACTTTAAGATAGAGGTATGTCTGAATGAAATAGCAGTTCTAAGCATTGGAGCTCTGTTAGCTTTATGTAAAGTGTACATGGCTATACCATTTCGTCTGAGATTATGGCTATACCAATGTACAGTCCGAAAAGTTGAAGGAGTCTTTGGAAGCTGAGTTGATTTCGTCTAGAGTGAAGATAACCGAGCTTCAGAATGAATTGCGTTTGAAGTCTGAAGAAGTTCTCCTTGCGTCTGCTGGTAAAGAAGAGGCTCTTACTTCTGCTTTGGCTGAAATTACTGCCTTGAAGGAGGAAAATTCCAGTAAAACGTGAGATATATCCTTTACCTTCTGTTGATAAATCTTTCCTACTTTATGAAGTTTCTGATAGTCTGCTATGTGCATAGTTCTCAAGTTGTTGCACTGGAAATGCAAGTTTCTGCATTGAAAGAGGATCTGGAGAAGGAGCATGAGAGGTGGCGGTCTGCTCAAACAAATTACGAGAGACAGGTTAATTAAGCTAGTTTGCACTAAATTGAGTGGTGGAGTTTTTAGTTTGACCGTTCTTTAGCATATCTTATTTGTAGCATCTCTGAAATTTCTTATTTAAGTGCAATGCTCGACAAACTACAGTTCTTTGAAAAACATTTCGAACATTTTATCTCCATGCTGCTTCATTGCATATGATAAATCTGGTGTAGCAGCTGAATTGACTTTAAAGTTACTGACTTTGATTTTATGTTCTCATCAGGTCATTTTACAGTCCGAGACAATTCAGGAGTTAACAAGGACATCACAGACTTTGGCATCCTTACAAGAGGAAGCTTCTCGCTGGCGTAAATTGGCAGATGAGCGAGAATGCGTAAATGTGAGTCTTATTTAGTTGTTGCATTGTGATTGTTGATTCCTTAGCTGGCTAGTTTGTGTTTTGTGGTCCTTCAATATCCCTTTTTCTTTCTGAATGTTGTTTGACTGTCTGATTGTGCTCCTTCACCGGTGTTCCATTGGTATTGGTTGGTGAATATATGTCATATTAGGCTGTCCACGACTAGCCACTTAAAATGAGTTTTGTACCTGGGAAATCTCCAGTTTCATTTGCGGTTGGAGATTTGGTTGATCCTTCTTCTCTTGCAGTGGTGCCCGCTATAACGTCACTGTTCCATTTTGTAACTATTGGAGATGCTGTTGTGATATAATTGCCAGTATATTCATACGATAAGAACGAATGACAGTCACTTTGATGGTCTCTATTCTTCCCTCTGGATCTGCTTACTCTCAATGGGGTATTTGGCATAGTGAAAGAACTGGTGTTATTGCATTGGGAGAATACCTCCTGCAAAGTTTCTCTTTGATATCATTCATTAACATAAAAAAATTGATAGCTGAAAGGCGATTTTGCGATTTTTTCTTGCATGGCATGATGGTTGGAAACACAGGGTTATTCGGAGGGCTTTCTTGTGTCAAGGTTCATTTAAACTTGAGGTTCAAGTTGGTTTGTTTCGTCAGTGGAAACATGAATGGAAATTCAGCTTGAATAGTGAAGTTTGCATATGTGTGTCCGTGTTTGTGTGAATGATAAGTCCCAACTTTATCAAACTCACGACTTGTACTTTTTGGACATATATGGATTTGTTGAAAACTGATGATGCAAGTTGATTTTCTTGTGTTCTGGCAATGAGTGAGGTTCCATTGTGGGTATTCACGTCTCATAGTTTGAGTCACTTATTTTGATTCAACCTTTATTTCTTCCTTTTCAATTGTCTAATTGTGTTGTGAGCTAACCTGTTTGTCTAATTTGGTATTTTATGCATTCTACTAATACTCCATCTACCTGCCTATTATTGTAGAATGAACTGAAAGTCAAATGTGAGGCGGCACAATCAATGCTAGAAGAATCAAGAAGGGATTCCGAGAAGAAATATGACGAGCTCAATGAGCAGGTAGATATTGTGCAGTGATGTTCTTCCTTGAATTGATGCTTGCATCCGTATGTTAAGGAAGATAATACCAAGTTTTTTTATTAGTTCTTTTTGGGGTTGCAAGGAGCGTTTCTTTTTCTTTTCCAGTAGTTGAATGTAGCATCAAGGTTTTACTGGACTGGATGGTTTCATCCATTTTTTACCATCAGGAGCTCTTGAGATTGTGTAGATAATACACAGGCAAATGTTGTTCTGAACTTTCTCTCAAAAAAAAAAAAAAAAAGCCGCTCTGAACTGGTCCTCGGATTTTACATTGGTACATTGACACCATTCCTTCGGATACTTAATAAGATATGAGCTAATGGTACTGAAGATGTTTAAGGTTGATAAAAACTAAATTCTGAATCATCACTGACTCTTGATTTAAGCTAATACAAGTCCTGTATTGGAATCAGAAAGGATTAAGACCAAGGAAACTTATTGCCTCTGAAATGTCTGTATCTTTTCTAATTATTGCTGGTGTCATCACTTACATTGCCATTTGGGCTTGCAAAATTTTATTTGGAGGATGCAAACTTATAAATTTCTTTGGTATAGTAGTTGCCAGCTTCCCTCCTTGCAGGCTGGCATTTTGATAGATTGGCGTTGCATGAATACTTGGTGACATTAACTTTTCAGAGAACTGTTGACAAATGCATTAGAATGAAAAAGTTATATGTGAGCAAGTTGATAGTAAATTATTGACTATCTTTAAATAAGCCTCGCACAAATATGCGAGCAATTTATATTTGAGCCAGTTGAGAGTAAATTATTCAATTCTGTGTTTTATGTTCCTTATCTTTGCTTCATCCCTATTGGCAGAATAAATTACTGCACAGCAGACTGGAGGCTCTGCACATCCAGCTGGCTGAGAGTGATCGCAGCTCGGTTGGAATGTCTTCTAGGAGTAATGCGGATCCAAATGCTGATGGAGGGTTGCAGAATGTTGTTAGCTATCTTCGACGGTCAAAGGAGATAGTATGTGCTGCCAATTGAATCAATGTCAACTCTTCTATTATAAAACTTGGCTGAATGAGTTTTTGTTAATGAACAGTCTAGATTCTGTTAAAGTTGGACTAATACGATAATACATTGTGCATTTCCTGTAGCATCTCATTTTAAACTGGAAAGATGCCTACTGTTCTGATTGTCTATCTGATTTCAACAGGCGGAGACGGAGATTTCATTGCTAAGGCAGGAAAAGCTGCGATTGCAATCACAAGTATGTTTCGTAACTGGTTGTCTTATTCATGAGTTGAGCATGTTGTCTTAAAAGCTTGAGAATATTTGTAAAACAACGTGGCTGCTTCATATACAAGTTATTGAACCTGTGACTGTCCTGCCCTTGATACAGTGTAGTGGCAATTTGATTCCAGAATGAACTGGAATATGTTGCTTTTAGTTCCAGAATGCATGCAGTTTTTACAACAGACTCTCATCTGATGTACAAACAATGTTGTAAACCTATATTTCCCCTTGAGGTGTCTTAGTCAGATCATGCATAAATGCAACATAGTACACTGCCAGTTCATTTGAGTTTATCTCATAATCTCAGTATGTTGCTCCGTAAAATTTGTATCACAACTTAATGTTGTGAAAGTGGTTGAAGTTGTGTTTGTCTGCATGAGACTGTAGCCTCACAATATATCATTTACTGGTGCGGTCCTTAGCAGTTTATTGGAATCAATTACTATTTACAACTTTTGATGGGTATTTACCCTTTGAAATGACAAGATGACTGAGGCCCTTGTTGACAGCTTTTAAATGCTCCGTCTTTTAGACTTAAGGTGTGGCAACTTTAGGGATTGGGTCCTGTAGCTAATTATTTCTACTTAAGTAACCATCATCTAGAGTTCTAGGTATGAAAATAAATAAAAGAATCGTATTTGTTTTTGGTAAGGTGAATGATTGATGAACAAAGCAGCATATCTACCCTGAGACATTTACTTCTGACATTAGGCATCAGTATTCTGCAGGCACTCAAGTTAGGTAGGAGAAGTACACGGTAGGCTTGTTCGTTTCTGTGCTCTAATTTGTTTTTTACCCTTTCTGATGGAGCTGTAGCTTGAGAGTGCTCTCAAGGCGGCGGAAAATGCGAAAGCTTCACTTGGTGCTGAGCTAGCGAACTCGAGGGCCTTAATATTTTCAGAGGAAGAAATGAAATCTCTTCAGTATCAGGTATTGTTCGATTCTTCAGAAACCCATTATATATTTGTTGCGGTATATAAGTATCAAAATTGGAGTCCTGTCTCTTTGGGTTATCATTATCTTTGATTCACGTTTCTTAGTTCTTGTCCGAGTCTTGAACAATTCATTCGATGACTGTCGTCGGTGAAATCATACTGTTTAGGGGTTAATGCATCTCTCCCTACCTTTCAGGTTGAAGAGATGAACTTGTTACGTGAGAGCAATATGCAACTTAGAGAGGAGAACAAGCAGAGTGTTGAGGAATGTCAGGTACATCTTAGTGAGACTAAGATGTCATCTGCTTTTTTTACTCATTTTTTTAATGTTGTCTCTTTAAATGTTACATAAGTTCTACTAAATTGATTCATTCGATGGCAGAAAATGCGTGATATAACACTTGAGACTGAAACTAAGGCTGACAATCTGAAAATTCTGGTGAGGGAAAAAGAAATGGAAATAGAAGCTTGCAAGAAGGAAATTGAAATGTCAAGGGTGGAGAAGGATTTCCTGCAAAAGAGAGTTTCTGAGGTATTTTGCTCTTACATGTTTTCTTTGGTACCCATTTGTCTTTGAGAATTTTGATGCTAACTTTCTTGTGCAGATGCTAGAGAAAAATGTTAATGTGGAAGACTACAACAAGATTAAAGATGATCTTCAGAGGCTGCAGGTACTTAATTGTTGCTTTCGGTCTCCCTTTTGTGAATAGTTGTTTGCGTTTTGTTTCTGCAAGTCTTTTCTCTGCACAGTTCGAGAGAGTAGCAATGTAGTCTATCTATGATAACCTTTAGACAGTGTTTTCTCATCTTTTCCCCCAACCAGAACTAGTTTTGGCTTTCAGTTTTATGGTCCTATTCTTTCAGTTACTACTGGCTTGGAGTTATGAAGTTTGAACTATAAACTATTTCATGCTGCTCTAACATTGGCGTGTTCCTTTCACAAGGAAAAACTGAAAGCGAAGGATGATGAGTTGGAGGATTCAAAGAACTGCATGTTGAAGCAGCAAGAAACCCTGTCAAAGTTGGAGCAGGACCTTGGACGAAGCGAAGCGGAGCTGAATAGTATAAAGTCCGATTTGGAGAGGCAAAAGAAAATCAGCAGTCACTTCAAGGTTTTTCTTTTCAAAGCCATTGTAAACTACAAGTATATCTTTTACTGTGGTGGTTCATTAGAGGATTATTCATGGTCGTTTGTCTGGTTCTTTTAATTGGTGTGCTTTTAGAGAAGAATGGATAGTTTGTCCAAGGAAAGGGATGACTCAATCAAAGAAAAAGATGCAGCTAACAAACAGATTGAGGAATTTAAGCAAGGTATTTCCCTCTGGACGAAAAGTGAAACACTTTATGTCTTGCTTCGATACAGAAAACTTACGGTTGTTGTATAGGCAAGAAGGCTATTGGAAATGCTGGCAGTGAGCTTGCCGTTAAGGAAAAGGAGGAGAAAGACACCAGAATACAGGTTCTTAGGATGAGGGAATTAAAAATAATTTCAATAATTATTTCTTGACCACATGTGGGTCTAATGTTGTGCTCAATCATGCAGATGCTGGAGAAAATGCTGGATAAGGTTAGAGACGATTTTAGAAAGGAAAAAGAAAACCATGACATGGAGAAAGCAAAGCGTGAGAGTTCTGAAAAGACTGTTCAGGATTCTGTCAAGAATGTTGAGCAGGTAATTTTTATTTCTGTATTCACGTAGATTGATAGTATTTTTGGAATAGAAGTTTGTATATATTAGTAGTTGGATGTCGTTGGTCTCGGCATAATTTCTTGCATATGCAACTACCATGCTCATCATCTGAAGTCCATTTTTGTTGGCTTTTGTTTCACGATAGGAGAGATCAAACTTTGTGGACAAATTTGACAAGCATAAGGATGCGCTGAGGCGCCTTTCAGATGAGCTGGAGAAGCTTAAGCATGCCGAGGACAGTCTCCCTGAGGTAAACAAGTCAGTTGAGTACTTGAGTTCATTTTGTTCTAGTCCATTGCTTTCTGGTGAATTTCTCACTCTATTATCGTGTAAATATTCCAATTGACAGGGCACCTCCGTCGTTCAGATTCTTTCTGGAACCATTCTGGATGATCATGCTGTTGTTTACCTATCAGCTGTTGAAAATTTTGAGAAAGTAGCAACTTCTGTGCTGGGTGAACTTGGACATGCTCGTCCTCCAGCAGAGACCCCAGCGACATTGGATGCTTCTACACCTGTTCCAAGTGGTAAGGCTTCCTTCTACTGATCTGATTGACATCCCCGTCAACAAGAAGCCATCTCTAGATAATGGGATAACGAAATTCTTTTTCTAGTGATAGAAATGAAACTAGTGGATTTGTGGAAATGAGTATAATTTGAAGAGTAGATATTTATTTTGGAAGTGCGAAGTTGGATATGGAATTGTATCATTGAAGTGGCATTTTTTAAATAAATTTTGTAATTGATGGTGAATAGTTAATTAAAAGGTTAGATAAAAAAAATTGTGTTTGTTTAGGCCAAAAACATAGACAACTAATCACAACTGTTTTTTTCCCCTGACACTTAACACTCTGTGCTATTGTTGTTCTATGATGTGGCAGGTCAAACTTCTCAAATTCCTGTCGCCCCCGCCTTTCCCACCAATCCAATTCCTACCAAAGCTGCAGAAGAAAAGGATAGAAAGCTTGTTGCCTCCCGCCCAAATATTAGTGAAGCTCGTAAAACAGGAAGAAAGTTGGTTCGGCCTTGGCGTGGCAAGACAGAGGAACCTCAGGGTACTGATGCGGAGATGTCTGAGGCAACCGCAGATAAATCCAGCCTTGGTGGGAAACCTGCTGCTGCATCCCAAGACTCCGATGCTACGCAAGGAACTCCAATAACCTTATCGTCTCAACTGTTGAGCCGCAAACGCCCTTCACAATCTGGTGCAGAGAGCAGCGAGCAACAGATCAGTCATGGGGAGGCTCTTTCGCAGGGAGCGGCCCCTATTGCGAAGAAGGCCAAAGGACAGGGTTCTTCCGAGGGTGGGGAGGCAGAAGTACAGCTTGGCACATCATCTGCACAAGCAGCTGATGTTTCATTGGATTCTGCGGGTGATTTACTTCCCCCAAGTTCAAACGAAGAAGTTGTCGCGGCCGATAAGGAAGAGGCCGACATTGTTGGGGAGAAGATAGATTCGGATGTTGTAGGTGGCAATGGTGCCCAGGTGGAAGCACAGAACCAGAAGAGTGATGATGCAGAGGATACTACTTCAGACAGGCCAGCGAGTGGAACAGTGGGTATGGAGATTGACGAGAGCCTGAAGGACGAGTTGTTGGTCGAAGAGGACCAACAAGGTGACAGAGAAGAGGGAGAGCTGCCACAAGATGTTTCTGAAGTGGAAGGTGGTGGTGGTGATGTGGGTAGCCCTGAAAGTGGGGAGTTCATGCCGGAGGGTGGAATCACACCCGAGTCGTCGCCGTTGAGGATGGAAGACGAAACAGCAGCTGCTACAGACGATCTCGAGGCTGGCGAAATCCCAGATGACGAAAATGACACAGCGGATACAGCCAACGTTGGTTCAGAGAGGGTAAATGACACTGACGAACAAAATGCAGCGGAAACTGATCAAGCTCCGGAGAGCACTCTGGTTGCTGGGGACAGTTCGACAGCGACTGCAATTGCAGATGCTGATCCAGCGAAACCAGAGGCAGAAGAGGCAGTGAAGCAGCAGGTCTCGCCAGCGAGTCAGGTGTCGACCGTCGTTAATTTAGCTGCGAGAGCTAGGGAGAGGTCCCGGGTGAGACAGTTAGGAGCGGCGGCTACGAGCTCGCCACCTGCAGCACCCTCCTCGAGTGTCGTGAGAGGTCGTGCCAGAGGATTGGTGCGTGGTCGGGCTGTGGGTAGTTCGCGTGTGTTGCCGCGTGGAGGGAGAGGTGGACGAGGAGGCCAATCACCTGGTCAGCAAGGTTAAGGCCAAACCCTTTACACTCTTAATAGAAGTGGGGTGTGTCTTCCCCTTGGCTTTGACTCTTTCCAGTTTCTAGTTCGGTTTTATTCGACTTATGCTTTTCAGGCGTACTGTTGTTTTGTCGGTTGTTTATGCATTTATTATTTGGTAGGCTGCAGGTTTCATCTCTCGGAAAGTGAATATTCCTTGCCTAGTATATGAATTTTGGACTTGTAAAGTTCTGTTGCAGCAGCATTACTTCTAGTACTAGTATTAAGTTGGTTTAGTTGTGCATGATTTCTGAATTCAACATCCTTCGTTCATTAATGTTACATAACCTACTAGTTAATATGTATGATTCTTCAAAGGTTGAATTCTAGCTTCGCCAACATTAAGAAAGCGTGTACTGCGTCTATCCAGATTGATGAATTCCCTGTCCTCAATTATAAACCTTGTGAGGAATAACGAGTAGGTATTAGGAGTACTGAGGATGGTATTCTTAAAAGGTTTGATGGGGATGAGGAGGGTAGAGTTCAGGCTCTTGTCTCATAATTAATGAGTCGAACTGGTGAGGGTATGGTTTTAGCCTCATGTCTCATAGTTAGGGTTGCAAATGAGTCGAATTGTTCATGAGGGCTTCAGGTTTGACTCGGGAAAAACTCGTTCGATAGTCGATTTGTTTACGAATAATCCAAGCATCAGCTAAACCGTGTTCAGCTAGTGAGGGTTGCAACTTGCAAGCCAGCTTGGTGGTTTGTTAAGCTCACCTCGTGAGCAGTCTGATTTTAAACTCACGAGATGTCTTGAAATTAGTTGATAATTAATATGTTTGTTAAATTACAAATCCCGTGCCATATAATGTTTAAGACTTCGAGTAATATCGAGTAAATATGTGTTGTTTATAATTTAAAAAATAAATAATGTGCACTAGTTGGTTAGATACTAATTATAATGAAATAACATGATATTGACTAATTAAAATGTATTAGCTTAATAATATGACATCGACACGGGATTAGTTAATAATGAAATATTACTATCTAATATTAGGGTAATTATGTATAAATTATTTTCCAATTGGTGAGATGATCCTAACTCAAGGCAAACACAATACAATGTTTTATTAAACAAGTCAAACTCCACTTAGACTCGAGTTGACTCGTTAATAAATAAAAACCCAACTCACACTTGATTAGTTTATTAACGAGCCGAGTTCAAACTAAGGCAAAACTCATCTTTTCTCATTTGTAGCCCTAACTATAGCCATACTTATATCTACCTCACAAATATTATTTCTTCATATATAGAAAATAGAGGGATCAAGTTGTAACCTATCAATGAAAAGAGGATAGCTAAAAATAAATAAAGAGTTGGAATGTTATTGATTAGTCACTCAAACCAAACCTTAATTGATTTCCCTCCAGTTCTCTTTTCACTCATTCACCTTCTTTCTTCATTTTATCATGATTATGTTGGCTATTTATTGTTTAATAAATATGTTGGAGTTGTAGATGAATGATTTATAATATTATATATTTTCTAATGAATTAATGAATATTTTAAGATCGAAAGTATTGAATTCATATTAAAAATGTTTGTATTGTACCTTTGTAGATTTCCTGATAATTAAAGATCTAAATGTTGAATTTTAAATATAATAATATTAAATTTATGAGTGTTATTACCCACAGGCCACGGGTAGTCGTAAATCACAGATATCGTGATGCAAAACTTCCTTATCTGAATATGCGTATGCATATGAATATGAGTATTTAGAAATGAAAATAAAAATAATTTAGGAAAATCCGCCCCAATCACACTCACTACCATAGTAGCAGAAACGTAATAGTCACCTTAACCCCTCGACGCTAGTAAGAAATCAGTCTGGTGTTAATTACACCTGTGCTTAGGAATGACAATGGGGCAGGTCCGGGCGGGTTTCTTGGTACCCAGACCCGCCCCGTGGCAGGGCGGGTCCAGATCGGGTAATTGATCACGGGTCGCGGGTCAGGGCAGTTCGACCCAATGGGTACGCAATTTATATGAAAAACATTAGAAATCTTCGTTATTTTTATTATAAAACTAAGAAAACAAACAATATTATGACAATTGTAGTTAAATTATTGGAGAAATTGAGGTTTTCACTGATTTACAACTTTATTATAGCTAAAATATGATGCAATAAAAGGAAAATTCAAAGTAATTGTCATGTAATTTAGACAAGAACGGGTTGAGAATGGGGTGGGTCAGGGCAGGTCGGGTCGATGAGACTACCCATGCCCGCCCCGCCCCGCCTACGAGGCGGGTCGGACCCGCCCCAAAACAGGTCAAACAGGTTGGGTAAAACGGGTCATGTCAAAATTGCCATCCCTACCTGTGCTGACATAAAATGTAACGATGCAAAAGTCAAAATACGTAAAAACCGAACATATCCAGGAAGAGCTTCACTCATTCGCCCTCTTGCTACAAACCCTTCGATTCTAATTTTGAGAACAATTATCTAGAAAATGTCGACAAAAAATTAGCAAACTTGGGAAAAGTTGGAAAAACTCATAGAGAATATTTTGGTCTCTGCTTGACTTCGTTCCAACAGAAAAGGAAATTATCAGAAAACGACAAAAAGCGAGCACATGAAAATTATCAAAATGCATGCACGAGCACGACCATCACTGGGGAAACTTGAACATCCCAGCAGCAGCAGGATCGCATCCAGAAAGTGGGAAAGGGAATTTCTGCGCCGCCGTCACCGCCGACGAATTGCCGCCACCACTTCCACCTCCGCCCACTGCCACCGATGATCTCTGGTCATGCTGATGAGGATGAGACGAAAGCAACTTGTCCAGAAAAGACCAATCAGCACCCGCCGCCGCAACATTACTACTACTACTCCCATAATTGCCACCACCGGTACTTCCGCTCGGCGTCTGCAGCCTCAAGAAGCTCTGTGGCTGCATCAGCGGGGAGCAATCATTGTTCATATTATTGATCAGGTTGTTGTTGTAGGAGTTGACGAAGTGTGCGGATTCGGCACTGAAGAGTTGCGGGAGATGCATGGAACCGGCCTCGAACTCGTCGTAAACCGCTGCTGCTCCGACGGAGTTGCATGCAGTGGACGTGGTGGCGGGTTGAAGGTGGTGGTGGTGGTGGTGGTGGTGATCGTCGTCGGCGCCGCCGCCCATTTGTGGTGCGAAACCTCTTGCTTGGTTCTTCTTCTTGAATACTCGACACACTACCCACCCTTCTTCCTGCAAAAATACAATCCGTATTACCATTTGAATGCTGAGACTGAAAATACGTTTAGTAATGTATTTTTATCAGGTTTGTGGCAATAAGAGTGGACAACGGAACAAGAATTAGCTGAAAAAAAGATAGAAACAATTTTATGTAGCTTCCTTTTTGTTTTCTTGTGAGATCATACAAGTTATTCGAATAATTTTATTTGAAGGAGTCTATGGCTAAATCTTATTAGACTAACTTTTTACATGTTTTATTCAATTTTTCTATAACTTATATCCTCTAAATTTTATGTTTTATATTATTTTCATATACTTTTCTCTTTTTTTTTTTCATAACTCGTCATGTCACAATATTCCTCATTATTTTCCTACCTTCCTTAGTCTCAACATTAATACTAAACCAGACCAAATGAAGCAACTAAACGTTGAAAATTGTCAACATCCATGACTTCTCAGAATTACCAATTGTTTTCCATTTTCATGGCATTGTGGTTGTACCTATGTTGTCACAACAATATTGTAAGCACATCAGCAACAAATGTGCACTAAACGAGGCCTTAATCAGTAGTTTCTGTCTTCCTAAACAGTTAGCGAGCTAGGGTTTACCTGAAACTGGGAGTTGTGATGATGTTGGTCATCGTCGAGGCGATACTCGTGCATGATCCAATCGGTCTTATGGCCGTGAGGTGCCCTTCCAGTGTAGAACACCAGGGTTTTGCGCATCCCAATCCTCTGTGAATGATCATTGCTTGTGAAATGAATGGCTTTGTCCCTCCCCGTAGCCTTCCAGAACCCAGCTGCGGTTGCCCTATTCGTTCGAGTCCCTGTTGGGTACTTCTTGTCTTTGTGGCTGAAGAAATACCACTCATTCTGTGGACCTGTCCCGATTCTGCACTTCTCTGCAATTTTTCCATATGATTCCATGACACCAAAACCAATAATTATTGGTTTACTATTATGTCCCATAAATTACCCCAAGAGGTGATATATGCAATAAAAGGTCCCTATTTAGAGTATTTATGGAGCAAAATAGTGTTTATTATACTTAGGAGCCTCTACCAGCTGTTATCTCTGCCATGATAGGGGGAAAAATTGAAGTTATAACAAATTCGCCACTAACTACGAAAAAATTCACTCACACATGTTACAGTCATTCATCAATTATACAGAGATTTTGTACGACTGACCAAACCAACATTTGTCGAATTTTTTGGCTAGCTGAACCCTATACATAGACTCTTCTGTTGGGTTGCCGTCTTCATCTTTCCAACCCTAATTTTAAACACTGGATATTACTTGAACGTCAGGATATGCAGATCCACCACACTTGATTTTGAATGAAAGAGATAAGATCGGTTTGTATCTATGCAATCATAAAAACAAAGATAATTGTCGAGAATCCTTATCGAGCAAATTTATACTCTTTGTTTGTGTTTCCCATAAGAGGATTAATTAAGATTAATAACATGACGATTAGAACCATGATGAACATGAAAGAAAACATAATCCCCCGAAACCCTAAAAGAAAAGGTGAGTCTGAGTCCATATATGGCTTACTTTCAATGACGAGTTACGTTACCTTTGAGGTCCCAAGGCTCAAGCTTGTTGAGGTCGACTTCCCTGATGACGTCGAGGTCTATGGCCTCGTAAGAAACCTTCTTCCTCAGGTAGTAGTACAGAAGCTCCTCTTCCGTCGGGTGGAACCGGAAACCCGGCGGCACCGACAGCTGCCCGCCGCCACTTCCACCTGCCATTAATCTTCTCTCTTGTGTATGTATATATACGGATCCTTCCTTCCTTCCTCTCCACCTACTTTGCTTGCTTTCTGGTTACTGCGTTGTGTACGTAGATGGAAGTGGAAGCGAGCTTAGGAGAGAAAGAAAGGGACGTTGCTTCCTTCCCGTTTTTCGCCGGATAATACACAAGGCAGGTAAGAAGGGAAGGGAAAGAAAGAAAGAACAAGAAGAAATGGACGCCAGAGAGAGAGAGAGAGAGAGTAGAAAAGCTGGCTGGCAGGCTAGTTAGGTCAAACACAGAGAGATGAGTTACGTTGCTTGTTGTGACGGTCGCCGGCCGCGACAAGCAATGCATGGAAGGCGGATCCCGTATGGGGAAAAATCAACGTAAACGGCACGGCGGGCGAGAGACAGAGAGAGAGATGGGTTCTTCTATTCTATTTTGCATGTGAGGAGAATAAAGTGAGTGACAGAGAAAGGGGATTTTGACGCAACTCCAAGCTTTTTAAGGTGTGTGACTGATCGACAGCCGACCCAAGATTAATTGGCACAGAAATAAAGGCCAATAATCACATTAAAAAAAAAAGACAAAAGCATTTGTTTAATTAAGGGGTTGAAATTATCTACGAAAGAGTTAGGTTCTTCATTTCGCGCGTTCACTTTATTGGCGAAACAACAAACATCAAAAGATGTGTATTAGGGGACCATACACTGTGATTGCAAGTATATATATACTAATAAAGGTTACAAGTATATATATACTAATAATAAGTTGTAGTAGTCTAGCTCTGCAATTGCAAAAGATAAGGACTACAACTACAACTGCAAAAACAATTACTATAATTATAATTGTGTCGGAATTATAGTCCTACAAGAATAATAATAAAAAAATTATACATAGAAAAAAAAACGATAATTACAACTATGATTATGTACTACTACAGCTCATGATTAGGATGGTGCACGCTAGAACCCCGTATGGTCAACAAGTTAACCCATCTCGTCAACTGCTAGTAAATTTCAAGTGAAAGGAATTGTGGATATTCTTTGTTTCACGTCAACTTTAACGGTACATAACGATAACAAAAGAACGTAAAGTACTTTATTAAGAAAACAATATCGAAATATAGTGTCATACCGAGGAGGACAAAAAAAGTTGAGGGTTTAATTATACTTCATTTTATCACCTTTTCTAAACATTTCGTATGCACCTGAACTCATCGGTGTACCATGAACGCGTTTACAGGAAAATGGAATGATGAAATAATAGTTAATTAGCAAGGAGCCTAGGGATTGGGGGAATAATTAAACAAATGGGGATGGAGCAGAGTACCGTGAGAGCTACGGCATTGCTCTTATAAACTTACAATTAAATCAGTGCCAATATCCAAATAATTATTTATATGATATGATAATAACACTACTATAGGGTACTGGCCGCAAGCTAGTTAGAATGCTCCCATTTTATATGAGGTAAAATTATTTATGTCAGCTTGTGCAGCCATAAGATAAGACGAGAAATTTCATTCCAAAGCGCGCGGCTGGTAAATGTCCGTTGAACGGGAGACTCTTTGTCCCCAATTATCGCCTTGTTACGATGAGCAAATTCAGCTTCACTGTCAATTACTACTTGCTACCCTCCAATTCCCTTAGATCCCGAAATCAGGACTCCTGCAGAAAATTACAAATCTGTCTCTCTTAAAAAAAAGAATTTGGTGATTATATTTGTCTGGAAGTTCTATGCCAAAAAGGTAAATGATAATTTGTCTTATCTCGTGTTGGAAAATAGACCAACTCTTCAAAATATTCTTTTGTTATAGGGGTTTGACTGTATACATATATATGTAGCTGGTTTTTGGTGTATAAATAGCTATAGTTATGCAAGTGTACGTAGGTGTAGTTGATCATCTGATAGTGGGATGTCTTTTGTGCGTGTCCGTTAAAGGATTGGGATGAGAAGAAAATGAAATAGATTTCATATATAAGTTATAACCATGGATGCTTTATCTAGAACTCAAACAACAATATTGTTCTAGAGGTCGATCGAACCAGATGCCCTAATCATCCAATGTACTTTGATATGAGTCGGGTTATATTCGCTTGTCTTTTAACATGTTGTCGACTCGAGTTCAGGAACTCGTTTGCCAAAGTGAGGGTGCTGCTGTCATACTGATATATGTGATTCCTACTTCAACTAAAACTATATCACTTGGACATAAGGGTGTTTTGCTCATTGGATTTGAAGAGGGAGGTTTGTGTCCAATCTTTAAATTTGAAATATGAAATGAAATATAAAAAAAATCATAGCCAAAATGGATATTGTTGTATTTATTTCATATTGAATGGTATTATTTTCTTATTTGTTTTAATTATAAAAAAATATATATGAGAAAATTATGTTTTCTGAAAAAGATTAAAAATGATAAAAATAATGTGTTGACTTCAAAACGATTAATTTTTGCAATTGGAGGTTCTTCTTTTATGTTATAAATCACTCTTAATTTTTTTATATAAATTTCGACTTATAGATGGTTTTGATCAAACAAACAATGAATTTGACCAAATTCCTCATATGTGAGATTGAGTTTCAAATCCATAACGTAAATCCAATTAACAGACTACATAAAAAATTAAAAAGATTAAGGTCGGGTAGTTCGAGGAAACATTTTGACCAGAGAAGTTGATTGCGTGGGATCCAAATGGGATTAAATATGGTGTAAACGGTAAAGTAATATTGGTAATAAAAAAACTGTAAAATTGCGAAATAAATTAATGATTGTGATCTGTAATAGAAGATCATTTAGCCACTAAGGAAAGGACACCTTGACTTGGATAATTTCCTCATGCATAGTCAAAACTTCATTCATCGATGATTTCCATATAATTAATTATTGTCCACGTAAAGGATACGGAGTTGTATATATGCTGAAAGCAAGAAAGGAAAGGGAATAAGCTTCAATAATATCCTCAAATTCAGTGTACCATTCTTTATTTTTCCATTAAACCCTACTGGTCCTCATTTGTAACGAAACAGAAGTTCGGGACCCGGAGTGAATGATTTAGGAATACGAGAAAGTTGAAGCTCTAATGAAACACGTACCACTACTTCACAGTTCACACTGAGTGGATAAGTTAGAGACACATCTAGACAATAAATAAAAGCCAAATGAGAAAACTTGAAGCCCCATTTCAAATTTCCTGCATCCAGAGTGAAAGTAGGAAGGACATTTTGGTCTTCACAATTACTTTTTTTTATTCATTAAAAGGACACTTACTAGGATTCGAACCATGACCATTTTAAAGAAAAACAAAGATCATAACCAATCACACTAAGTACATTTGTTGTATCTTTTTAAATTAAAAACATATAATTGCAGAGAGGAAAAAACTCTTCCCCCATTTAAAATTCCCTGCTCCAGGAGCGTTTGTAGGAAGAGTAGAATAGGGAGTGTCAATTTTTTTCTTTTTCCTCTGTGGAACGGACCAACTTACCGTACACATGCGAATTTAAACAGGTCCAGGAGTGTCAATTTTTTTCTTTAAGTCCTTTTATTTCTCCATGGTGGTAAAATATATATATGAAAAGGCAAAATCAATACTCCTTTTTATTGCTAAAAAGGAAAAAAATTAACAATAAACTAATGCATGGATTCTAATGGGCTAACCGCTAATCATAAAATAAAAGAGTTGAACGGGTCTGACCTACATGGGATTTGCCCATCAAGTAAAACAAATGAACATCATGGGTTTGCCATTCTAAAACAAGCTATTTTCTCTAGCATAATATATACTATGCTATTATTTTATATCTTAGTGGCTAAAATATAATGTATTTTAAAGTTATTCAATGGTTCAACTTCGACCAACTCAATTAGTCCAATTTTTATCATTTCAAATATATATTATGTAATTATTTGATATCATAATGATTAAATTATAGTGTATATTATAGGAAATCGTTTGGTATTTGTTAGTAAAAAACTAAACAGAAAGATCTATTTGGTTATTTTTAATATTAAAACGATCCTAAACATTTTCAGTTTCCTTTCGAAATTCTATAGTTTTATTCCCGAATCAGTGATGTGCAAATGGTGAATTGCAGTCATCTATTTTCTTTCATTATTTTTTATTTTCAAATATAAAGTTTAAAAGTAAAGAATAATTAGAGTTTGGCATGGGTCGGTCAAACAAGCTGAATTTCAAGTTTTGGCCCATTTTGATCAAGTCTAATTTATAATCACATGGTTCTCTGATACCCTATAAAAATCTCAATCCAAACCAGTTTGGCAGGTGAGTCCGTGTTTACCACCATTTTCTAGGGATATAGGAACGGTGGTTCCTATCCCAAATCGTGCTGTTCATTCTTGATTTCTTTAGATTTTATCATGGCTTGGCAAAAAACCAGAAAACACAATGATGAGAAGATGAAAGTTTTATAAAGCAAATTAATCGGCCAACGGGCCGAGTAAAAGCTAGCAACGATTGTGAGATGCTCATTTCCCGAAAATCGGCGGGATATACGATTTTTTATTCGATTTTCTGGAATTCGGTTTCTATAAAACTTACTCCACCTCATCATATTACCAGAAACAATATTGTTTCACAAGGTAACATGTACTGGATTTTGGTTCATAAGGCTGATTTTTGATTCGTTGCATCATTCATGTCTCTTTTCTACAAAAATTCACTATTTTTATCACGTGTTTCCCCAAAAAAAAAACTATACAACAATAAGCTATACACCCCATTACATTATCAAATTCCATACCTCATCTTCGTTCGGCCAAATGGCCGGGACCCACGCTAGTATTTGGTATGATTGAATGGGTGATGGACGGGTGAGGTTAACCTCTCACTACACTTTTTTTTTATAAGGATGATATGAGTTTAATATTTTGTGATTAAAGTACTATTTAAGGGATTCGAACCAATGACTTTCAGGTTCTAATCTAGTGGTACCACTAGACCAAGCCCTTGTTCGTAACCTCCAACAACAATTTTTCAACTAGCAATTAAGAAAGTTGGCTACCATTATAACAAACTCCTCGCAAATTAATCAGATTGTAGCAATTTATATACTTTTTACTTTGTCTCCTGTGAATCTATGTAGTATCTTCAATTTCTCACTACATCAACCAACGACGTAAACAAAATTAACGCATTTTGCGACTTTGATACAATTAATAATTTATAATTTGCAATCAAATTTCTAATGGACATTACTCAATATTATAAACAATAATAGTACAAAAACACTCTTTACTCTTCGTCTTCGGAAGTCAATGGTTAGTGTGCATAGCAAATATTTGATATTATAAACCATAAATAAATTTTATACGTATAAAAATAAGGTAAATACGTACATGCCATTCAAGTGACCTGCGATCCACCCACCACCCACCCGATTAAATACATATATATAAGAGATTTATCAATCCACCCACCACCGACATCAATTATCCATCTACGATGGATAAATGTCAAAGTGCAGATTAACCAACAACGTGGCCACCCCTAGCTTGTTTCCCAGGAAATTTGCAAGTAGATCAATTCAAGTAATGCACCAAAGTTATATAAACTTGTGCCTTCCTAGTAGTTGAAAATAAAAGGTACTACAGTGACAAAAGTAGAAAACAGGAAAAACAAACAGATTCAAGCCAAACTGCTAACACGATTTCCATTGTTTTGTTCATTCGTTTAAGGTTCTATGTAACTGTCAAACGTTCCACGCTCCATATCATCATCATCATCATCATCATCATCGCAACTTTAGATCAGCAAACTTCGATGCCACATCCATGGCCTCATCCACGTTCGACGCATCTTTTCCCTGAAACCAAGAGTTCATTCAGCTCGCATCATTACGTAGAATAGAAAGAAATAGAAAATGAGGATACTTCATTCCATATGCTCGCTCAAACTACCAACCTGGCCGGTGGCAACACCATCTTTTCCTCTTCCACACTTTCCATTCAGAGGACCCAAGGCATTGCTCAACCATTCAGAAACCTCCAACTGCTTCACCTTGTTCGACTTATCTGGCACTCCAGCGCACACCACCGCTTTGTTTGTGCTTTCATCAATGCTGATAACCATGATTGAGATTCCCTGGCAATGATATAGGAAACAGCCCGTGTCAGGATAAGAATATTGGCTTTTGTTCCGCCCCATTGGCATCACTAGCACAATACATGCAGTCAAGCGTAAAACCCCACACACCTTCCGATCCAGGACTTTTAACACGGCCTCACGAACTGCAGCTGCATCCAAGCCTACATCGACTCTCGAGATGCAAAATGATTTGCCTTCTGATGCAGCAGTTTCAGCAATCTCCGTTGCAACCTGCACAGCCTTCTGTGTGTTTTCTTCAGCAATCTTCTTCTGTAGCTTTCTCACTTGGCTCTGATAAGATTTTAAATCATTTCAGAGCAATTCTAGGGCAAGAAGCAACACTCAGAGAAACTAGAAGGGCTAATGAAAAATCAACCAGGGTAAAAAATGGAGGATAAAGTTTTGAAAGTCAAGTGTTTCTGCAATACCTGAAGCACAGATATCTTGGACCTAAGATCAGCTTTCTTGGCTGCAGGAATAGTTGCTGCGTCCACACGACTCTTCAGAGATGCGACTTTCTGTTTAATTACAAGAAAATAATCAGACAAAAGAGCAAGTATATGCAGAGACTAAAAGGAACATTTTTTCTTTAATGGATCATCAACTTTGGATAAGAGCAACCTTTTCCAGTGCACTGCCATCTTCTTTGGATGCTTCCTCAACTTCTTGCTCAAGCGAGCATGCTAATTCCAATGCTTTAAAAGCACTGTCGGTTGTAACTGCAGTTATCCGTCTAATCCCTTTTGCAATTCCCTCCTCGGACAGAAGAGCAAAAGCTTTAGCTTCCTTTGTGTTTGTAATATGCGTTCCTGTCAAATATTTTCCACAAGTGTAAGTCACACGAAACCAAGAAGTAGATGAAGAACTAGAACCGTGAAGACAAGATTTAAAACCTCCACAGAGCTCTGTTGAAAGTGACAGCCATTCATTGTTATCTGGGTTAGCCACAAGTTCTTCAACGTTACGACCGATTGCAACCACTCTAACAGGGTCAGGATACACCTAAATCACAACAAAGAAGGAATTCAGGATATAATAAGTACATATACTACTTTTAACAACCTGAATGGCAGATTAGTGCATTACGTACTTCACCGAAAACAGCTCGCAGTCCATTAATCTGCTTAGCATCAGCCAGGCTCACTTCCTTAGCATATACACCTAACTCAGCCTTAATTTGTTCATTCACAATTGCCTCAATTTTTCTTAAAGCCTCAGCATCCACTGGTTTTCCTACAAGATCATTGATCAAGTTAGTGACCAACTGAAGGTAGGCAAATCAAATGTTCCTGAAAATTGGACGGTACATTATGAACCAACAGAAAAGGCTCACCATGACTGAAGTCGAATCTTAACTTTTCAGGGAGGACAATAGATCCCTTCTGGTCAATGTGATCACCAAGGACCTCCTGATTTCAGATCAGGACACAATCAAAGAAGTGCTTTTGCCAAAATAATAAGACTATATGTGGGGAGGGTAAGGGACTTACTCTAAGAGCAAAGTTCAACATGTGTGTACAAGTATGGTTGGGTGCGATGATTTTCCGTCTCTCATAATCAACCTGAACAACCAACAAGGTAAAACTTGAAGCATTTACATCAAGTACACTAAAGTACCAATACACTAGGAAAGCAGTCAAGTGATTACTATTTTAAATACCTTACAGACAACCTTCTCACCGACTGAGAATTTTCCTGTGCCTCCAGTGAGGGAACCAATATGAAGGATAAATCCTCCGAATATTTGGACATTGCGAACCTCAAAGGAACCAAATGAGCCCTCAAGTAACCCAGTGTCAAAAATCTACAAGAAAACCAAGTCTCGTAACCCTAACCAAAAATACACAACCTTGACAAAAAAAAAATTTAACGGAAAAAAACATAAAGAACACACCACAAACTTCATCTTGATCTAAGAAATAAATAAGTGTACAAACTCAGACTGTACGATTCCACATCGTAACAGGGAGGCATCGATGAAAAATGAGAATCAAAAACAATTTTTTACGTTAAGAATACACTATAGCGAAGAACCAATCCTTGGCTGGTGAATACCTGACCACCTTGTTCAGCATAGAAACTAGTAGATTGGAGAACTATGCCAACTTCATTGCCAAGAGTGACACTTTCCAAGAACTCAGAACCTGTGTAGATGGCTTTAATCGAAGACTCGTGATCCTGAGAAAGAGTAGAGAAGAATGAGATAGGAAGTGCAAGAGAACCTTCACCTAGAATGTAATATACTGACCTGGAACCAAATATATTTGTAGGAATCATCTGTGGCAGAAACACCCTTCTTGTGCAATATAGATGTAGCATCAGCATCCATGACAATAGCACCACCAGCTTGCTGCCAAACGGTTTATATTAGCCAAATGCTTGTGAACCAAACAGGAAGATCTTAACTATATTCCATCACTTTTCACTCTTAAATTCAACAAAAAGAAAAAGAAAAGAAAAGAAAAGAAAAACAGTTACCAAGTATATAAATATAACAATCCACAGGTAAAACTGACAAAGGCAGCTATACCTTAGTTTGGGCACTTCTTGATCTTTCTCTAGCTTCATCCATGGCTTTATTGAAACCTTCAACATCAACTCCCAATTTCCTTTCTTCTGCCATCAACTGAGTCAAATCTAGCGGGAAGCCATAAGTGTCCCACAAAACAAATGCTTTCTGCACCAACCACCAGATAGATTACGATAACATAGTTTACAATAATCCAATACCAAATGCACAGGTCGCACTCTTAGCATATCAAGCCAGAATGAAAATTTCATCTGTATATAGAGCATTTGCTGAATACAAGTTCTTAGAGATCTCATTAGAGCAATAAAGTTTCGCATATAAGTACTTGCCTGCCCACTGATTACTTTTCCCTGAGCATCCTCAACCTCCTTAGCATCCTTTTTAAATCTCTCAATTCCCTGAGGATGAATTACAACAACAATGAAGACACAAGAAGAAGAATTCCAAGATACTAAAGAAGGGAGAACACTTGTATACATAAATAATCACCCCTAGGTAGCAAACAGAAGTACGAGATGACAGAGGAACTACAAGTAATGAAAGATACACATACGCAGAGTCACAGACATCAAATGAAATTACATATCACATAAAAAGCAGAAGGATACACAAAATTCCTACTTACCTTGAGCAATGTTCTCCCAAAACTTGCTTCCTCTTCCGTTATTATTTCCCTGATATGTTGCTCCTTTTCTTTAAGCTCTTGAAAAACATCACCCATCACTCTTACAACAACATTTACAAGCCTGCATTCATGACAGATCATCAGAAACAGGGAAAAAGTGAACCATCAATATATTTAGTGACAAGCTTTCCTTCTTTCAAGAAAATTTGAGTCTTCTTTAGACAGTAAGGGATGCCAACCCTCATTCATGAGTTACGAATGTCAAACAACATGGAAACCTCACAATCACTGTCACAGTTAGTCAATCAAACCCAAATCATCGTAGAATCTGTTTTGAAGACCATAACAAGAAAAAGAAACGCGTCTCTTCATACCCGTTAAAGAATCCTTCTCGGGCTTTAAGCTTCTCACTTCCATAGCGAACAGCACGACGAAGAATGCGCCTAAGAACATATTCACGTCCCTCATTACCTGCACAAACGACAAATAGTGCAGTGCAACGTAACATAAGAATCTCCACAACCAGCAAGCTCGGGTAAAGAATGACCCAAAATAAGTCCATGATAATCTACCTGGACAAGAACCATCAGCAATGGCAAAAGAGAGAGTTCTGATGTGGTCAGCAACAACCCTGTAAGCCATGTCAACTCCATCCACATCCTCAGCCCCAACTTTTCCAGAGTAAGGTCGTGCCCCTGTTGCCTGCAGGTATATCTCATCAACTTGTATTTCTTCGACACAAAAAACAAACACTGAAAGAAATAATCTGACTTGAGACCATTACTTGACCTGTACGGGACTATCCCCATAAATAATGAGCCACACAAAACGTTTGAGCAAATTAATTAAAAAGTTTGACGAAAGCTCGAAGCCCAAAAAGTATATGGCTATGATAGCATACAATGTGGGGGGGGGGGGGGGGGGGGGGGGGGGAGAGCGAAGAAACCGAACAGTACCTGCTGAATGGCATCAAAGATGGGCATAAAAACATCAGTATCATAATTGCTCATCTTGTTTTGGAGAATTGAAGTAAGCCTCTCGAAACCCATTCCGGTATCAACATGCTTAGAGGGTAGAGGTTTTAAGGTGCCATCACTTTCCCTGTTGAACTGCAAAATTATGGGAATAGAAGAGGACATGCAATTAGTTTCAAGATCTTTCTAGCTCTGTTAGTGCACTCAATCACAAAATCGTCATCGGACATTGGTTTGGAGGGTAAGATGCATGAGCAACAAGCAACGCTGTGACAATTCAGGAGAAGCTATACCTGAATAAACACAAGGTTCCATATCTCAATGCATGTAGGATCGTCATTGTTCACCAATGATGATGCATCCCGATTACCAATCCTATCAAAATGTATTTCTGTACAAGGACCACATGGACCAGTATCACCCATCTCCCAAAAATTGTCCTAGTAGAAGATTGACAAAGCATGTGAATTAATCAGTTGTCTTGCATAGTCTACAACAATTTACTCGCAGCAGCCACAGGGGAAAATTTGAAGCTAACCAGAACAAGTATTTACCTTGCAACCAAATGGCAGCACTCGTCCAGGTGGCAACAATTTGAGCCACATGTCTCTTGCTTCATTATCAGGAGCAAGACCAGCTTTATCATCGCCCCCAAAATAAGTAGCATAAATACGATCCTCGGGCAGTCCATACACCTATTACCCATAAATAAAGCAGAACAAGGTTTACCCATAAATAAAGCAGAACAAGGTATGGAAGTGAAACATACGAAGAATACACTAGCTGATGTACAAGGGAGAGGAGTTAGAGAAGAAGATGCCATGGACGTGAGGCATGAAGTTGGTTACTTAAGAAGGCCAAACATGTATATATTGGAAGTTTGGAACCATCAGTCAATCTTACTGCCATAATACCTTGGTTAGGAGCTCCCAAGCCCATTCAATAGCCTCCTTCTTAAAATAATCACCGAATGACCAATTCCCCAACATCTCAAAGAATGTATGGTGGTATGTGTCCTTCCCCACATCGTCAAGATCATTATGCTTCCCTCCGGCGCGGATACACTTCTGGGTATTACAAGCGCGTTTTAGCTTGCTCAAGTCGGTATTTGGATCAGCTGTCCCCAAGAAGATGGGTTTAAACTGATTCATGCCTGTTCACAAAGTAACATTACAAGGGTTGTTCACACAATTATGTCCAAAAATTGCACGAAACAATCCACCAATCAGCACCCACAGAGCAAAACGGAATTTCAACTTCATATAATAAGAAAATTGCGAACTCGACTTCATCCCTCATACTTCTTCGGAGTAACTAATCAGAATCTACGCGCAACAAAGAAATCGCATCAAACATTCGGGAGAGACAGGAAATGAAAGCTCACCAGCATTGGCGAAGAGGAGAGTTGGGTCGTTCACGGGGACGACTGGACTGGACGGCCAGTTCTTGTGGCGTTTTTCCTCGAAGAATTTCAAGAAAGTGCCCCTGACTTTCGCCGCCGGCCACTGGGGCTCTTGTTTCGGGTCTTCCCCCGGCATGACTGCCGCAGATGAAGTGGAAAAGCTGGCGAAGTTGAGACTGGCAGAAACCCTAGCTGCCGCCAATAAGGAGAGACGGGTTTTACGAGCGAAGGAGAGAAAACCCAGAGTTGCTGCTACTGCGGATGGTGAGTATGACCTTGCGATGCTCTTCATCCATTCTCTTCCAAGCTAATAGTTCTTTATATTCCCTTCCTTTTTATTAACCTTGATTTTTTGTGATTCTTATTCCTCAATTACGATTTTCCGGATAATTATTTTTCAAACCTGTATTACCGTTATGTGAAAATAGTAAGGAGTATATACCAATTTCCTTATGAGGAAAATATATTTTCATTTAAAATTTATAATTTTCTTGGCCTTAGGTTCGAATTTAGAATATGCTAATGTTTTCATTCATAGGTCAATCGAGTTAAGTGTAGTTATTTTCTTGATTGGAAAACCTATAAATTTTAGGTATCAGTATCACTATGGTTTTTTTTTTTTTTTTGTGAGAAGTATCACTATGGTTAAACTTGAAGTAACATTATTTGAAATTTGTTAATGGATTGTTTGGATTAGCAATTTATTTTGTATGGGATTTGGTTCCGAAATTCACATCCATTAAATAGAATATTTTAAAAGTGAATTTGGGATTAAAAACTACATATGGGTATGAATGAGAGTTTTGAGAGTGATAACTTAAAAATACAAGTTTGCCCATCCAATTTGCATCGACTAAGAAAAAAATTCTTATGTTATTTGCGTCTTATTTTCCTCTACTTCTCTCTATGAATTTCTTAACAAAAGCAATTGAATTCCAAATGAGCAATTGGCAATCAACCCCTACACATTAAAATCCTATATTAGAAGAATCCTATAAATATACCTTAAATCCGGGAAACCCCAATAGAAGATCTCATTGACGACGACATAGTGGAGGTGGCGAATAAGAGTGCGAAGAAGAAAAGAACTTGTTGACGTCGACTTCTTTGTGTCGCCTGGAATCATATTCGGCCACCGGAAGATTCTCATAACTTATCATAGATCTATGATTGAAGCTCATTACAGATCTTTGATTTCATACTCCCCACCCCACCACTGATCGTTAACCAACTTCCCAACTCAAACCAAATTCGTCTTCATTAACAAGTGAAGCTTGACAAACAGTGAGAGGGAGATGCGGAGACAAATCGAATATAGAGGAATCGATGGTGACCTTAACGGATGCGCAATCCTTCCTCAACAAAATGAATTGTTTGCGACTTGGATCCTTAAATATGAACAAACATCCCAAGATATTTATCTTGGAGCCTAATCTCAACTACCCCTAGAAAGGATCTCGATGTTGCAAGCTCCTGATCATTGACATTAGTACTTACATAAATTTAAGATTTCTGTAGATTCACCTTCTGACCACTCAGTCACTCATGCTCCTCAAAGACATGCAGTAAATTTGCACATTTCGGCATAGAGGCCCCTGTAACCACTAATCTCAACTACCCCTAGAAAGGCATGCTCCTCAAATACATGCAGTAAATTTGCACATTTCGGCATAGAGGCCCCTGTAACCACTTTATCTTGGAGCCTAATCTCAACTACCCCTTGAAAGGATCTCGATGTTGCAAGCTCCTGATCATTGACATTAGTACTTACATAAATTTAAGATTTATGTAGATTCACCTTCTGACCACTCAGTCACTCATGCTCCTCAAAGACATGCAGTAAATTTGCACATTTCGGCATAGAGGCCCTCTGTAACCACTAATGGGTGCAAGGTAGGAGCGAAAGTCTGGTACAATGTCGCCCCCAACCTTAAGGAAAGTTTCTTGGTGAAATACTTGAATGGAATGCCCCAAATATGCAGACTCAATGGACCCACATGAGTGCATCTGCCACTTGTTTGAGTCGGTGACACCCGTGACGCAAGAGCAAGCAAGAACTTGAATTTAAGATTTCTGTAGATTCACCTTCTGACCACTCAGTCACTCATGCTCCTCAAAGACACGCAGTAAATTTGCACATTCCGGCATAGAGGCCCCTGTAACCACTAATGAGTGCAAGGTAGGAGCGAAAGTCTGGTACAATGTCGCCCCCAACCTTAAGGCAAGTTTCTTGGTGAAATTCTTGAATGGAATGCCCCAAATCTGCAGACTCAATGGACCCACATGAGTGCATCTGCCACTTGTTGAGTCGGTGACACCCGTGACGCAAGAACAAGCAAGAACTTGGGGACAATCCACGGAACATCAACACCAACCTTATGCATATTTTCCTTCAAGGAAAACACTTACTAGGTAAGGCCATAATCCAAACCGGAGACTGTTAAATCACATTTGCATCTCTAGATACGAATCAATATCGTCTTAAGGATATGGACCATGAGCGCATAATATTGACCACAAAGCACACTTGAAGCCACATCGTCATCATTAAATTAAACCGCAATTGCTATGGAAGGAAATTGTCTTAGAGAGCTATTCACCAAAAAAAAAAAAACGATACGTCATGAAGAAAAGAGGTCACAAAGAGCCGAAGACCTCCCCTCCCAAAAAAGTCTATGTGTAGAGGGTTTTTAGGCCCATAATCCCACTAGGGGCCAGACTCCGGCACCGCATCCGCATGACAACAGAAAGTTCGTAACGGCTTATGCGCATGATGGCAGAATCCATGATCCACCCACTTGAGGGAGAGAGGACAATTTGTGAGTTTTTTTTTTATACCAGATTGTGCATTTCTTAATGTGATGCTTTACATTTTAATTCCACAACTATTCAACTCATCAACTTTGTCCTATTTGGAAATCAATTCTCATAGTTAACAGTTAAATGAGTTACGTGACAATTAAAAAAAAAAACTGAATCTTTTAAATTTTCCGCCTCTTTCACAACTATTAAAAATTAAAATTTAATTACTTTTATTTTTCTAAACACCCAAAACGAACCCGACATAACCTCATCAATCTCTCTTGTATGGTACTAACTCCATTTTCACGACATCACCAACTATCTCCCTTTCCTCCAATCTCACATCTGTCGTCCCCTTCATAAACAAGTGATTTGGGCGAAATTCAACACAACAAGAGATTTGGACAAAATCCTGCCTCCCACTGCAATTCAAAACCCTTATTGTTTTGGTTATTTTCTTAATTAACATTTCTTATGCTCATATGGAGAAATGTGTACAAAATTCATTATCCTTCCCTTACTACTACTAGGGATGCCAATTTCGACCTGACATGTTTTACCTTACTTGTTTGACATATTTTTTGCGAGCAATATCCACCTTGTAAGCGGGACAGGACGAGTATGTGTAATCTTGTCAGCATGACCCACCCCATTCTCGACGCATTTTGCCTAAATTTCATTTCACTACACTCTGATTGTTTAGGAGTTTACTTTTATAGCTACAATAAAGTTGTGAGAATTTTACTCTCTCAAATAATTTAACTATATTTATCATTTTATAATTTGTTTCTTGATTATTATTTTTTTAAAATTAACATTCTAATATTTTTATTTCAAATTACATACCAATTTGGATAGCTCTATTGTACAATATGCACCCAATAATAAATTATACGATTTGAACACGACATACCACATTACGGGTATGAGATATAACCGCCCGACCCAACCCGTTACCATTCCTCCGTGCGACGGCTGTCCTCCCCGCTCCGGTAAGTCGGTAACCACGAGGCCCGCTTCCGCCGCCGCGGAGCCTTGAATTAGAAAACAGATTGAGTAATATAGGGAACCGGAGAAAAATTAGGTAACGGTGAAATCAAAGAAAAGCGCATCTCAAACATGGCGAAAATCTCGATCATATCGCAATTTCACACAAAGCATCAAGCTTCCGACTCCGTCAAAAATCCGAAAGAAATATATAAAAAAAAAGTGGCCGCCGGAAAAGCTCGGCAGCCAATCGGAGATCTCAACCAAACAAGTCAAAAATTACAAATTCACGCCGATCAAATCAACGACGATGGCGGAGTGGGAATCGCGAAATCAATTTTCAACGATTCTTACAGGTAAACCACAAGCTATGTACAAGACATCCCGCCGGTCAGAACTCGTCGTCATCGGAAGAGCTGGAAGAAGACACGAACTGTTCAATCTGCTCCAGAAAGCTCAGATCCTGAGGCCGATCTTTCCTCTTCACATAACCTCTCGCCTCTTTCTCGCCGTACACCCAATACCCTCTCTTCCCGCACCTCTCCCACATCTCTATCGCGTAGCTTTTCTCCGCGAAATACGCCTCCACGCCGCCGCCGCAGGCGATTATTTCCTCTCCTCCTCCGTCCTCCGCCGTGGGCTCCACCCTGATCGGCAGCCGCTCGTAGTGGCCGCGCTCCGTGCCCTCGAGCTCGTCCAGGCGGGCGAGTCCTCGGGCGGAGACGGCGTACAGCTCGCCGGAGACTCGGTCGGCGCCCGCGGCGCCGGGGAGGTTGAGGAGGAATGGGACGCGGTAGGGCCCGCAGACGAGAGGATGGGGTTCGACGGTGCGGCAATTGCATCGGAAGGCGACATCCCCTGAGCGCATCAGATCTTGAATCAAGCCGTGATTGGAGAATCCCGTCTTCAGGGTGCCGTACGTGAAGATATGCGTCGCCACCGCCGCCGGACGGTGGTTCTCTCTACCTTCGTCGACACCCATTGTTTGTCGGACCTGTGTTGATTAGGGAGAAATAGAAAGAGAAAGGGAGAGAGGAGAGACTCACTCCCACAAATGCAAAGGCCAATGGTTGCTCGATTGAGAGTTTAGAGGAGAATTTAATTAACTTGAAAATATTTATATTAGTTAAGAAAATCTGACTAAATTCTTTCTATTTCTAGTGGAAAGAATTGAGAATAATTATTGACAAACCATAATCACCAATTATGTTTTTTTTAAATCACCAATTTTGTTGAAATAGCTTTGGAGGAGGAAATTATTAATTAATAGAATTCGCAATACTCGATCTGGTTGACTTGTTTTGGTGGAGTCAGGTATTATCCGATAGGCAGAGTTAGACTGGATAGATATGAGTACTTTTCTCGATCTGATCCGTCTTGATACTTATTATTGTCCGGCTTTATCTAAATTATTTGTAATTTTACTCAAATTGTTTAGATATTTATTTTATTATATAATACATTAATGATAATTAAGTTGTAAATATGTGAGATCTTCAATTTCTCGAATTAATTCTATTTATAATGTGATAGTTTGTTTATTGACTTTTTAATGAAGCATCAATGTTTTAGCCATCAAGACTCTCTCCATCGACAACTCTCATCGAAGGGAAGAAGTCCTAATTGGCTGGTCAAAGCCCCCTGCTGGTTGGCACAAGCTTAACACTGATGGAGCTGCTCAGGGTCACCAGGGTATCGTCTCTGTAGGGGGAGTTCTCCGCGATCATGATGGAGATTGGATAGGAGGTTTCGTCAGCAAATTAGGCTCAGGATCAGCTCTTTTGGCAGAGTTGTGGGGTATCCTGAAAGGCCTTGAACTCGCCTGGAAAAAAGGGTCGCGCTTCCTAATCCTTAAGTCGGATTCACAACTTGCTCTTCATCCAATTGAGAAAAGAACGGACAACGCTCACCCGCACTCGACGATCTTAGGAGCTATTCGGCGATACCTAGCTAAAGAATGGGTGATTCGTCTGGTTCATACGTATCGTGAAGGGAATAGAGTCGCGAATTGACTCTCGAAGCACAGTCTCGTCTATCCCTTTGGCACGTACGAATTGGATGATCCCCCTTTAGAGCTTTATAGAATGTGCCGTGAAGATATCCTCGGAGTTAGTTTCGCTCGACATGTGATTCAGAGGGCTGCTCCTTGATTTTTTCTGTGATCTGTTCTCATGCTCTGTTTTTTTTCCACTTTCTTGCTGCTGCGTTCCTGTGCCCTGTTTTTGACCTTTTAGGCCCTGGGCTTTTGTAACTCTGCGTTCATGCCTCCCTTCCTTCAAGAAAAAAAAAAAAATCTATTGACCTACACGATCCGCACTCAAGAAAAAATCCGTAACCTAAACTCAATATGTCACTAGACAAGTATAAATATTGAGATAACCACCGACTTCCCCATCAATATCAATCGAATCTCAAACCAAATGCGAGCGATCAAAATCCCAGGGACCAAATACAATTCGGTTAGTATTATAGCATTCATTAGGGTTAAGACGTCTTTAACATGAACTAGTCACCCAAGACACTTGTATATTTAAACAAAATTCAGTGCCCTTAATGTGAGTATATCCTTCTCTTTTCCCCCTCTTTTTTCTCAACAATTTTCTGTATATCATACATTATAATTATACAACTGCGAGGAGTCGCGTGAAACAAATACATAACAAGGATGAGCAATCCTTCTCCCAAAAGAAAAGAAGAAACAATGACGTATCTGTTCCTGTCATGGTTAAGCCGGTGGTCATGATGGTCAGGGTTTATCTCTACTTCGGTGATTGATCACTCATTGTAAAAATAACCACAATCAGCATTCATTTCTTGTGCCTCTTTTGAGAATCACTCACGCTGGGCAAGAATCTCGACACCGAATATGGGCACCCGAAGAACCGCAGAATGTTCTTGCAGTCTTTCTCCACGACCTCGTCTGGAGCAGTCCTTAAATGGCTTAGATAAGTCTTCCCTTCGTATATGTAAGAGAGTTGCTGCCAGAGAAGCACACTTAGCCCTATCTGCACTGATATACTGGCAAAGAAGAGATACATCAGCACCAGCCCTCTTGATGACAGAAGCAAAGCTGAGTTCAGCAGGGCTAGGAAAATCTCTCTCAGTGTTCTCCAAGCTAGATCGCTGTTTACCCCGCTCAATGACCCTAGGGGTTGTTTGTAAGTTAATGGCGGCCATATCAGGGATCCCACGTAAGCTGACATGAATGCAACATATAACATGCTGGTCACAGCTGAGATGAGGAACAAGATGAAGTGCCGGTGGTTTGCTGCACCTACGCAGTTTCCTATCTGCACAAACAACAACATATGAATGTGCTTTGTTGAGTGTCAGGCACCAGAAAGCATGAGAAAGAGGAAGCATCAAGCTGGAATAGATTGAGGAAGAAGACTTGATTGATGGCTTGTAGGTGAAAATTGTTAGTAAAGGGTTGAGTACATAAGTACTATGGCTTCTGTGTCTGTTCAGCTGCGCTATGAGTTAATAAACATCACCCCAGCCGGAACTCCATGTAACAGGCAAGGGAAAAACCACGTTAAACACTTCAACCCAGAGCCTATGTTGGATTTTGCAGCTACATGGTATAGACCTAAGTATCGCCAAATCCACGAGACTTGCACTCATGTTTCACCACACAAATCAAACCTCGCCCAAAGTCCCAAACCCCTATAGAAATAACGTGTGTATTCAAGTCTGTTATCATCCTCTTCTCCTATCCAGGAGGCAAAGGTTTTCAAAAGCATACTTTAGTGGCACGTTCCAAACAGAAAAGCAAAGGAAGCCTGTCTTAGCATTTTGAAGCACGATTATAGAGGAAGCCTATCTGCAAGATTCCAACTAGTCTTTAAATCACAAAAAACAGACTTACAAAGGGGCAGTGGTGATCCATGTCCAGGATACATATTCCACAAGAGCGACAATGATGACTCCTCGGTGATTTGGGCTTTGAACAATCATGACAGAAGGTGTAGTTCTCAAGGTGACCTTTCCCCACAGCTGGATAGCTCCCCCAATCTATGATAGGTGGTGTGCCAGCACACCCAAAGGAAGCAAGAACGAATGTTGAAAGAGTGCTCAGAGACAATACAGCTGCTATAAACGAGTGAAGAACACCAGCAAATAGGCCGTTGGCGAAAAGAATTGGGAGCACAGCCCACAACCCACCACCTGCATAGTCAAACAAGAGAGGGACATCAAATATACATGAAAGTAGAGCATCTTAAGCAACAAGGAGGGACTGGGGAAGTACAAAACCAAATGAGCACAGTATCTCTGGAACAGTTTCAAAAACAGGATTTCTCATTAAAGGTAACACGGGTGTGCCATACCTATTACCAAGAGCATGAAGCCAAGAAGGACACATACGAAGCATCGGTCTCTCAAGCGTTTCCACCAGAACCATTTGTTTTCACGCTTTTTATCGTTCTGGTTCGTCACTGCTCCGCACCAACCGCACTTGAAAACCGGTGCATAGGATGGAAGAATTAGGCGCAAACCACACCCCCAACAAGTCGTCTCATGATCCTCCGAGACAGTCGCCACAAATTGGTCCTGCATTACCATGAGGGAGAGAAAAAAATGGCATTCCTTTATTGTTTCAGCACAAGACTGCGGCAGGTAATAAATGTTTCTCCTTTTGATGACCAATCCATCGAAATACTAGATCCTCTAAAGATTTAAACATGGAACTTGTTAGTTTCAATCATCTTCCTTTAATACCAACGCAACCGCAGCTAACAGCCAATTAGTGGCAGAAGTTCAATCTCAGCGTTAGCCAAACCCAGTTTCATCTCTTGTGAAAAATTCAGCTTCTTTCATTCCATCTACCTAAAAGCTTTTGCCCAATATGAATCACATCGTGAGTCAATGATTCGAATGACAACATGAATTTAAAAAGATGGAAACCCATAAACTTTCAGCTTTCCTCCAATCGATTATTGCCAGAAGTGAGGGATAGTATATCAATCCTATCAAAGCCATCGCAGACAAAACTAGGTAGGAATTCGAGGTCAAGGCAGAAAGTTGTTTACATGAGACGAGAAATTTGAAAACGGAGGGAAACTATGATCAATTCTCCACAAGGCAGAGAAACATAAGAAGAAGCGGCGACGAAAGGAAAATTGGAAGAAGGAGAAACGGGGAGAAGAAGAAAGGGGAGGATTGATTAAGGACTGACCTTGTCGTCGGAGTCGGCCATGGCGAGACGGGGCCTCGGCCGGCTTCGTTATCTCAGATATGCTCAGTCGGACAGAGACGGAAGGAGCCTTCACCTTCCCCCAACCCCCTCGCCTCGCCTGTTTCTTCATTTTTCTCCTCTTTTTTCATTTATTTTTGTTTTACTTTTCCCCTTAATTTTCTAGTTTGCTAAATATCGTTCCAGAATTATTTAAGGTTGTCCTAAACTTGATACATACATTAAAAAAAAAAAGTGCTCATTTCTAGCTAAAGGCTTAAACCAAACAATATATATTCCCATTTATATAAAAAAAACAATATATATCCCCTTATTCTCTTTCAATTCTGCACCATCTCCACCCCACACCATGATTATATATTTAGAATTTAGTTTAGTATTTAAATTTTAGTTTAATATTTAGAATTTAGTTGATAGGGGTTGAATTTGTTATTGAATTGAGTTGGTTTTTCCAAGAATAGTAATCGTATTTAGTTGTTATAAGAATTTAAGTAGGTCCTTTGATTAGGTTCATGCTCTCATGGCATTGAATTGAAGGCGCTGAAGTCACTCTACTCGTTAAGGAGGAGAGAGCCTTTAATGATAATTCACCTATCTTCATGTTAGTAGTTGTGAAAATTAAGATTTTGAGCTTAGTTAGAAGATAACTAGGTGACCTTCTCTTTATGGGGTCTTTCAAGATTGATTCTAAGGGTCAATGAAAGTACTGGGGGAATTCGTCAAAATCACACCATACCAGACCAGTAGGCCTATCTTTCTCTTAAAAAAAGGTTGTTTCCTGTCCCCAACTAGCAAGCAACTATGATCGATGGACAGATTGTGACCACCACTCTCTACATGAATACTCGAGTTAAGTGGAGAACCTTCTCATTGTGTTAAGTTTGAGAGCCTGATGTCTGTGATAGGCACGTGGTTTCTTATACTTAATCTCGAGTTTATTCGAGTAAGAACTCAAATAGTATCTTGGAGGCAAGGTCTTCCATTCATCCATCAACGAAAGAGTCTCTTCTTTCTATCAACCACATAAAAGTATCCTTACCATACCAATCTTGGTTCGATCCTAGGGCCGAAATAATGTTCAAATTACAGAGTTATCAAATTGTATTGCTCAATAAATTAATTACCATGCTACCTTAGTAACACATATGTCACGTAAACAATTCATTTGTTGCGTTAGCGTCAACTAATATAATTTTTATTATTATTAGTAAATGGTATTTCAATAGATTTTATTACTATTTTGTGTAATATAAAATTTTTTCCTTGTAAATTATACTAATCTGTCAATTTAAATATGACAAATCTGATCTAACCCTCCTCAAATAATCACTCCCCTTGTAATATTTTTTTTTTCAACATAGACAGTAGTCAGGTAAATCCCTGACCAAAATATCGTCAAAGAACAGAAAATAACACCGTGCAGCAGTCGACAAATAGTCGAGCTACCGATGAAAGGGCCTGATATGCCACAAAATGGGCAGCCTATGAGCAGCTGTACCTGCAAAATGAACAAACACATAGCCACAAACGGCCGAATATCTATATATTGAAAACAACTATGCCAAAATCATTGCTCCTATAACCTCAAAGCAAAACGCTTCCTCGTCAAGATTCTCCAAGCGACTCCGTGCAAAAGCCCGGATGAGCAGTGTACCGGGAATGCCAACCGAAGCCACACCCTTTCCATAGAAAGCCATAGAGCTCCATAAGTAGTTAGAAGTGACCTGCAAAACAAGAAAACAAATAGGCAATCCAAAAGGATCTTGGGGCTGCCGGTTGGACATCCTCATCAGCAAAACAGTACGAAATAAATGAGAAAGGAAGACTCCACCGTGGAGTAACATTGATAGGCTCCACAACGGAGAGGGCCATCACCGGCAAAGCACGATGTCAACCATTATGAGTCAATATGCACGAAAACGAACTCTGCAACCCACTTACAAAGATGGGACTAATATTTTCTTTTCTAGAATACAATTTTTAAAAAAGATTTCATAGTTAAAGAAAATAAAACGGATAAGCTTTGGAAAGAATAATAAAAAAATTAATTAAGAAGGAAAATTATAAAAGAAATTAAATAAATAATAGTAAAGATAAAAATGAGAGAGCACTTATCCGGCGTAACCGCCAATGCCAACGGCGACTTTGTCGTCTCCCATCGTCATGAAACCGTCCTCCTAGCACCGTCGTCGTCATCACTGTCCTCGTTCATGGTCGGCGTACGTCTGATCTCCCTTTGTTGGTCGCCAGAGCAAAGGACGGGAGAGGAGAGAGAGGAGTCGCCGCCATCATCGGCCCTATTCTCTCTTATTCGGTGCTCGGTAAACCGTAACCCGGTGGCGGCAATATCGGCCCTATTCTCTCTTATTCGGTGCTCGGTAAACCGTAACCCGGTGGCGGCAATAACTGGGTAGAAGATTCGTCGTCGTTGGAGTTGAGAGACGGAGACGACGACTTTGGCGATGGGGCGTGATGGGTCGTCGGGGAAGGGCGAACGGAAGGAGCGAGAGATTCGAAACAGTATGGCAGTGTCAAAGTTCCTCAACTACCTAGCTCAAGAGCAGAAGTTGAACCAGAGACCTCACATTGATAAGTCAAGCGCCTGAACCAGCAGACTACACGATGAGGTTACCCCTTGTAATATTTTTGAAATGCAGGAAAACAAATACTTTGAATCTCCACTATAAGTTATAACGTGTTGGCGATGTATACTCAATATACTTGTAAATAGAAGATAAATTCATCTTAGTCTTCTCATTTGCGTGAACAGATTCTAATTGTTGGATCGGATTAGACTAAACCAAAAATAGATCCCCTTAACAAAAACAAGTCGTTTTCCATAACGAAAGGAACATTTCCCCCCCATTGACTAATAGTGTTTTAGCTGAGTAATTAAGCCCTCTTGGCGTACGTGGCCTTGAACTCTGACCAAAGCTGATCAACATTCTTGCCCAGCAGATCCACAAAATAGCCGACCGTATAACCATTCCTCATCTTGTAATTCAACTCCCCGACGAAACCTCTCTTCAGCTTGTTGCAGTACCCAAGGAAATGAGCCGCAACGTCGAACCCACGGCCCAAGCTCTCACCTTCTCCGGCGCCCACCCAACCGACGGCCTCGTAACCGGCCTTCATCCTCACGTAGTCCGCCATTCCCGTCGTCAGCCACGCCGGCGCCTCCCCGTTCCCCGTCCACTGCAAGATGCTCGCCACTTGGTTGTACACCAATCCTGCAAGTGATTAAGCGTCCGTAAAACCATAATTGAATCTCTTGCAACAATCAGTGCTATTGACATCAACGGCGGACTAATAATTTTTGAACAGGTGTGTCGACTCATCAATGCTTAGTAACTTTATACGATAAATTTCTTATATCATAATAAAGGTGTGTCAGGTTATAATTGTCGACACACCTTTGAGTCCGTCCCTGATTGAGACCAACTAGTTCTTAACAACATTCTGTTACGGAATTTCGGAGTAAGGATAAAGAATATCTATACCTGTGAATTCCCTCTTGAGGTCGCCGTTGTATTGGCCCAAGTAGTTAGCGTTGATGTGTACGATCGAGCCGTTAATGTAGGCTGCGTAACCGTTGTAGTCTTCGCTCATTGACTCCACGACCAGCCCGATTAAGGGCACGATCTTCTTGCTGCCTGGGTAAGCCAGCTGGTTGAATGCTCGCCACGAGAAAACGGTGGCTTTGGACATGCTCCGTTTGGCGTACCACTCGCCGATCTGGTTCTGGAAGTCGATGCCTCCTTTCGTGTTGAGGGCGTTGTTGGAAACTGAGTAGACGATGGGCAACTCGACAGCTTCCACGGCAGCAGCTCCGGCCATATGCACGACGACGGCGAGTATAGCCAGGAGACATTTGAGGCCCATTTTCTGATACTGGGAAGTAGAGTACTAGAGAAGTTACAGAGGTTGCTGGGTTTGTGAATAGTGGTTTGTGGGGATGAGCAATGAAGGTGCAGAGGGTGTTAATTTATAGGGAGAGAAGCCTTGTTATAAGAACCGAACCGGATCAACGGCCGGGCCAGTAGAACCGTCAAACCAGTTACGATAGCGGTTCGATTCATTGTTTGAACGGTTATTGATGGACCAAATGGTTTTTCACGGTTCAACATAAAATCAGATGAACCGACACGGTTTAACTGGTCCATTAGTTCACTATTTTAACGGAAATTTTTTTTTTTTAACATAAACTAAGACCATCAAATCATAATTATTTATTTTATATATGCTTCCTCAACCTTATTGTCGATTTTACATTGCCTACTACCAACTAGAACCGTAATTTTTAATTTGAATTAAAAAATATGATTTCTTTTGTGAGATGGTTGGAATGATTTATTAGATATTTTCGTGATGATATGAATTTGAACTTGTTTATGGTCAATGATAATTTCATTCTTAAATTAGTGTAATATACAAGCCTTATATGTTATATATCATTAACGGTTCTACCAACGGTTCACCAATGTTTTTGTAACGGTTAACCAGTGAACCCTTAAACCATTAACTTTTCCGGTTCAGCCTCCGGTCGGGTTCTGAAAACAGAGGAGAGAAGGGAAAGCATGCAATGCTTTCCTAATTTAACTTGACCTTGCACTAGAGATCTCCTGCCAACTGGTAACCAACAAGGGAAGAGACAGGAGGTGGAATAATTTTGACGAGTTGTTGTGGAACTCTCGACTAATAATATGACGGCTAATTTCTTTTGATGCCTTTTTCCTATTCGCAAACAGATCGAGATTATTATATGTCAGAATGGCTTTGGAGGTACGCCCCTTGAAAACGAATCATGCAGCTTGAGCTTGTGGATGCAAATTAACAAGTTACAACGCTTGGTTTGGTCCTTGCGTATATCGAAGAGTATGAACGTCTTTCTGGTTTGATAGATGGATTAGAAGGGACGACTCTTTGCCGAATCTTTGTTGCGGGTAGTTCAATTAAGGAGGCGAAATCATTGTCCAAATTAAAGAGTCATCAAATTGTATTGTTCAGTAAATTTAGCTTAGTAACAAATCCGTCACTTTAGCACTTCATTTATCACTTCAGCGTCAACTAATAGAAATTTGATTATTAAATTATTTTTCTTTCCGTTGGATTTGACTATTAAATTGGATTTCCAAAAACTTGACATCAGTTAATTTATATATGAAAAATCGAATTTAAATTTAATTTTTCATTGTTGTGTAGCCAGTAGTTTGTGCGAGGCTTCTGAGTTGCAGCACATTTGTAATACGTTGTCGGTGGGATGTGTGGAGTTGTTTTGGAGGCAGAGTTACTGAATGTCGTGGATGTGTCCCCCTTTGCTCGAGTTTTGTCCTTTCCCAACCTGTTGGCTGCTGCTGCTTGCTCTACTCTATTGGAGCATTTTTATGAGCGGGTGGATGAGAGATGGATAACTATTCTCTAAATAGTAACTGGTGGACCATATCCAAATCCGTGCTACTCGTTGGAGGATCGTATGGTGTTGGCAGATGGGTTGTGCGGGATAATACAACGACGATTGTTAGAGCGATGACATTCCTCTGTGCTGGGATTGATGACTCGTTTCTTGTGGAGATTTTGGCTCTAAGGCTCTCTAAAACCTCTCAATCTCCTACGTACAACCAATGAGCCAATGACAAAATATTTATTTTGGTGTTTTTCTGCTAACCAAAATTCATTTAAACCAAAAATTATATTCCATGAACAAATTCAACATAAAAAATGAAATTTTCATAAATTGATGAATAAAATTTTCGGCTAACGCGGCTTGTTGGTGTTTGGCTCGGGTTGTGGATAGCCTAATGGCCGGCATAGCTTAAACAAGTGGGCGAGAGCGAGACAACAGCTCCGCGCGGAGATATGTATTCCAGGCAAAACTAAAAGGTCAGATTTCAATAGCCTTGCACAACAATGCACATGATCCACCAATAGGAAGAAGACAGTTCAAGCACTAGTTGAATTGTATTCAAAATATGCGGGCAATACAACAGCTCCGTGCGCTATTCGAATGCATCAAATTAAGGTGATAAATCCCAAAAAAGATTTGACATCAAAATAGATTAAGAGGGGTTTCTTAGCAAGCACTTCAATCAAAGTGGCAATGCAAGTCTCTACTTGGTGGGTTTCTTCCCCTTGGTTTGGAAAGGAATGAATGACTTTCCGCCCAGGTAAGGTCTCAGAACTTCTGGGACCTCAACCCCGTCTTCCTTCTGGTAATTCTCCAGGATGCAGCATAGTGTCCTCTCGGTAGCCGTCAGGGTCGAGTTCAACAGGTGAACATATTGCTTCGCTGCCTCATTTCCCTGCAACATCATCGTATAGTCAGCGAGTATTTCATAACCCAATCAACTATTGCTAAATCACAATCCTTGTTGGAGGTAGACAGAGAGGTTGACGCAAACCTTTTTCTGCCCGTATCGGATTTCCAATCTCCTTGATTGGTAATCAGTACAATTCGAACAGGACACCAACTCCCTGTATGTTTTTGAAGCAGGAAACCATGCTTCGAGATCGTACTTCTTAGCAGCAGCATCATTCAAGGCGCCAGAAACTATTGAAATTACTTGATACGGTAAGTTCAGCTGTAAGAAAAAAAGGAATGTAGCTATGAACAATAGTTTCTGAAGGTGCCAGAGGCAACACACAATATATGATAGGACTATGCACATTTGTGAAAAGAAAGAGAGTACCGATTTGTAGAAGTCCTCAGAATTCTTGATCATTTCCTCATGCATGTCCCATGAGTCAGTCCCATTGGGGCTAGTAACACAGAACTGCTCCACTTTCTCAAACTGATGAACTCGGAAGATTCCTAAAGTATCTCGTCCATGCGAACCAGCTTCTTTCCGGAAACATGATGAGTATCCAGCATATCTGAAAACACACATTAAACCAGTGAGAACAAATTTCGTTCTGGGAGTTCTTCCACAAAGAGTACTGCTGAACTTTGCAATTATACCTGATTGGTAGATCAGTGGGCTGAATCCAATCATCTATGTGATACGCACACAATGGCTGTTCAGCCGTAGCAATTAAATACTTATCATCACCCTCTCCAGTCACCTATTCAATATGAAGTACATAGTTCAGCACAAAGGAACAGGCATATGCTCACGTAACAAGTGCATATTTATATTCCTTTGCAAGTTATATATGTCACGACATTTTGGAGTGTTACCTTGTATAGTTCCTCATCAAACTGGGCCAACTGAGCGCACTTGGCCATGACTTCCTTTCTCATGAAAAATGGAGTCTGCAATGCTGTGTACCCTCTCTTATCCAAGAAATCTAAACCATAGTTAATCAGTGCCTGATTTAGACGTACACCATCACCTTTTAGGTAGAAGCCTCGACCTCCAGCTATGTTGGCTCCTGCTCATTTTAAAAAGAACATAACTAACAAACAAACATGCTCAAGAAGGCCAAAGCAACTTGAATTTCAATAATAAATTCAAGGACTGATTCTAGAAAATATAAATGAATAAATGCATAACATCACATTGAGCACCTTAATTCAGGTTGGAAGATACAAATTAAAGACGGATATGAAACCAAAAAAGGAATACATGCTACAGGATGACCGAAATTCAATGAGCAGAAAATGGAATGACAATACTTAACAATCGAAAACAAGAATAATCAATGAGACACGGAGGCATACATAATTACAAAACAAACTAATTAAAACACCATCACACCAAAGCACCTTTCTTTGTGTCAGCAATCCCAAGAAGTTCAACGAGGTCAACATGATTTTTCAACTTCTGCTCTGTGCGCTTCTCTCCCCAAACCCTAATAACAGCATTATTTGCCTGCGAAACCCAAAAGTGAGGAAAACCCCCAATGTTAGACGAGCTACTGGGAAACATTCCATAAACTAAGGTGCAGAATGGCAATTGTGTTCAACATCAAAGTCCTGCTCACCTCATCCTTGCTGATAGGGACTGAATCATGGATAAGGTTGCCAACAGTTTCGAGCTTCACATACAATGCCTTCTTATCAGCCTGCACCTCATCCTCTTTTACTGCCATTTGTTGCTTGTGCTCCTCAATGCTCTTCAACAGTTCAGTTACATCTAGATTGTCCTGATTTTTAAATCAAATCAACAGCCAACAGATTTTGAGAAACCAATAAACATAAACGCCCATATGAAGACGGGAAACGAAGAGGACAAACACCAGTGCTCACCTTCTTATGCTGGTAAACTTGCTTGTTCATTTTATTGAAGTCTTTTCTCATATTATCGAGCTGGAATTGACCTGAAAAAACAGAGGCCCAGAACCAGTGTGAGACATTCACAGTAGTAACAGCAGGGCTAGATTCGAAAAGACGCCAGAAAGGGCTGAAAGGAAGGGGACGTCTTAATTTACATACATTGTCTCCATTTCTTGTCGAGCTCAATAATCTCATCAACAATCTCAACACTGGCAAATCGGCGGCGCTGCGATTCCCGGATGATTTCCGGATTGTTTCCCTTATCTTCCCTAAACAGATTAATGTCCAACATCCTTCCTGTTCTCCAAAAACCTAGCCAGGAAAAATCCCCCCACGTTAAACAAGTCCACAAAGCTCACCCTTTCTGACTTAAAACACAAAATTCGGAATCCGAGTCGTGCTCAGGGAAGCAAGTTTCACTCAGATCGTACGCCAATGGAAGGGAGCAGTAACAGGTGCTACGAGAGCCGAAGAACAGCTCATTGACTCATCAGCTAATCATGTTAAAAAAAAAAGGCAAGACGAGTTTCTCGTCTAGACGATGCTTTCGGGCGAACCAGAAGAGTGAAGTTACGTACCTGAACTGGTTGGAATAGGTGAAGAAGATGAAGTTCAGGCGCTGACGGGAGAGACGAAGCCGCCGGAGCTTTCAAGCTATGAGCGAGGGGAAGGTTTAAGGGAGAGACGAACTGTATTCTTCTGCCAGCGTCCGTTGTTTTCCTTGGTCCGCAAAAAATTTTGCGGCGGACTGCCCCTTCTGCGAAGATAGCTGAGCCGGGCCGGGCCGAGCAGCTCTTCCTATCTAATCCATGGGAGTTTAGTGGGCTATCCTTCAAAGCCCGACTGATTAAGGGGTTTCAGGGTGTTAATCCGAATAATTTAGGTTAGTCCACCTAAAATAAAATAATGGCTGTTTGACTGTTTCCCCGGAAATATTTAACCGTTAGACACTTGGCCGGTACTGATGATATTTAATTATTTATTGCGTATTTGAATTTTGAAGTATTAAGACAAATAATTTATTAGTGACAAATAAGCCAAATAGCCAATGAACCAAGAACTTAATTTCTCGGAGTTTTCCTTGTCTGATAAGTCAAACTTGGCTAGCACTTGGCAAATGAAATTTTCATTGCCGGGAAACTTACTCTGGTTTGCCAGGAAACTGATTTATGTAGTCTAATTATTTTATTTAAGTTAAGCGGTTGGTGGGAGATTGTCACATTGATAGGCATTAGTATGTATATATGGCATCCACAAAATTTGATATATAACCCCATCCCATCTATTCCTGCTTGCTAGCAAACATTCCAACCTTCATAATCTCCCATCACCTAGAGAAGAAAATATAAGCAACCATGGTTCTCTTTGATTTCAAATCAGACAAGCACTTTGTTACCTCTTCGGACAAAACCACCCTTAGAGTTTGTGAGTTGAGCGATCCTTCTATTCACCCTTCTCTTATCAGAAATGCTCACTGGAGAGAAGTTGGCAATATCACGGTTGATAGCGACGATGATGATGACGTTGATGACTTGGCAGAAGAGCGGTACTACGACGGGCTGTTGTTTTTCGATGGCCATGGGAAGATCGAGGGGCAGGAAGCCCTGACCAAGCTAGCACAACACCTCACCCGATTGGGTTTGATGGTGAGCCCTGGAGGGTGCTGCTTCCAAGACGTGACTGAGCTCCGCGAGCATAAAGAGTTCGGGATTCACTATCTCCGATTGAACGATCTCTTCAACTGGTCCAATCACGGTGTTTACTCGGCGAAGATCGGCACGTGGCAGCGCTTGGAGTTGAAGTACACGGTGCCAAAGCATAAGAAAATATCAAAGTCGCCGCCGGCGGGCGGGGTGAGTAAGGAGAAGTACGAGGAGTTGAGAAGGACGTTGAACGAGAAGAAGGAGGAGCTGAAGAAGGTGACCACTGAAATGGAAGACGAGATTCAAAAACTGAGGGATGACCACGAAGAAGAGCTACAGAAGGTCCAACAAGAGATGGAACTGGCCATTGACAAGAGAGATGCAGAGCTACGAAAGGTGAAGAAGGAAAAGGGCGAGGAGTTGCGGAATCTGAGGAAGGAGAAGGACGAGGAAATACGAAAACTGAGGCGGGAGATGCATGATGAAGTGGAAAGACTGGAGAGAGAGAAGGACGAAGAAACATCAAAGCAGCTAGATCAGAAGAAAGACGAGGAGGAAACGATTGATCACCAACCGGGAAAGGAGCAGGAAATGAAGATGCTGAGGAGGGAAGCAAACGATTTGAAGAAGCGTGCGAAAGAGAAGGACGAGGAGTTACTGAAGCTGAGACGAGAGTTGGAAGACCTAAGAAGATCGAAAAAGGATGTTGAGGAAAAAGAAGGAGATCAGAACCTAGAAGCACTACAACACGTCATAAGGGAGAAGGATGTCAAATTGCAAGAACTAGGAAACCAAAGGGACCAACTGTTAGGTAAGCTAGAGCAATATAGTAACAACTCATGGACAAATCTAGTTTCTGTAAAATACGTTGCTACCGGCTACGGCAGGCTCAGAAAACGGGTGCCGCGAGAGAAGTTTGAAAGGTACAGCGAAATGAACATCGTGCATGGCTGCCACCGCTATGCTCCCCACACCACGGCGTTTTCGGCGTTCCCTAGGCTATACATCGGTGTTTTAGACGAGGTGTCGACCGACCATTGGCCGCTTCCTCCTAGCGTTAAGTATTTGGTTGGTAACGGCGGCCAGTTCGACGTCGACAACTGGTGGTTTATGAAGACGTCTCACCCGGAAGGAGGCACGACGATGCTGGCTTTTTACGACGGCAGTCTTTCGAGTTGTGCGGACGTCGGGTATACATGCAATACGAGATTGTCTTACCCTAGGGGTCGTGATTTTTATGCGGATAGAAGCTTCTTCCTGGTTTCTATGGATAGTGAATGGAGGCTGGCTTTTACGTATCGAGAGTAGATGATGCTGCGATGCTAGCTCTTGGTGCATGGCTTGTTTCATCAACTTTTTTTCTCTATTATGCTTCGTTGTTTTTTCTCGTTCATCTTCCCTTTTTGTCGTGAATTAAAAAGATGCGGGGACAAATAATTAGCCTTCTAATTCTAGTACTGATCATTGAGCTGATTAGAACTTCCTACCACGCTAATTAATGATAGTTTGATGCACACACTAACAGTCGTTAGTCGAATCGTCTATTGTTATAGGTGATCGCCGCAAAGGAATAAATAATTGAATGGTTGGTCTGAAAGTAATTAGCTTCATTGCTAGAGGCTAATTCTACCAAAAATGATAAACAATAAAGAGAAACTGAAAAAGAACTCTTTTCTAAGATACATGCGCAAAATTTCCAGCCGTTTTTAAAGTACAAGTAAATGAATGGTAAACCATTTTTTTTTTACAAATTTATGCGTGTTGTTACTCCTCGTATTTCAGTAAAAAAGTTAAAATATTTTCAAGAATAATCAAATCGTCAGAGCAGTTATTATAAGAAAGCACATATAACTTAATTTATAAGGTCAATGCTTGTCAATTGTCATCATGTACTCTTGGTTTGTTAGAAGGAATCAGTCGATGGATTAATACATAATAATGACCGACCCACCCCACCGGTACTAGATAGTCTTTCTATAATATTTGAAAGATAGTCTTTCTATAATATTGTTCAGTTACATTAATCAAGTTATTATGAATTGTTTATTGTGCATTTTGTTTGTGGTCTTTTTTTAATCAAAGACTTGCTCTGAAAACAATTATATACCAATATATAATTATTGCCTTGTTTATGCGAAAGTATTTTAAATGTGTCATTTAGATCGTTTGGTACCAAATGAATCGAGAATTTATTTCATTGTAAAATGAATTACTGTGTAGAATTCATTGTCAAATGAAATATTGTGTTTGGTGTGTCATATTCAAATTCTTAGAAATAAAATGAATTACCGTGCAGAATTCATTGTCAAATGAATTCCTGTGTTTGGTATATCATATGTATAAATAATTTAGTTAATAAAAGAGGATAATTATATCATTCTTTTATAATTTGTAAATACTTGTGGAATTCATTTGGAAATTCTATCTCAATTCCTCGGAATTGCTATAACTAGTGTCCAATTCCATGGAATTCAAAATTTAGAACTGAAAATGAATTCTTTTAAATACCAAACACAAAAATGTTTCATTTTAAAATGAATTTCTCAAAACTTATGGAATTCATTTATACCAAACGGTATGTTAAAGCCATTTTAGTGAAATTGAGTGTATATTATGTAATTTGACCTAAAATTATGTTTTAGTGATTAAATTTAAGAGTTTCACCTTCGCTATTTATTTAATATAAAGACTTGCCTTAGAATTATAACTATTCTACTTGTATGTTTTACAATTGATGCATAACATAACATTTTAGCTAACCCAATTACATTTAGGCATAAAATCATTCATCTAATGGTCATTAAATGAATTTATAGAACAATAGTTCAAAAAATATAGAAATACTTAAAGTACAAGTAAATCATTAATTATTGCGAACAACTGGTTTTTTTCTGTTGAATCGAACAACGATTTTGATCTGGTGGTACTACTACTAGTTTCCATTTTAAGATCTCAGGTTCGACTCTTTTAAGTAGCACTTAATAATAAGAACAAACATATGGCAGCCTTATAAAAAATATCATTAATTATGCAAACAAGAGCTTGGTCTAGTGGTACAATCATTGATTCAAAACCAGAATGTCCCAAATTTGGATCCCTTAAATGACACATAACACTAAAAAAAACTGATATCGTCCTTATAAAAAAAATATTGAATTTCATACATGTTTTACTCGTGAAATTTCCTATATTGATTTTTTTTTTTTTTTGTGAGACCTATATTGAATTTCTCACAAGTAAATTGGAATTACCATTGTCTGGAAAGTGAAATTTGGCTATGAACGAATCGGCAGATGAAATTGCCAGGATAAAGTCGATCGTCATATTGTGGATGTTTGAACCTCTAATTTAAGGAGACACTTGGCATCATATAATATTAAGTTGACAAATGGTTACAGCACAAATCATGGGTGACAAAATATACCCCTAAGAGGAAGTGACATCACATAATATTAAGTTGACAAATGGTAACAGATAATATCAAGATGACGATAAAATATACACCTAATAGAAAATGGCATCTTATATAATATTAAAAGATACACCATAAAAAATGATAAATGGGTTTTCCAAAAAATTATACAATTTTTTGTTCATTGAATCATTGTTATTCAAATTAACATTAGTTTCGTTTTAAGATAAAATAAATCAACAAAACTGACATCATATACACCTAATGCAATACATAAACACCCTTAAAATCGATTCCATGGCAAAATAACATTTGTTATAAAAAGAAAAGAATTATTATCAAGAATTGTGAAACCGTACCGAAGATTATACCAGAAAGATAGGATATTTTGTACTAAAATCGTTATTGAAACAATTAAAACCGCCTAATATTTGGAGTTCGTTATCTAGTATATCCAATCCGACTGACCGATAGGATAAGGTTTCCTAAACCTTGATTATTATGCATTGTTAACGACTACATTATGTATATGAACTTGGAATTAAGACCTCGACTAAAGAGTCTTTCTCTATTATTGTTCTTTTTCTGTTGGTAGGGTCGTGGCCTTAGTTGTGAACTTGGAATTAAGACCTCGACTACATTAAGTAGACCTCGACTACATTATGTATATGAGGTATTAAGACAGATATTTATTTAAGTTTAAGCTGGTGGTGGGAGATTGTCACATGTATCATAGGCATTATATATAAAGATATAAATGGCATCCAGTCAAATTGTACAAATCACCCAAACTCATCTATCCCTGGTAGCTAGCAAACATCTCTAGCTAATCTCCCATCACCTCGAGCAGAAAATTATTAGCAACCATGGTTCTCTTTGATTTCAAGTCAGACAAGCACTTTGTTACCTCTTCGGACAAAACCACCCTCAGAGTTTGTGAGTTGAGCGATCCTACTGTTCACCCTTCTCGTATTCGAAAGGCTCATTGGAGAGAAGTTGGCAGTATCATTGTTGACAGTGATGATGATAGAGACGTGGATGACTTGGCAGAAGAGCAGTACTACGACGGGCTGTTGTTTTTCGATGGCCATGGGAAGATCGAGGGACGGGAAGCCCTGACCAAGCTAGCCCAACACCTCACTCGATTGGGTTTGATGGTGAGCCCTGGAGGGTATTGCTTTCAAGACGTGACCAAGCTCAACGAGCATAAAGAGTTTGGAATTCACTATCTCCGACTGAATGATCTCTTCAGCTGGTCGCGTCACGGTGTTGAAATGTCGAGGATCACCATGTGGCGGCGCTTGGAGTTGAAATACGATGTGCCAAAGCATGAGAAAATACCAAATTCGCCGTCGATGGTAGGCGGGGCGATCAGTAAGGAGAAGTACGAGGAGTTGAAAAGGATGTTGAAGGAGAAAAAGGAGGAGCTGAAGAAGGTAGCCACGGAAATGGAAGACGAGATACAGAAACTGAGGGACGAAAATGACGAAGAGCTACAAAAGGTCCAACAAGAGATGGAAGCGGCCATTGACAAGAGAGATGCCGAGCTGCGGAAGGTGAAGAAGGAAAAGGGGGAAGAGTTGAGGAAACTGAGGAAGGAGAAGGACGGGGAGATACGAAAACTGAGGCGGGAGATGCATGATGAAGCGGAAAGACTCGAGAGAGAGAAGGATGAAGAAGTAGCAAAGCTAAAAGAGGCGGAGGAAACGACTCACGAACCGACAAAGGAGGAGGAACTGAAGATGCTGAGGAGGGAAGCAAACGACTCGAAGAAGCGGGAGAATGAGAAGGACGAGGAGTTACTGAAGCTGAAACGAGAGTTGGAAGATCTAAGAAGATCGAAGAAGGAAGAAGAAGAAGAAGGACACCATAGGCTAGAAAAGGAGGAGGAGAAAAAGGATAAGGAAGCACTACAACAACTCATCATGGAGAAGGATGGTAAATTGCAGGAACTAGGAAAGCTAAGGGAGCAACTGTTAGGAAAGGTCGAGCAGTATAGGAAACATTCATGGTCAACACTACCTTCTTATACTTACTCCCGTGACTTAGTCAAGTTAAGAAAACGGGTGCCGCGAGAGAATTTTGAGAAGACCAGCAGATTGGATAGTCATGATAGTAATAATCAACAAGGCTGCCACTACTATGTTCCACATATCCCGACTTCTTCAGCGTTCGCGAGGCGGGACGTTCATGTGGTAGATGATGCGTCGCGCGACGATTGGCCAGCTCCACCTAAGATATGGTTTTTCGTTGGTAACAACGGCCAGTTCGACGCCGACAACTGGTGGTTTCTGAAGACAACCCACCCGGAAGGAGGCACGACGATGCTGGGTTATTACGACGGCAGTCTGTCTATTTGTCCTGACGCTGGCTATTCATGCAATACGAGGTTGCCTTTTCCTAGGGGCTGTGATTTTTGTGCAACTAGAAACTTCTTCCTGACTTGTCTGGATGCCAATGAATATAGGTTGGCTTTTACATATCGTGAGTAGTAGATGTGGACATGTGGTGGCTTTGGTATGTTTTTGCCTAGCTAGTTTCTTGATCCTGGCCTCTCTCTCTCTCTCTCCCACTAGCTAGCTCCCAGCTTGTTATGGGAGCGATGTGATCAATTTTTCTCTATTCTGCTTTGTTGTTACTAATTATTATTTTCCCTTTTGTGTACAATTAAAATAAAATAAAAAGGAATAAATTAGTTGTTGTCTTCTATTTGCAGAGTGCATGATTACTAGAGTATCCACAATCGTTGATGAGAGTGATTAATTTATCTCTCTTCAAATTTGGTTATGGTTCCGATTAGGGGCGGAGCTAGCCCCTTATTAGGGTGCAATGGCACACCCTTGATTTGGAGAATCACAAAAAAAATAGCAGTACTAATAATGAACAACGAATTCATAATTTTATTGTTAATTCTTAAATTTTTAGTACCAATCGTAATTGATTATATAAATTAATTTAACCTACTAATATCTACATTAATATAGTTTATTAAGATGTATATGATGTGAGGATTATTAGAGGAAATCAATAACTTTGTACGACAACGATAGTCAGAAGCGAAAATTGATTCATGTCAATGTATTTGCTTCTGAAATTAGGTTTAATTCGCTACTACTTATTGTCAATACACATGTTAGAAGAATATTTTCTGCAATGGAATATTCTACCAGTCTAATAGAATGAAACGAAATTGTGAATGATGATATGCTGAAATAACATAAGAGCAATCTTAATAATTTGAATAATTATGTAGTTTTAAAATAATTTGATAAGATGAAACATGAAATTTCATAATGGATTATTGTCAAAAATTATTTTATGTTAATCTTTTTAATGCACCCCTTGAATGAAATTCTGGCTACGCCACTGATTCTGATGCTCATTGATATTATACCAAGGTTGTGGTCGTTTGATGCACAATGACAGGCCAACTCTACGAAAATGACTATAACAATAGGGAGTTAATATTTAACGCCCTAGATTTTTAAATTTAACGCCCTAAATCTACCAAACTGACGATTTTACCCCAACTTAAACTAAATTCTATAATCCAATTCCTCCGCCCTTCCCCTGTCTTCACCGCCTTCCCAGAAACTGACGATGTTATATGTACCTTAAAAGTCAGACTTGGGCGAGTTCGCCCTATTTAATTTTTCAAGCATTTCCGTCTGAGTCTCGGGCGGGCTCGCTCGCTCCTGTCCCTCTACAAAACACAATATTTGTGTGTAAATAGTTTTTAATCCTCGTATTACAGTAAAACAAAATATTTTCAAGATTAATCAAAACATCGAGCAGTTATTATAAAGAAAGTACATATAACATAATTTATGGGATAAATACTTTTGGGTTGTTAGAAAGAATCAGTCGATGTATGACCCACCCCACCGATACTAATAGTCTTCCTATAATATGGTTCATTTAAATTAATCAAGTCATTATGAATTGTTGATTATGCATTTTTATTTTTTGTGGTCTTTGTTAATCAAAGTCATGCTCTGAAAAATATTATATACCAATACTAGCTTATGAGTTATGACCGGGCACTTGGCCGGATAAACATGTTTGTTATATGTTCGGATATTTTTTCGTTTATTTTTACTTTTCAAATTCTTTTATATTATTAAAATCTATTAAAATGCTATTAATTAGCCAAATTTTTCGCAATGCATCAAAATATTATCCATTTTTATTTTATCGTTAATAATTTAGTAACTGTTTTCTCTGTCAAAATACTAAAATTTTGGAATGTTGACCTTCATGTGTCTCTTCCAAGTCAGTATCATGTTGTCAAGTCAATATTACTTACAAAATTGCTACTTGGAAGTTAACATTTGATTAATTCTTAGTATTTTGATAGGTTTGACTAATAAAACAGAATCCAAAAAAGATTTGGATAAAAAATAGACGTTACCCTATTTTTTCTATTAACTTGTAGGATTTCTCTTAATCAACTAAGAAAATTTTATTGTTTACATAAAAAAATTTATCGGGTGGTTTATATGAAACTCATTGGATACTGAATATGATTTGGTGAACTTGTCACATCCCATTTTAAAAAATATGAATTCTCTTGCTAGTTTCCTGTGGTCTTGAAAAGTTTGCCTCCGCCTTAATTTATGGAATAGAATTAAAGTCAATGTAAAATTATTAATCACATGTTTTAAATTACATAAGTTACTAACAAAGTAAGCTTATTTGAAATTCTGACTACGTCATTATCACAACATCTACAATGGAACATATTACCGCCTCAGGTGGCAAAGAACCAACATCTATGTGCCAAACCTTTCCATGAATGTGAGCTCGTGAAGAAAATATTAACATGTTATCCCTAGAATAACTTTTATTTGTTGAGCGACGACTCTTCCACTCGATATTTTTTGGATTACTATGGTCAGCTTTAGTCCCTGGATACCTACGTGCTGACCGTGAGCCGGATCGCCCCGGTCACATGCGATCGCATCTGGCCTAATCGCATGTCGATGGGCCGCTGTTAAATATAAAGAGAGAATGTAATCAGGATGCTGAGCAGCACGAACTCTAAGCCCAGCCCACGATGGAGCGCATCTCAATCACAATCGTTGGGGCAAAACAAGATAAGGCAACCAGTTCCCTCTCGTCTTCATCTCCATCTTCCCCCGCCAGGAGGAAGGTATGGCGTCCTCTTCCACCTCCTGCTCCTCCCTCTTCCGGCCAGCTCATCTCACTGGTTAGTTCCAACGCCATTTCTCGTCCCTCTTTACCCTTCTACGCTTCCTTCCTCAGTGCTGTAATTCTGTAAAGTTGAGCTCGAATTTGATGATTCTGCTCCAGGATTGGGCCGGCGACCATTTACTTCTTCCACCATTGGCAAATCCTATGTTTCCCTGGTGAGTTTCATCTTCCGATCCCCAGCTAAACCTTCAAATGACTCCCCCAACAATTGAATTTTTCGATCAACCATGTTTCTTTGCGCAGAACTCTAATCCCAGCCGCAGGTTGTTGTTTTCAACACCTTCAAAACCCGGCCGCCAAATCCAGTCGACATGGTCGTCTACCCGACACTTGACACCGTCGGCGGCGATACTCAACGCGGAGCACTCGCAACCCGACCCGACATTTCCCGGTGCAGACCTCCATCTGGGGACATGGATGGTGGCGGCCGATATAGACCCAGCCACGGCAAAAGTGGCGATTGGCGTTTTGGGGCCGTTCCTTTCGGCATTTGCGTTTCTCTTCATTGTCAGGATCGTCATGTCCTGGTACCCGAAGCTCCCCGTCGGCAAGTTCCCTTACGTCGTTGCCTATGCTCCCACGGAGCCCATTCTGGCGGTGACCCGGAAAGTCATCCCGCCACTCGCCGGAGTGGATGTCACCCCGGTCGTTTGGTTTGGGCTCGTCAGCTTTCTCAACGAAATACTCGTTGGTCCACAGGGGCTTCTGGTCCTCATTTCGCAACAGGTTAACCGATGATATGGTCGAAATGTGGTTACAGGAGCAAAAGCAAACAGTTTTGGGTTCTGCTCAAGTTTGGTAGTAAATGTTCAAGTCTTGAAGATATATTTGTAAAACTCGAGTTTGGTGAATGCTGGTGCATTGGCGTATATGCAAAACCTATTGCGATTATGAGAAAGTTCAGTTTCTACTAGGAGCGATTCCGTTAAAACATTAACACTCATGTCTCGTTCACTTGTCATTCCTCATATATCAATCTAGCAGGAAACATTGATGCAGTAGATTTGATCATATGTGTTAATCAGGCAAGACCTTATGTTTCGCACAAGTACAGCACATCAATGAACGTGTCCAACAGCACTTATCCTACTATATCTATAGTAAACTTCCAACTGAACATGGCAAACAAAACAAACACCGTTCTTTTCTTTCAATCTGACATTCTCTGAACCACCTCAAGAAACCTAAACATACCACTTGAGCAGACAAAGACCCCTTCTCTGTTTCTATAGCTTCTGCAGAAGTCCCAAGTCAGGTATGGTGCGTTTAAATGTCTGCCACAAGGAAGTTGCTGGACAAGGACACCTTCAAACAAACAAGATGATATCTAATTTAGAATCCTGTTTTGCTACGAATGGATCCCACGCGACAAATGAGACCACAACATGGAGAACCAGAAAACCGTTTCTTAAGTACCTTTTCGCCAAGCTTGAATGGAGGAAGACCTTTGTATGGACATGTGCCGCAACGGAAAGCATCCCCAAGTCCGCACTGCAATGCCACAAATTGAGAATGGCAATGGAATCACAAAGTCAGGTTCAATAAAAGAATCAAAGACGGAGAGTGAATGTAAAGAAAGTTGGAAGCCTACACTTCCACAGGATGATTGAGGATTGTTCAGCTGCTCTGTGGTCAATCCTAACTTAACTTTCTCTTCCTCTTCAGCTCTCCCACAGGTACAGTTCTTGCAAGCTTTCTTCGTGGTACTAATCTCGCAGTCGCCAACTGCATGACAATGGAGTACTTAAGTTCAACTTTTCCAAAAAGAGCAGCTAAGTTTTATAAAATAATCAGTTGCTTTTTTTTTATTTTTATAACTCGCCTGGTATTTGAGGTTTCTTCAAATCCTCTTCGGTCAATAGGCTATCTTCGTCGATCAAATCTGAATCATCATCCATCTGAAGCTTAATCGGTGCCTTTGTACCCTTTTTGAGAGCAAAGGATGTCCCAATTTTCCAAGAAGCCTTCTTTGCTTTCGCAGTCTTGAGTAAAAAACATTAGTGCACAGCCAATCATGTTCAACATTCAAGACAGTGGCATTCCCCAAAATAAAAGTACAGAAGGTTGTTCCCCTCTCATGGAGATTTTCATTGAAATCAAACACGTAGTGCACAGCTTTACAACAACAAAAGATCAGAACTCACCACAACGTATTGGAGGCCAGCATTTGAGCTCTGCTGAACACCTTTAGCATCTGAGAACCCAGCCAAAAGTAATTGGCGTTCAAGTGACTGAAAAGGAACACCACTGTGAGATATCACAATAAACTCTAGTTCATAGCATCGAATAATAAGAAATAATCACCTTCTCAGTTTCCTTTGGAGCAGCCTGCAGAACCTTATAGACCAAGATAGTACCACCAGGTTTTAACGCTCGAGAAATTTCATCAAACCAACTCCCATCAGGATATGCATGTGATCTGCTTATGCAAATCAGAAATTCTATTGAAGATGACTCCACTGGTAGTTTACCTGGCAGTAGAAAAACAAGTAAAGGACCGATATTTAGCAACGACTAGCCCTCTTATCACAACGTTACTAAGAATGAAAAGGGAGTCCCGAATCATTCACAAGGTATTATGCAATACAATTGATAATTTAAGCACCACAAGCAACAAAAAATCCATGAAAAATCGGCTTAACCACTAATGTCCGCATCGCATGACGAATGCATAACTGCAAAGAGACTAAGCGGAAGATGTTTACTTTGCGAGGATGACTGCGTATAAAGCTGAACGTCACACTGCAACGCTTCCTTGCCGAGCTCCCTAAGCGCATCGTTAATGGTGGTCATCTGGACCACCTGTTCATCAGAAATCACCAGCGCAACACGCTGCATCGCTTTTGCCTCCTTCAACAACATACCAACAATTCGAAACAGTTTCAGCCGAAGGAAGAAAGGAATCCGATAAAACGAGAGGAGAGAATCGATGAGGGTTAATTCGATCGCATACAGTAGCACTTAACTCAATCAATCATCTCTACGCTGCCATTGCTTTATCGAGTTTCAAAACCGAAGCAGATCTCGCAGAGAAAACGCGGAAAAGAGCGGAAGAGGAGGAGAGGGAGGAAAGCAAACTCACCATCGTAATTGATCTCTAGAAAGTCTTGGGAGGAATTGGGAGAATGAGGAACCCTAGAGGCTTGAACTCGAAGCAAAATGGAGACGGAGCTTGTTTTTGCCAAAATCCCTCTAGAATGTGCGATTTCAAGTCTTGTCTGTGAAGCCGTGCCTCGTCCCGCGTTCTGAGAGTGATTAGGATAGGGTGTGGCGGCGGCACATGGGAAAGAAGGAGAGCGCGTAATGACGTATTCATCCGGTGTCGGTCACGCGACTGGCGGGTTGCTCTCCGAGTCCGAGGGGGCCATGAGAGAATATAGTGGGCTTGGCTGCGATATGAGACAGCTGGGCTGTGATGAAAACGAACATTGGATCTCCGGCCTGATTTGAAATTCTGCCATTTCGATTGGGCCGACTGGTTTCAAAGAAATAACTCAAGAATTTGGATTCTCAACTCCATAGCCTTTTACTTGAAGTTAAACAAAACAAATTTACTCAATTTGGTTGCCAAATAATCAACCACCAGGTTGTGAATTGTGATGTTCGTAGTGTTTGTTGTTTCATCATTTTATCATGCGATATTCGGCTTAATTTTTGTTTATAGATAGAGTCTACCCTTGGTTAGAGATTTGTCATTTGCGACTATCCACAAAGAGAAAGTTATTCATTATCGTCGACGGCGGATTAAAACAGCTCTAAAAAGGGCGATGACTGATGATTGATGATGAACTCTTATAATTAGAGGGTGCATTGAGTGATGATTGAGACAAGTAAATTCAGCTGGGACAAAAAATGATGACTTATTGGATCTTAAGAGAGCTGCAACAAGAATGATATATTTTCCAGAACATTAGAAGTCAAGTTAACAGATAGATGACAACAAGGGAAAGCAACTAGTTGTGAAAAGGCTTTCTTACATCAATATGAACCAGAGTAGTGCAGGGATACTATGAATTAGATTGCATTTGTTCTCTCAAGTTTCCGAGAGGGCCATAGGTTTTCCCGGAGGCCTTCTCGCTGCTGCAGTTACAGCTGCTGGTGTTTAAGTTAGTGCCACACTGGAGGCAAGCTCCTTTACACATTGGATCACAAACTCCGTTGATCGTTATCTCCACGTGTATCAAATCTCTCAAGTTCTTGGAGATATCGATTTCACTCTCTTCAAGAGGAAAGTGCAGTCGATCATCCCAATCAATTGATGCATCATCATCGCCGTCGTCTTCCTCTGCTTGACCAGCGTTGAGTCCTATAGTGATTACATCTGGCTCTTCAATGGGTTCTTCTGATAGTAAAAGGGAGAAGTTGGAGTAGATACACTCAGCAGCTGGCTGACCACACCTGCCATTGTGTAAAGAGACATGAGATAGATTCATTGGCAAAAGAAAAGGAACGAAAGCGATAAGACAACACAGGATGTACAATAGAAGCAAAGGACAACCTAAATTGGGTCTAGGACACAATTTTTCTTCAGCTGTTCATATATGACTAGCCAGTCAAGTGGTTTCTACTGCCATCTCATAGATGAAACTACAATTGCAGCTCTATACAAAACGAAAATCAGTCCATAGGCTCAAAACCTGCATCGCTTGCCATTACATGCGTCTAAGTCAACTGTTAATATTTTAGGTTACTAGAATCCAACCATGAGACCTTTTGGTCGATGCCATGTCAAGAATAGATCAACCTAACAAATCGAATTCTTGAGAGAGCTTAACGAATGAATCTTATTCATTCCCTTGCAGTACTCAGATGACTTGCAACCCAATATGACCGAATGTGGTATTGGCTAAAGAATTTTGACCTCTCATCATTCTCATTTTTACACCCAATTGATGAACTCGGAGACTGGTTATAATAACAGAATTATATTAACTCTCGCAAATTTTTCATGTGCCCAATAATCCACACTTATTAACACATACACCGGCTATCAATCATTGAGTACTGAAAATAATTGGTTATGCTTATGTTCAAAAGCATAATCTAAAACTAATAACAAGTGATATTGGCGTAGTCACCAGAACAGCAAATAACATTAACCAAGATAAATATGTTAAAATAAGAAAAAGATTGAGAGTGAGCTTACCTATTACAATATAAGGTGATGACAGTCTTGATTATCCCATCAAGCCTCAGTTTTTTCCTCTTCCTTGTCACATCAACAGAGATCTGAACAGGAGTCCCTTGTGGATAATCTTTAACAGCTTTAGTGACCCGTAGTCCCATAATTGAAGCCCTTGATTTGGAAACATCCGTTGAGAGGTTACCTAGACCAAGCCTTTCCAGTGTCGTGCAGTACTCGATGTGTGAAACCGAAGCATTTCTCCTGTACATAATTGCACCTTCCCATGGTGACCCCTCTTCTTCTTCAGGTTCCAATGCCTCCAGATCATCCCAATTCAAAGACACATCAGTGACAGTATGCTGGTCCCTGCTAGCCAAGTTTCTTCTAGTAGCCTTTGAAATCCTAGCTGATCTCTTGGCAAGATACTGAGAGATTTCTGATGTAACATTGCTAAGAAATCTGTACTTAACACTTGCATTCGATGGAAAGCTATTCACAGATGCCAAACTATCTGCTTTGAGTTGGCTAAAATGTGATGGTGCAGCGACAGAGGAAGCAACGAACGCAAGCGACATCTTGGCCTTTCCAATTCGGATTAAGAAAGCTTCTCTGAGACAGAAGTGAAAGCTTTGATTAAAGGGATGACAGAAACTTCAGCAACCATGAAAATCCTTCAGTACCAAATCCATGTAACTGTGCTAATCAAGCAAAACAGGAACCGAGGAGTTACAGCAGTGGAACCCAATACCTGAAAATAGAAGAAGAAACAATTGGTCAGGCGAGGCAACAAGTTTATAGTCACTCCAAGTTCTGCGTAACATCGATATACTTGATTTATGTAGGGAAACTATCAGCTCATACTCTTAGGGGCAAAACATCAAACACCTCATGGGCGTGAAGATGAAGTTCAGCCAAAACAGGTAGGAAGTAGATAGGCGACATCTATTGGAAGAAAAACACTGCTTAAAGATAAGGAAAAGCACTGACCAGAGAAGAGCTGGAGCTTCGAGCACGAAAGGATGAGTAACTGAGAGATGTTGTCCAAACTATTCAGCGTTGCCGCCAAGAGCTGTTCTCCAGACTGCAGTTAGAAAGAGAATTGGAAGAAATGAGAGATTAGGTAGCTGGACGGCTAGTGACGCCGAATGGAGGAGCTGAATGGATTGGATTTGGAGGACTGCCTTCAGTTTAGGACCATCTATCGGGCCCAGTTATTGGCAACTCCGAGCCCATTATTTTAAGCCTAATCTGTGCTAGTGGCCCATTCTAACGTGAGCTTGCTGAGTCCACCAAAAGGGGAAGTGCATACGGGATACCGGAACAATATATTGGCTTCGCATTTCGCAATGCCAAAATGCAACTATTCTCGCAGAAAAGCAAGATACGTAAAGTGAAGCAAGACAAGCTATGGAATCACAGAATCAGAAGACTTTCCATACCACAAACTAAAAAGTACACAGCATCCGGAAAACATAATACACTAAGCCTGAGAGTCAGCAACTAAAAACAGGATTAGAGGTTGGACAACAACTAGAGAGCAGAAGAACTCAAGGGCCAAGGCACAGTCTTCAGATCAACTAAAAGCTAAACGAAACATACAATCCAATAAAGCAAGTCGAAATCCCAATCTTCAGTTTCAGAACAATAGAGATCCCATCCAAGGCCTCTACAGGTCGAGCTCGGCATAAGGAGTCTCCAACTGGGCTTGCTCAGCTTCCTGCACCTCCTTCTCGGTCTTCCTCCCTTTCTTGCACTTGTAGTACACGCTCATGAACGTCCCCACAGCTTTGTACTTCTTCCTGGTCTCCTCGTACAGCCCACCGTCGAACATTCTCCAGAAGTTCTTCTCGTTCAGCTCCGAGACAGCATACTGTGGCTGGAAACCATGGTTCTCTATCAACCACTGTTCCAACCGGCGAACAGCCTCGGATCCATCAAACACCTCGCCCCTCAAGACAGGTCCCGGTGCATAGTACACTCCGACATCCGTGTACATCTGAGCGTACGAGGTGTCTCCTTGCCTGCGCTGGGTCTCGAATCCTGGCTCCGGGTAGATCATGGTTTTGATAGGGAGCCTGAAGAGCTTGTGAGGGCAGAGCCAAATAGGGTATACCTACAAATCACCACCAGAAACGAACAGGTTACAGCATGTTAGAAACAGAACATAAGATTTGCACCGGTTTCCACATTAACAAAGAAGAGAAGCATATTCAGTCATTGATTTCACCATGTTGTTACTTTCTTTTGGGTCACGTTGGATACTTAAGCATGCAATAAGAGAAGAAAGGAAAGCTTGTTTACCTCCATCTCACGGTGGACCCATTCCAGTGCATCGCCAACCTTGTAGAGAGGAACAAGCAAATCCTGGATAACATGCATCTCATGATAGTAGTTTCTGATTGCTTCACCTTGTGTGGCCTTCAGCAGAGAGACCTTAGGAGGCATCAGCCAGCCGAGGAGAAACCTAAACCAGAACTGGTCAGCAAATGGAAGAATGAGCTTGCCTTCCCAGTACAAACACCTAGTATGTCTGTGGTAGTATTCCCTGGTAGGAATGTACTCCACAAATTCCCCTTTCTTCAGTGCTGTCTGTGCATGCTGGTAGAACCACGGCTTGAACCACCAACCGACGCTGTTGATCTTGTTTCCCTTTTGCTTGGCCTCTTCTTTGGATGCATATCTACCAGTCATCATCACACCTTCATGAGGATTATATATCATTGTCTCCACAAAATCTGGGACCTTATCAGGATTGTCCTGATCTCCATCTCTGGGTGCAAAGGAGTCGATATAACCCTGGGCCAGATCTTTGAGGCTACCCCTGACAGGATGGTAGGTCAGCTTCATGTACTCTTTGATATGGATAAGCTTGATCTCAGCAGATACGAGAAGCCCAAGTGTTCCCTGAGACCAAGGGATGGCATAGAATAAATCAGAGTACTCATTGTCCTTGGTAGCTCTGACGACCTGACCATCAGCTAGAACAATCTCATAAGCCACAACAGTGTCGGAAAACAGGCCATAGATGTGAGAGCTTCCTTCAATACCATAACCATTGATGAGTCCACCAACAGTGAGATCATCCAGCTCAGCAACTACTGCAAGGGAAACATTCAATGGCACAGTGGCCCTGCTTATCTGTCCCATGTTGACAAGTGGCTCGACTTTAGCAATCATTCTCTCCGTGTCAATTTCAAGGATGTTCCTGAATGCAGATAAGTCAACTTCAAAGTGTCTCGCCCTTTTGTAGTCAACATTTCGCATGCCAACAGCGATCCAGGGCTTACGAGCAGTGCAGACGAGACCATCCTTCGATGCGTTTCTTTCCTTGAGCCGCTTAACAACTTTCTTGACGTTTTCATCATGTTCCTTTTGACGCTTCTTGTAGGACTTCATCTCGGACTTGACATCGCCAAGATAAGTGAGGAAGTAGAGGGTGAAAGAGATTGGGAGGACAACAAAGATGACTATAATCCATCTGAAGTTAACAAAGTAGTCCACCCAAATCTTCTTCCTCTTCGGGCGCTCAGTCAAAGGAACTTCTAGATCAGACATCCTGCTTCTTCTCCAAAGATATCTTTATACCTACAACCAAAAGAAAAGACGCCTTCAATAACTTAAAATATCCAATACAGAAATGATAAGCATATGTACCTACAGAGAGCTATAAGCATCTTGAAAAGAAAAGTGAACACAAAGACAGCCATGATAACCATTCACACAAACTTCATGATGATCAACAGAATAACCTCAATATGAAAAACTCAACTCCTTGCCTTATGTCACAGATAAGTATATTGATCCGAGTAAATATGCTGCTCTCAGCATCTCCACAAGACTAAGTAAGATGAACTAAATTGAATCCATCTACAGAAGCACAACCCACCACAGAACTAATTAAAACAATAGCATCAACTTAACCATGCCCTGCTGCAACAAAAAGTAACGCAACCAGAAAACACAGAAATCGGGTGCAATACATATACCAAGTTATGGATGAGGTCACAACAATGTAGTAGACACGAAAAACGAAAAGAAGCCACTGATGTCTTAAGTTCTCATGTGCTGTATTGTCATTAACTATCCAAAATCAATATCAACAAACAGGGTGAAGTGGTCCCAGTCCTGCTGCGGATAACAATGCTTTGTGCCCTTATAAATCTATCATTCATCACACTCACCAAACTTGAATCTGGATCTCGATATCATCTCGCTTTCATGATAGAGTAACATTAAAAGAGAGGGGAAAAAATTAACAGATGAAGCAATGCAGCATGAAAACGAGAAGTCAAAAACAGATAGCACTGGTTGCAATATGCAGTCAGTTAACGACAAGAGGATAAGTTAGCTTTAATGGAGCTGGTATAATACTGGTAAGTGGTAGCCATCAGATCTGGTGCAGATTTGAACAGTCAAGTATGTACAAACCGTGAAAAATTTGAAGCTAATTGATACAACCGAATCATTATCAGTCCTTCATGCAAACCAAACAATCATCCAAGCACAATGCAGATCTGAAGCTATGATACCATAAGTGAAGGTAATTAAAAACGAAAATCACTAATGTAACTTGCAGAAACCACTCAATCGTTCGACTGTTTGGTTTCCAGGACAAAAAAAATTAATTGCACCACGGATGAAAAAATCATAACTGTCAAAACCAAAGAAAGTCCTGAATACAGCGACGGAGTAGCAGGAAAACGCATGAGAGAAAGAAATAGCAGGGAAAAAACAGTTTCACAATCACTTTCTCGGCATACAAACAAACTTTTACTTAGCAATCAACAGTCGCACTCTCCGTAGAAGAGGAAAACAAGTGCACAAAACCAAAAGAACAGCCGGTATAAAACAGAATGTACGAAGGGAAAGCCAAACGCCACCAGAATCTCGCTATCGGAGTTCGGATTCCGTCACTTTCTCAGCCGCCAAACAGCGACGCACGCAGTACCAAGTGAGAGCCGTCACACAAAAACGGAAGCGGAACGAATACAGACACTGAAAATGGAGAAGAATCTCGAGCATTTGCAGAGAGAGAGGGGAGGAGAGGGGAGGAGAGACTAACCTGAGGAGAAACGGAGGAGAGGAATCGCTTAGATCGAAGGCGGCAGGCAGTTCACAGTTGAATTTAGAAGCAGGCGAGAGAGAGTGTAGAGGTGGATAGATATACAGCGAGTGAGTGAGAGCCCGCTCTGCTACGGAAAGAGTAAAGCCGAGATATTCGTTTCTATTTTTATTTTTTTCCATATTATTTTTTCTGATTATTTATTTATTTATTTATTTATTCATCTAATATCACAGAAAAATTAATCAATTGCCATCCAAAAAATGCGTTGATGATGAGATGAGATGAGGCAGAAAGTAGGGATGGCAATGGGTCGGGTTGGGTCGGGTTTTGCCAAACTCAAACCCAAATTTATGGGTTTATCCGTGAAAAAAACCCGGGGTAAAACTCACTGGATTTGAAAAACTCAAACCCAACCCAACCGGCTGGGTATTCGCGGGTTCATGGGTACCCACGAGTTTTTGTCGTAAAAAATTTATAATAACAAATTCCTATCAAAATTAAAGTCAAATATAAATTTTCCAATACAAATTATCCATATATAAAACACCACTCTAGAAAATTCAAGCAAATCACAAATTAACTATACAAATTGTTCAACACCAATCTAGAAAACTCAAAAAAATTGAAGCAAATCACAAATTATCCATAAATAACATGATTTATTGAAAGCTTCTTCCTTTCAATTAAGTTTTTCACTATCCACTCGATAACATCAACTTCATACTACATAACTAGAAAGAAAAAAATTAGACATGTCTCCACAAACATAAATAAGATTAGTTGTTTAGAATATTAAATATGTCGAGAAAATTAATTATATGAATGTGGGCGGGTACCCATGAGTCGAATTTACCTAAACCCAAACCCGGTGAATAGTGAACGGGTTTAAACCCAAACCCGGTCCAAAATTCGTCAACACGAATTTTACCCGCGTTGACCGGGTTGGGTCGGGTGTGTACCCGTGAGTTCGGATTTTGTTGCCATCCTAGCAGAAACAAACAGAGGGACATGAAGATATCGAAACGGACCACACAAATACAGAGGGGGGGCCGCGATGCTCGCCCAATTGCACTGGTAGTTCGCTGTCCATCAAAAGTGGACCTGGGGACTCGCCTTGTTTTGGAAAAACCCAAAGTGGAGTGTGCCGTGTGGGAAGGGAGATAAGGGTCCGGTATGGTGGTTGATTGCGTTTATTATATTATTTTATTTTATTTTATTTTTGTCGTAGTTATTTTCAAATGGAAGGAGTGTAGATACGAGAACATATAAGATCTAGTAAGATTAGCCGATTAGGTTAGAAATTTTAAATGAGAAAAATACGATGGTCGACAAGTGTTTGAAACATCGCTCTGAGGGCTTTTTTTGGCACGATATAGACAACCCTAATATACCTATGTGAAGCGAAATGGAACGTTGCACGAAGCAAAGAAGTCTGCAACACATGAATCTCTTGCGGGCTAGCTCCACCGGGTGCGACGAATCATTCACATTGATCATCCTGACAATCACTTGCGCGTTACCACAAAACAAAATATTAGTATAAGAATGCACCAAACACAACACAAATGCATCACGAGGAGCAGCGTAATGGACATTATGGATGTAAATATTGTGTGTTATTATTTAAGTGCAAAGTTATGAACTTTATCTCTCGTCAATATTAATATAGTTCACATTATAGATGTAAGAAAATGGCTTAAATTTAGGATTCTGATTCATTGATTTGTAAGTTATCGTAACTTGGAGAATATGATCGATTGCTTTCGACAAACGTCGACCACTTGTAGCAAATGGGCGACCGTCCTCGACAAATAGTCAACTGGATCACACATTTATCTCGTTGCAATGGAACTGCACCATTACAAAGGAAAATAACGGTCGAACGCTCCAATAGAATGGTCGACTCATTGACCATTACATTATCAATGTTGGAACAGGCTTCTATCAATAAAAAGATTTAAGTATTGCAATGGGATTCCACCATTACAAATGAAAATAACAGTCGATTGGGACAATATAATGGTTGGGCATTACCTTATTAGTGTTGGAATATATATGATTCCACCATATAAATGTTCCACTACCCAACAATGACTTTTTTATCGCTTGACTCAAGTTATTATCAACGTAAACCTCTTAAAATAACCATCTACGTTGTTAGATTATTACTTTAAAGATCAGGTAAACAAATTCGTATGAAGTTGGTGCTTGTTGAAGAATAAAAGATGCAGGATAATACTAACAATAATATAATATACTTGGTGAATGGTGAGTGTCACATGATAGGTGACGTTTTAAAGGGTGTTAACTCTAACCGAACCGAACTAGACCATGCATGAGTATAGTGCTTGGAAAAGTTGTTGAAAAGGTCCTTCAATTACTTCACCGGTTCCGCCCTTTTCATTTGTATAACACAAATTGACCGGTTGATGTTGACTATATTAAACCATCATATGTTAGGTTTGGAACTGCGTTGAAACACATAGTTAAAAAAAAAAGTTACCTGATCAACCGTGGAACATCTCCTTAACCCAAATGGCCACCATGCCGTATAGTATAGGTTATGAATTTGGTGGGTCTATAAGGAAACTAGAGTTATATGTGAATGAACACAAAAATATGTTGCAACTGCTACCAAAAGTTTTTCTATATTATAATTAGGGTTAATATTTTCGTATGGCCTGAACTTTGACCAAAGTAAACATCCTGGCCAATCTTTTCGATCTATAACATTCTGGCCCGAACTATACACCAAAGTAAACAATTTGGCCAAATCAGGGTTTTGACCGTTAACTTCGACGGTCAAACGCGTTGACTAACGGTCAACGCGCCATGTCACCGCCAACTCAGAAATAAAAAAAAAATTAATTCCCACCTAGCCCATTTAATTTCCATCTAGGTCTTTTCTCAATTTGAAGACAAAAAAAAAAAAAACCCACAAATAGATGTCATCGGCGGCGGGCCTCTTCTGGCCGAGCGCCGCCCCGGGTGGGTTCGAGGAAGGGGTTCGGCGGTACGAGGATGTGAGCGGCAGGGCCACCGGCGGGGAAGGGGAGAGAGACGGAGATGGGTGGCGATGCTGCTGCTGTTTCTTGGTCGCGGTGGCGGGGAAATTAGATCCGATCAGGCCGTCCAATCGGTCGAAGAAGGGCCAGGAGGAGGTGAGGACACCGTTGGAGGCGGTGATCCTGGTCTTCTCGACCTTGTACTTCTTCTTGATGGTGTCGATCCGGTTCTTGCACTGGACATCGGTGCGGTGGGTCTTCTTGGTGAGGCCATGGATGGCGTTGACGGCGGCGGCGACCTATTTCCAGTCGGTCTGGCGGAGGTTTCCCCGGTTGAGCTCGACGTAGCGGTTGCCCCAGGCCTCGACGAGCGTGGCGGTGGCCTCTTCGCTCCAGCAGTCCTCCCTGATGGGGAGAGGGCGGGAGTTAGGGTTGCTGGAGGGAGTGTCGGAATCCGTTAGGTCGCCCATGGAGGATGGATTGCGGTGGAAGGGGAATCAATCGATCGGCGGCGGGCGGGGGGGATGGCGGTGGTGGAAAACCTAGGTTAAAGATTGGAAAAGAGGAGAAGGGGATTGAACGGAGAGAAAAGAGAGAGAAGAGGGTAAAAGAGGGGAAGGTGTCGGTGCGGCGAGGGTGACGCGCCAGACGCATGAGGACGAAAAATTAGGAGTGGGGAAATAAAAGAGAGAGAGGAATTTTTTTTTATTGCTGAGTTGGCGGTGACATGGCGCGTTGACCGTTAGTCAACGCGTTTGACCGTCGAAGTTAACGGTCAAAAGTCTGATTTGGCCAAATTGTTTACTTTGGTGTATAGTTCGGGCCAGAATGTTATAGATCGAAAAGATTGGCCAGGATGTTTACTTTGGTCAAAGTTCAGGCCATACGAAAATATTAACCCTTATAATTAAGGTCCTTAGATGAAAAAAAGACAAAAATATGCTGCCTGTATGAAAAATGCAATGTTTTATATTATATATGGGGTTTAGGCAAACTGCAGATCTCACCAACCAAACCACTAGTGAAATTTGATTATACAACAAAACAACACTAATGGAATTGTTAAACAAATGGAGCCAGCTCTGGGACGATAGTTTTTTACATGTGCTCCAATGAGATCGCAGATCAAATCTGCCGACCCGTCTCTCTGAATCTCAGATCAACGGGAAGTTTTGATACCTGAGCTGAGCTGACGCCACGTGCGCCGGCGAACCCGCAGAGACCTCCAAACACCAACTCTTGTAAGTTGTAAACTACGCCCACAGACAAAATTAAACAAGTTCATACATTTGTCAATGATTTTTATTTATTAGACTTCTTCTTTTTTTCGTAGAATATTTATTTACTCATCTTTTAGACAGAAATTTGACACATTTTGTCCTGTATATATGATCAATATATTATCGTTGTTATGCTTAAACAGTTAAACTGGATCAATCAACGTACGGGTGAAGCTTGATGGTGAGGATGAAGACACTTACCAATTAAGATAATATTTCATTGTTGAAGGAAATATATAATGGATCCACTTGTTATGTAATTTGATCTAATTGACATGATTTATATGGATATTGAGTCAGATTGGAATGAACTAATATACGTTCTTAATAATTTTGGATTTTAATCGAGTCTAGTGTGAGTAAACCCATTTGCATCGTATCCAAATATATCTATTTGACTCGAAATGATTGTACATGTAAAATAAATATATTGAGTATCTCCTTAACTTTTTTTCAACCTAATTCATAGATTAAATGCTTATGTTTCCATATTTTTGTTTGTTTCATAATAAAAAGAATGCCAAAAACTACATTATAATCGAAAGCCTCTGTCTAACTCTTAAGAAAAAAAATTTGGCGTTGATCACAATAATTGCAGCCAAAAAACCAAACTAAACCAACCATTTTGTGCGGGGGAAAAGCAACCAATTGGATTGGGGTATGGGAGACTTATTCATGCACCGGGCCTCAAAGCCCCGCTCCGGCCTAGTCAGTGAAGAACAAACAAACGGGCCCAATTTCTTGTTCATTGCAGCGGGCCAGTCTGGTATCGGCACCCTAACGATCCACATCGAATTTGGGCCATCTATAAATACAGAATTCCGTCTGGGCATCGTTGTGCCGACTACTTCTAATCTTTTTTTTTTTTTTTTTCCAAGAAATGTCAAGAGAGAACTTATACAATCTACCCCAACCCTCCCCAACCCAATACATCAGTGAAGCCAGCCCACAAAATCAAAAGCACATAACTCTAACGGGGTGAGCAACAGTGCCTTCTGCGCCACTCTATGGGCAGCACTGTTAGCAGACCGAGGGACTGCCCTAAACTCTAAAGAAGCAGAGAGAGAAGTGGTGTTTTGACTTTTGACCCGTTGCAGTTTGCTAACAAGATCATTGTGGACGTAAAAATGTTTTCGGATGGTAGAGCTCTCCTTGCTAGAGTGGATAGATTATAGTCCGCTGTTGGATATTCTGTTGGTACTATAAAGCTCGAGCGCTAAGCCTATATGTATTGTTTTCGGAAGAGGTTCTCTAGAGCTTAAAGAAATTTTTTTATTAACCATAATAAAATCCACCCCTGTTGTGGTGGCTGCCATCTGATCATAAGCAGTATTATACAAAGTCCCCCCAGCTTCGAAGATCGTGGTTCTTCTTCTCGAAGGTTGTCTTGATTTGTAGTCCCGTTTGAAAAGCATTAAATTGGAATTGTGGATAGTCATCAACTTTGTAAAGCAGAACCAATAGTTACTCTTGTTCTTCCATACATGTCAACACGTCTCCCACAAACCATTGTAACTAATAAACATTGTAAATTGATTACTCTTATAAAGATTGATATAAGCTATACGATCGGTTCTCTTTTTTAAATCATCACTATAATATAAGTTACATACAAAGGGTGATAACGAAAATATCAATCTCAAGGGCCAACGCAAATTTAACTGAATGGTTGGGATACCGAACTATAAACTAAAATAACTTAATTTTAATATCCACAACAAGCAACTCTCTTCTTCTTCTTTTTTTCTCCTTATTGAGACACATGTAAAAAAAATTATATGTTTTAAATCCACAAATCCACAAGAGAAACATTATAAAAACAAAGATGAGTTTAAAGAAACCCAGAAATGGAAAATAATATATACAATTAGGATCATTAGTTCATTGCTCATTAGTTGGAGGGAAACAAAGTGGGGGTGGTTTGAGAGGACAGCTTGGCTTTGGTCACTAATCCTGAATTTAAAACCCAAAGTAGAAACAAAGGCATCAAACTTTAATCAAGGAAAGTGATTCTCTTGTAGGTTTGAGAATATATTGTGGGGCTCTACCATCCTCAAACAGCTTGGCTGTTGGCTGTTGTTATAGCATACATAGGTTGGAAAGTCGTTTTCTGCTCCTCAAATTCAAATATTTTTACCCAACCAACTTCAGACCTGGAGTACAAATTATTAGGACTTATGAATTACCTTCATTTCTTCACTCTCAGAGTTCAGAGGTACTTTCACGTACGTAACTGGTTCACATTTATAGTCGAGCATTACACTATTGTCATTGAAAAATAACGTACTAACTCGCGTACAATACACAAACGCATGCCGTTGTGAAACAAAAACAATGAAGAATCTGCACAGTTATCATTCAATAAAACTATTTAATATTAGTTGCAAGTAAAAATCATCACATAATTTTCGAAATAAACTTAATTATTGAGTAGAGTTGGTATGGGAGATTCAATCATGGGGAGCCAACAACTTAATCAATTAGTAAACTGCCTTTGTCCTTAAATAAGAAACTACGTGCATTCGACTATAAGCAATCATCGATCCATACGGTTGGTTGTTCCAATAGTAGAACGACTGTCCATTATTATTATTATTAATCAGAACAGCAGGAACGAATATATTCTAATCATAATTAACACCATAATTTAATTGTAGCCACGCTTTTAAGGAAAGTCCCTCTGCCTCAACCCACCCCTTTCTTTCTATAACCATCTCTCTCCCAAATTCGGCTTACCTTATTCTCATCGATCGCTCTTCTTCTTCTTCTTCTTCTTCTTCTTCTTCGCCGTGTCTGCCATTGGCGAGAGAGATGGAGTGCTCAATTTGCTGCACAATGCCACTCATTCTGCGGCCGCCGAGGAACACCATCTGCGCCGGCTGCTACGAGGCGGCTCGAACCGCCATCTCCCTCGTCAACAAGTTCGAATCTTCCTGCGATAGAGGATCATCGTTATCGTCGCCGTCGTCGTCGGACCATCATTCTACTCATAAAGCCAATTCGAGTACTCATTCGGCTTCTTCTCCAAGTTCCTGTAAGGCAAGCTCTATAAATTCATTCATACCACCTTAGTCAATTCTCCTCTATTTATGTTGTATCAATCGTATACCGTTTATATACAAAAAATAAAAAATTAAAGCTCTCTGTCAGAGAGGATATAGATGAATTTCTAAATGAATTGTAACGATTCGGACTTTCAATGTGGTAGAAGTTGTATTTTGACACATAGTAAAGAGTTACGGATTAAAAACGTTATTGGTTGGAAGAATTTGATAAATACGTATAAATTAAACCAAATATTTTAAGTTTTTTTTTTTTTTTTTTTTGAGTTTCCTATAGAATGGAATGTGACTGGTTGTAGTATAGACAACAGAGCACGAACCAAAAGAAGAGTCGTTGTTACGGTTTATAGTTTGACTTGTAATGTTTACGCCATCATCATCGATTGAAATGTCACTAGAGAGAATTATAAGGGTTCTTTCTTTGTGGAAGAGTCGGCTTGGCCGGCCGGTCCGGATCGTTGAGGTTAACATGTGGACGATTAGAAAAAGCCAAAAAGGCCTTCTTTTTTTAGTGATAGCCTTACCTGGGCTTATCACGGGCCCGTGTGGGTCGATATTGAATTGCGTTAGCTTTCGAGTCAACTCATGGGCCGTTGTAGATAATATATGGGCCGAGTTTCACTCAGCGGCCCAAATTTCTTTTGCTCCCGACTTTCCTTCCCTTGGAGTTGGAAGTAATCAAACTTCGGTACTTTTCTGGTCGGCATAAATGCAGGCTCAACCACTAGCAAACCTCCCAAAATGGATTAACAGCCTGAACGAGACACACAACGAGTTGACCCAGAAAATCGATTTCCTTGGCAACATCGTCCAACTGTTCCGATCACAACTCCTCACCGACATCCACCTCAAACCCGGCAACGGCGGCGCTCCAATCCCTGCCCACAGAGCCCTACTCGTAAGTACAACGAGAAATTTTACAATGTTACATATAATCATTGGTGATATAGGATTTTACTTTTATGGTACAATTTGAAATTATATTTTTAATGTTATGGTACAATTTCAGATTGTATCTATACTATTTTGTATCAATATACGTACACGCATTTGCAGGCAGCGAGATCGGAGATATTCAAGACGATGCTGGACCCCGACGCCTGCAAGTCCCCCGCCAACGACACGATCACGCTGCCGGAGCTGAACCACGAGGAGCTGGAATCCCTGCTGGAGTTTCTGTACAGCGGGGACCTGGCTCCGGAGAAGCTGGAGCGCCACGTGTACGCCCTGACCCTGGCGGCGGACAAGTACGAGGTGCCGTACCTGCTGGGGCTGTGCGAGCGCCACATGGTCCGGTCCCTGGACGCGTCGAACGCGCTGGAAGTGCTGGAGATCTCGGACTCGGTCTGTTGCAGGAGCAGCAGTGGCGATTTGAAGGAGACGGCGGTGAAGTACGTGGTGAAGAACATGGAGGAGTTGGCCTTTTCGGGTAAGTATGAGGCGTTCGTGGCCAGCAACCCGCATTTGGCGGTACAGGTCACGAGGGCGTTTCTGGTGGACGCCAAGCTGGCCCGATGATCAGTTATTTCAGCATGCTGCTGGCTGCTGGCTGCACAAGAAACAATAATAATGCTCTGTTTTGGTTTTGTTTTGTACTGCGGTGGAGTGATGGGACTGGTACGTGTTCATTCATTCATCGATCGTTCATGTGTGGAATCTTTTGGAGGATAATGTGTAAATTTTTTTTTTTTTTGAATTGGTATGTTTTTGTTGTTGTTGTATTTACCCGACCAGAGGGAAGGTATTCATGTGGGTATCATCTTGGTACTTGGTGTATATTTATACGCAGATGAATTTATTTATAAGGATCTCCGTGTATTTCTGTGGGTACGTGTAACTGTATATGGGAAATTGTTCAATCAGTTTGCCATCCTATCTTCCTTAAGTTAATAAAGGTTTTCTAATTAATAAGTAATTAGGTCTAGAGTCTAGACTAGAAACTGAAAAGAGTCGTTATAAAAGAAGTGAAAAGAGTCAATTCCTCCCAGAACTTTTTATCACTGAGCTTTTAGCTCTTTCGTTGGTGTTTGCCACAGTCCTTCACTAATGTTATGTTTGGTGGTGATGCTCAGGTCGTAATTAACCTGATGGTCAATGGAATGGACTCGTCGCACGCGATGGGAAGGACTCTTGTCTTGTGTAAGAGATTCGGGTGCAATGATCATCGTTCAATATGTTACGTTTCATTTCGGGTCATGCAGGTATATATAGTTAAGTTGTTATGACTAATCAGACACTTTCATTGTTGGATCTTACACTTGTTAACCTTCGTTCTTTTCTTATTTCCGTAATGTAACATGACCTACAAAACACAAATGTTTAGTATGTTCTTGTACCTAAACTTTTACACATTAGGGTACCTATGGGCAAGAAGAAAAAAAGGTGAAAAGTGGGTTTTGTTGTGATGGAACGGGAAAAGAACATTGTCAGAAAGCAGAGAACAAACAAATTTATATGATTCACTAGTGTGTTAGCTAGTTCACAGGTGTGGAAGATGAGTTTGACTATATTTGTGTTCGATGAAGATACAAATTAGAGAGGGGTTGAGAATTTATATATGTAAGCACCTTCTCCAATCGACCGAACCCTAATCCAATTCAGAAAGGTAATTAAAGTTCAACAAATTAAATAGATCAAATTTCAAGTCATAGCAACAATTTTTCACGTGGGAACTGCTAGACAACTTATCATCATAGTCTAGCAAACCTTAGTAACACATGAAAACTAAATTGGGATGCATCGATATCATGGTGGTGGGTCTGCTAGTCTACACAGCAGCTGGGGCCGTTTCAGTAACTGAAATACGACAGTACAGAGTATTCACAGTTGGATCAAATAACCACAGCACCAGTTTACTACACATATGTCTGATTGTATTTGGCTCTCTCCACGGGGAATTCAAACCAAACTAGAAATGAATGAAAAAAACAGGACAATTACAAGCGGCCCCGCCCTGCCGTAGCACTACTGTCCCCAGCCATGTTGAGTGACAGTCCTGAAACTGCTAATTTGTTTCTACTCAAAAACCAGCATAACATAAAACACATTATTGGACCACCAAACTCTGGATTAACCATCGATTTAATGACGATTAATATTTCCCATAAGGTCATCCATCCCAGTCGTTAATGGCCTGCAGCACCGCTTGTTTTATCACTTGGGGATCGATAGTCTGCTGCTCCCCTTCTTCTTCTTCTTCCTCATTCTGATCATCTCCACCGCCGCTGCCGACGGCTTGGAGGCGGAAGCTGTCGGAGCAGGAAGCCCTAGCTTCCACCACGTTGAGGCCGAGATCCTCGAAAGCCTCCAGCACGGATACCAGCAAGCCGGGGCAGTTTTTTCCCGAGAATATGTTTATCAGGAAACCCTTCTTCTCCAGCGTTTCCACCGTTACCACGGGGAGCTGCTGGCCGGTATGGTTAATGTTGTTGTTGTTGTTGCGGTGGCTGGAGGAAGGTTGATGACGATGATGATGATGATCAGCTGACTGGATGTCGTGGTTCAGTTTCTCGATCTTCTGTTTGAGTTGTTGAATGTAGTTGGAGGCGTCTACTATGATTGAGCTTCTGTTCACCTGCAGCAACGATTAATCCAAGTGCAATGAGTTTATTTTTCCAATCCAAAGTGTAGCCTTAGGTAAACCCTAATGGTCTTTTTTTTCTTCATTTTTGCCGCAAGATACTCGTATTTCACGAGGCTCCGTTATTTAATATGCGAACAATTCACAATGATCGAATTCAAGAACAAAAACTCAAATCGAGCACATCCAGGTCGTGAAAAGCTAATAATGGATTATTGTACAATGGTTGATTATTCTCCTCGAAAAATGGATATACACATTAAAAGTTACACGGAAAATATCCAGTTTTTTTTTATTCGTCTATGAAAGAAAATTGTATTCTGATATGGGTGTTGACGGTCGATTCAAACCTAGATCATGACGAATGTAATCATTATCACAATATTACTATATGTAATTGAGCTCAAAATCGTACATTCTTAATTCTTCCATGATTGTTTTATAAAAAAAAATTCCTTGGTAACTTTTAAATAGTCATGCACCTTAGTTCACCTATGAAAAACAAAACCTACTCCAAATTAAAAGTAAAAAAAAATAGGGTACGGATGGAAATTTTCAATTGTTGTTTGTTGAAACCAGAAGGGGAGACGATGATCAATCACAAACGGGGATCAGTTTATACTTTACACCACCGGAAGAAAAAAAAAACCCCCCGGGAATAATTGGATAAATTCATCATATGAGTGGCTGACTTGAACTACAATAAACGCCATTGATAATATATCAACCAAAAAATTATCAGTAGACCACACACCTTAAGAATTCACAGAAGAAATGAAATACAGAACAGAAACAACACGAACAAGGAAATATAGAGAGAGGAAATTAAAGGGGAATAGTGGTAGAAGCAATTACTGCAGTAGAGTTAGTAATGGAGCGAAGGAGTTGCAGGTTCTCATGCAGTAAGCTCGATTTCTTACTCTCCCTAGACGCCATGGTTTCTCTTCTCTCTTTCTCTCTAGCTAGCCAGCAAGCTTTTCTATGAATCTTCTATTGGCTGGCTGGTTGGCTGCTATGGCTAACTGTATATTCAGCCCCTCACCAGCTAGAGCTATATATACACACATCTCAAGGAAGGAGAGGCATGGAAGCTATATATATACAATTATAGGATTCCATTGATATGTTTGGGGAAGAAGAGTATCATGAGCTCGTGATGAAGGAGAAGACGAGGAACAGGCCAAAATGATTTTTTTGAGACAAAATCAAACATTGTAAAGGAGAGAAGAAACAAAAATTGGGTAAGGCATTGAAAGAAGTGAAATTAATTGAAGGAATAATGTGACAGCGAATAATTCTAGCGGTTGGGGAGACTGATCAAAACTCGAGTTTATACGAATTTTTATTTCAAATGCGCTGCTAATAACGAATTTGATGTTTGTAGAGGTCTAACATGCATGATTTGAGCTTATAACATCAAGGGTTATAAAAATTCTGAACATGATATATATATATATATATATCTCTCCGATCGATAAGGTTATGATATCATGCCGTAAATTCATATATTGCAATAACTTTATTTGTTGTGAATGACGCCACTAATGTAACTAATACCATTTTCCTATTTTGAAACATAACTTAATTTATTTGAAACAATATTTCTCATACAATTATGGTTTTAGAGACACTCAAAAAATTATTGTTTTGGGTCACCGAGGAGGTAATTTGGTTCAATTTGTGTAATAAGATTTTACAATTTTGCATGATGTTTAGAATTATGATTAGAACTCCATACAAAACGATTTTACGATTAAAATTATAATATCTCGTGAACAATTACCGACATTTCAATGATAATTTTAGACCACTTAAACAATATGTACTTTCCTACTCATATTTCCTTTTAACATTTAAGAGGATGTGTACAAATTAAACTTAGAGGAAAACCAATATGAAGACAAATTATTTTTATATCGAAGCATGTTATGTGGGGAGACAAATATATATGTGACCAATGGTTGCTTTTTTTCAATTTATGGGCCGAAATTAGTTAAAGAAATTAAGATGGTGGAAATAATTGAAGGGAGGGTGAATTTTTAAGGTTTTTATAGGATTTTGGGAATACCTCCAAACACTCCTCACGGGGCTTCCCTTTCTTCTCTGATCGATCCTCCTCCAAGGCAGCTTGCTAGCTACCTAGCCAAATCAATCCCTTGTTTGCCACCACCCCATCCAGCCGTCACCCTTTGTCCTCTCTCTACCCTTCGCCTCTCTCTCTCTCTCTCCACACGTGCCATTTTACCCTTTTCATCCCTCCAAATCATCAGCTAGTTAATCTCGTGTGTTAATTACATGCTAATCTTAATCTAGATAATTATAAGGAACTCGAGCTGGTCATGCATGCTGGGGTAGAGAATGGTGAGTGGAGTAAAGTTATTGGTCGTGGAAGTTCAATTGATCACCACTCTCCTTAGCTTGTTAGATTCTCAGTTAGAACATGAATAGAATACGGAATGAAGGCGTGAATTGATTGCTTTTTCTAGCGTGTGTTATTTGTCTTCCATATAAATTGTTGATCGAATTTAGACAAATCTAGCTCCCTTCCAGAAGTCTCTTCGATCAATGCCCAGAAGCATCGCGTTTATATTTTTGTGTTTGGGATTTAGAGAAGAAAAACTAAAGAATGTTGGGAAAAAGATTTCTGGAGGCAACATGTTTTACATTGTGAAAATGGAAATTTCCTTCTCAAGGTTATTTCGTTTCAAATAATGAAAAATTGCATTGCCAAAATTCAATTTCGAACCGGTAATCACTCAACCAATAAAGTAGAGTCGGAAGAGACTCTGCAAGCATACTTTACTATCCACTTCTACCAATGTAATATTTCTCCTACTTTCAGATTATTCCGACATTCTATTTCGACATTCCCAAACAACCCTACTTGGTGAGAGATTTCTCAACAAGCTAGGTTCACAACAACGCCAGGGCTCAACATTGCTAAGTCAATTGGTTCTGTCGACTCGCTACAAAAATTCAGGATGAGCAGAGTGAGACTCGTGAAAATGTTATATACATTACCAAATAATTGAGTTTCTACGATGGGGTCTAGCTAGCTAGTTCGTGAATATAGTATTGGAAAAAACATGTTTCTCAGTCGGGTACGGTTTTCAGACACTGGCAAATTAATTCTTTCATGTAACGAACCATGTATTTTCTCTTTGATGGACATTTGGAAAGGTCGTGGTTTTTCACTTGAGCTTGTAATTTGCTTGCTTGACCTTGAAATACTAGGTCTAACACACTACAACGCTACTCATTGGTACGTACAGGATTTGGAGATGGACAAAAGAAAAATCAAAAGAGGTATGGATGGCGAGATTGGAATGTCACGAGATGCTGCCTCTTGCTGCTCACACATATATAGATTAACTTATCTTATCGTTATGCACATTGTTGCATTATTATACAAACTGATATGTCGTATCACGAAAAAAAAAATGCATCTCTCGCTAACGCTTGCTTCAATTGCTTTGGCTATTTTGTTTATAATAAGATAATTTTTTGAATGTCAATTGTAACTTTTGAATCTCTGTGACCTAGAGGGGACAAAATGATTGAACTGTTTTCGATAACGATCGATCCAATGTCGACATGTCGCACATATCTTGTTTTCACAGGTTGATCAAATTCATAGAGAAATATGTACCTCAACAAGACCGTTGGATTTTGTATTACATGACATATTAAGATCGATGTAAAAATCGGTCATTTTATTGAAGAGGTCGATCTCTTGGTTTTCAGCTTAACTGAATTGAAGACGACATGCAAACACGAACATGTTTTTGCTATATTGGTCGACCGATTTCAAGTGAAGAATCTAACCAACACACCTGATGCTTGTTCTGGTTGATCGGTTTTAGGAAGCAAAATGTCCAACAATTGACAAACCACATTGCACATTGGCTAACTCAACTATATTCAAACCATAGTTGTAGAAAAACAAATAGTTTACAAAACTCGATCCACAACCCGAAGTACACAATAAACACACTTCACAATATTCCACAGACAACTCAAATCATAATAGATAGAACTCAATCCACAAATACAAATAAATTTCATAATGTCATTAATATAATGGAGTCCTTTAATTTCTCTCTTCTCACTCATTTCGATCATTCAGATTGTCACAAAAATTATGATGCTCAGATGTAGTAGGAAACACATTTCTTCCACTAAGGATCGAAATTCTTCTCGCTTCCTCGTGCGTAATTTTCTTAAAAAATAAGATACGTTAGAAAGACCACAAACAGAGAAGAGGACCCATCGCTACAATTCTGCGGTTGTCATGATGATGAAAAGACCGATGGAGGTCAACCATAAACAATGTACTAATGTTCAAAAAGAAGCCGGTCGGTTGCTCCATGGATAGGTTAACCAATTAGGTTTATCTCCATACCTCAAGTCAACGACGTGGAGAGTACTCTAAACACAATGAATCCCGTGATTGCACTTGCAAGGTTGATCACATGTTGATTTCTAGGTGTTGCATGAACAACGACCTCGTTGCAACAAGGTAATTGTACCTTCCGTTGGTTGTTTGTTAGAAACGATGACTTGAAAATCACCATAGCAAAATCCGAGAATAAGATAATAGTAAAGGGGAAGGGGAAGACAAATATATTGAAAGATCGAGGATCCAATTGTCGTGTCCTTGAGTTGGAATTTATAGAGAGACAAATTACGTACCCTACTCCATTCACATGTGTGTCCATTAATCATCACAACAAACCAATTCTTCTCTCCCACACACAAACAACATGACCTCCAATTCATTCCTCCATCTTTCCCGCCCCTTCGATAAGCTTCGTCTCTCTTCCATGCCTAATGAATAATGATAGCTAGCTAGCTAGGCAAAGTATAGTGATTTCATCTTTCTATGAATGACTCTTAATGTGAATGTGAACAATAATTAGAAGAGTTTGAGAAACTAGCACCATATTAGTTTGTTAGTTAGGGTCTACATGGAGTAGGAGAGAACAAAGCGAGTGTATATTTTTTCATTTGGAGGGAAATTCGTCAAAGACTGGCAAATTTCAGTGCCTATATTCAGTCCTTAGAATGAATATCCGATAAATCCATAGGATCAATTCAGTTGGACACACAGCTTTGTTGGTGGCCACCAGAGGATAGCACATAAATGATGGTTGCCAAGGTTTGAACACAGAACCTCCTGAATCCAAACTAGCTCATTCATTAGGTAGATATAGTTATGTAAGAAAGCGGTTATAAGATCTATATATTGACCTCTCCCACGAACTTGAGTTATTTGGACCAACTGATTTGTGACGTGATACAAGAGCTTGTTTGTTCTTGAAGTCATGTATGTGTTCAAATTCTCACGAACGCTCAATATTATCTTCAAATGCATGGTATAATAAATCTATGCAAACTTCAAACCACACATGATAGATTAGTTAGTTACAAGTAACAAGAGTGGATATGATCTTTCAGTGTCATCTCGAATTGTTTGCCCTAATTATGTATGGTATACAGACTCCCCGTGAGATGCCAAGGGAGAACTCGACTCACGTGAGCCTGCACTTGGGAGAAGGTACATTCACAGGCACATACATACATGTGAATGTGATCAATCATCTAATGGAAACAAAAAAACACCCTTAGCTTGTAGTAGTAGTAGTAAATGCATAAAGTGGACTCACCGTCAGTTTCCTATCTCACCAACTCATTCATTATCATAATGAGTTGGTTTTAGACCATAGTAATGTGTTTATGAGTCAATTGGGGCATAGGATTAATTTAATTGGCTTACATCATAGTCTTGGCTTAATTAAGTTACAATATGGGGTGGTGGTTGGGTTTAATTAGATCAAAATTTCCCCTAAAAAGTGGGAGAAGTTGGAGGCCACGTAGCATGCTGGATTGCTGGTATACACTCACATGTTAATTACTAACGAAATAAATATTGATCATCCTTGACACGACCTGCTCCGACTTGTTTGGGATGAATATTACTCAATTCGTAGTAGCATGGGGTATAAATACTACTTTCGATATGTTTCGCACTGTTTTTTATCTGCTCTATTATGATTTAATTTTCATTATTATCTACTCGTATTTATCTTCTTTTAACCTTTTTTAAATCTTATTTTCATCCCAAATAAATTTTAAGGCTCCAACTTTCAACTATTTAGACTAAATTGTTCTGTTTACTATATCTATGATTCATTAATGAAGTGCGTTATCTTCGTTTTCTTGTAAAAGAATTGAATAGCAACATTTTTTTTCTTCAAGTAACATATAAGGATTAGCCGACCTGTCCCGCCTTATACTCGCGCCGGTATTACCAGACCTGACCCGCGCTTAGTATGGGACAAGAATAATGAATATTGAGATATTCGTCCCGCCCTGCCGTATTAAACGTCAACCCAAATTCTAGCCACCCCCGAAATAACATAATCGTCGTCGTAGCAAATTAGAACAAAGATTACATGCATGATGAAGGCAAGTAGGCAGCCAAGCAACGGTAGAATGGTGTGGTGTGTGGATGGAGAGATTTTCACATTAGGACCGTGTTTTCAACTGTTTGCGTCCGTTTGTTGAAGTTTTGGAAGCAATCCCATGCATGGCATGGTGCGAGATAACTCATTGGCTGGCATCTACTGACCTCTTGTTGCCCTAGCTAGCTGGCTGCTGGCTAGAGCTCTGACTCTGTATAGCTCGATCCTCGGGGCTCCAATGGCTTCCTTCATCTTTGTAAAAGGTTTTTTGTCAGGCGCATGCACCCCACACATTTTGGAGTCATGAGAGGAGCTTTTTGATTGGGCGTTAGAGCTTTGTTATTGAGCTCTGCGCTTCGGTCGTGAAATGTAACTTTTGTCTGCTTGCTTTTGCGACAGTGACCCGACCCGCTCCATTCCATTTACTTTAACCGTCTAGTAGTTTTCGTATTTGCTCCCTCGACCTCGAGTCAGTCGAATGATATTCAAAGCTTTCACGAGCAAGTCAAACCGAAATGATGGATGCAAATGCAATGCAATGCAAGCACCAATCTGTCATAGTCCTACCCGTATGGGATCCCATGCATCTACAAGACTATATATGTGGATAGTAATTTTGTGATCATGTTATAGTCTTATAGATTTGACACGGGTTGATTCTACTAAATTGAGCAACTATTATAAATAGGGTATTGTTTATACTCAACTCTTAATTAGGGCTGGTAACCGGTTCGGTAACGGTTAACCGGTTACCGACTGAACCGGTTACGGTATACCGACATCGTCAAAATGGAGATCGACTACCGGTACCGAATTCTAACCGGTTAACCGGATAGCCGGTTACCGGTTACCATCGGTTAATACTGAGAAACCGAGAAACCGAGAGGCACTGCTGAGTGCGGAGAGTGGTATTAAATTCGTCTTCTCTTCTCCCTCAAAGCCGACCACCACCAGATTCTTCACCTTCTTCTTCCCCTCTTCATCAACAGCCAAGAATATCTCTATCTCATCCTCCCTCCTATCCACCGCCAAAGGCCAAAGCCCATCTCCCCACTTCTTCACCTTCTTCCTTCGACCCACCCCCTGCATCTGCATGCCTCAATTCGCACCGCCGAGGAAGAGAGAGCCACCGTGCGAGGGATTTGCATGGTGCCGGATCTGGAATCAAGAGGGAGAGAGAGTCGTCGGATCGGGTTCTGGGTTCGAGAAGGAGAAGGAGTCACCGGATCGAGTTATGGGTCTCCACAACGGCAGCGGTGGCGGCGACAGAGGAGTCCAGAAAGGCGGTGGCTGGGCGAGCAGCAAATCCATCGCTCCTGCCCTCTCTCCGGTGACGGCATGGTCCATATCAACAAATCGAGAAAGTGATGAGGGGATTTCATAGAATCTCTCATGGTGAAGTTTCTGTTTGTGGAGGAAAGATAGAATTTTTTTGAGGGAGATGGAGAGAGAGGAGCGAACAGGGTAGAGGAAGAGGGGTGAACTGATCGACAGGGGATGGTTTTTGCATGTATCGGTATACTCGGTTATACCGAGTAACCGACGGTTACTTACCGGCTATGGGTCGGTATACCGACAACTGTGTTTCGTCTGCCGCATACCGATACCGCCGGTTAACGGTTTAACCGGTAACCGCCGGTTATCGGTACGATTACCGGTTAAACCGTTAACCGGCTTACCGGTTAAACCGTTAACCGGCTTACCGGTTAAACCGTTAACCGGCTTACCGGTTACCAGCCCTACTCTTAATTAATCGGGTAGCATGGATTAGTATTACCAAGTTGACCGAATTAAGGTGGTTAGGGAGCCCATTACGATGTTATAATTTGGTGGTTGGTTGTTGCATTACCAGGACGTTCATCACTGATAGTAGCTAGTGACTAATCCATCATCAGATTTGATGGCTTAAGTGACAAATGGTTGACCATAAAGTAAGTTATATTCATACAAGCAGAGAACGAACACTTGTCCTCGTCTCATGACAATCCGAAGTGTGATCTCCCAAATTAGTTTATGAATTATTTCGATTGTGATATTTGAGTAAAAATCCCATATATGCATAACTTGATTGGAATTCATATTTGGCTTGTTCAAAAATAATTTGAAAACTGAAAATCGACATGTGAATGTGATGATTCTTCAAATATATAGCCCATTTACGGAAAGGAAAACTCAACACATTTTATTCCCGTAATTTATTCTCAATCCCTCATTAGGAACACTATGAACCCTAATTCCACTATTTTCAATCTTTTATCGTCATATATGTCCCTAGCTTCTTGTGGTTCCTACCGTCTTCAGGCCGGTCTAGTGTTGGCACTTGGCAACGCAGGAAATTTATTTGGTAAACAAAGCCACTGGTCGATTAAACGAAGCCTATTTTCCACAATTGGGCCCATATTAGCTTTGGAGCAGGTCCAGTCGTTGACAACGGCCAAGGCCCAAAGCTCACCACGCGTCACCGCTCTAGAGTCTAGACCCGCGCAAGAGTGACGTCTTCCCCGTCGCGAGGTTTTCCTTTTCGTTCTTACTCTCTTCCAAGTTCTTCAACTTCACAACTCGCGCCGCTGCTGCAGTGCTCAGACACAGAGAAGAGCCGCCGCAGAACGCCGAGGTAGAGTAGTAAGCGAAAAACAGAGTTCAAACTAGATGGGGAAGAAGCCAAAGAGCTCGAGGAAGGGGAAGAAAGCATGGAGAGCTAACATAAGCACCGACGACATCGACGAATTCATCGAGAAATCAACCAAAGACGCTCTCACCGGCGGTTCCCTCGCCGAGGTACCCAATGAATCCCTCTTCTTTGTCGACAAATCCAAAGGTACCTCCTTTTCCCCTGTTCCTCCACGTAATCGGAAGATAGTGGAGTTGATTGCTAGGTTCAGCTTCGAATGGAATTGAATATGTGCAATTTGTTTGCCTGGTTCTGTGATAACTAGTGGGTTTCGTTTTAGGTTAGTTTGCCTTGGTCTTATTCTGGGTTTCATTATTGATGTTGTTATCGATACCAGACCTTTCTGTGAAGAGGAAGATTGAAAAGCACAGAGAGAAAGTGCTCCACTGTGACAGTGTTCTGCAGAGGAACCCTTTTGTTAAGGCAATTCCTTCTTCAAATGATAAGAAGAAGTCGAGCATGAAGAATAAGAAGAATAAGAAAGACTCTACTGAGGCTTCCACTTCGAAAGATGATGCTACGAAGGTTGTCCTCCTCGGATGGAAGTTGATCAAAACTGCAGTTTTATATTTCTGGCACATGGAAGTTGTCACAAGTTTAAACATTTTGTTCTTTCATGTCTCAGGATGGTGAGTCTGGGATTGTTGACTTGTGGGAAAATGAAGGTATTCTTATTGCCCAAGGACTAGAATGATTTTTTTCAGTTTATGTTTTATTGATTGGCGGAAAGTCTCATGTATATATATGTACTCTGTCAATCTTGCAGCGGAAGGTGACATCAGAACTCGGAAGGTGCGTTCTCTTCCAATCTGATTTCAGGTTCACCAGTGATAATGGTCTGGTCATTATTCATATTTGTGTGGTGATGCATTTATGGATGCAGGTTGTCAAAACGTCGGTTATTCCTGCAGTGGAAGTTGACCCTCCTGGATGTTCATACAATCCCAATTTTGAAGCCCATCAGGTAACTTGTCCAAATTGCATTTATTCTGCATTTTCCATCTGTTTTTTGGAGGGAAGTTGCTGATCAAATCTTGTCCTTGATTCAGGATTCCTTGGCAAAAGCTGTTGCGGAAGAAATGCAGAAAGTCTATCAAAGCGAGCTGGGACCTCAGCCTGTACCTTTAACTGTTCAAGGAGATGCTATTGAAGAGGAAGAGGTGAGTAATTTATCCGACTGTTGAATGCTTGATTGTTTGTGGTGTGGTCATTTTGTTTTGACTAAGAAAGGTTGCCTTGAGCAGAACTTTACGGTTTCCTCTATTGTCTCAGATGTACTTTCTTGAGGTTGATAATGGGGATGATGAAGCAAATGAGGAGAATGAAGATGCTCCAGAAAAGAGGTTTGCATTTCTTGTGTGACTATGATGTGCAATACAATATATGTGTGGTATATTATCTTGTGCAGCTTTCGAAATCTATCAATGTGATTTCCCTGTCTATTATGGAAATTATCTTGACCAATGAAATCTTCTTTTGAACGATCCTCCAGTTCTTCCATGAAGAAAATGGTTACAAAAGTTGAGTTCAATAGAAGAGCTAGACTGAAAGACCGGCAGAAAAAAGAATCAGAAGCCAAAAAGAAAGCAGAAATTTCAAAAGAAATCGATAGGTGAAGTCACAAAACTGACCAGTACCATAGTTAGTGCCTTCTCTTACTTGACAGGATATGCAATGTTGTTTAAATTCCTCTTCTTGGATGCAGCTTACCAACAATCATTGATGAAATAGCCAAAGAAGATGAAGAGAAGCAAAAGAGAATGATGCGTCGGTTAGTGGCAAAGCAGGAAAGACTAAAACAGCAACCCCCGCGCCTGGGGAGGCACAAGTATGCTTTAGTGTCTCTTACCATAATCCCTTTTGCAATAATCTTCCGTTCCAGTTACTGAAATTTTTTAAAACCGCTTTGTTTTTTAGATTTGTGCCTGCTCCTACTCAAGTACTGTTGTCTGAAGAGATTACTGGCTCACTTCGCAAGTTGAAGGTATACTGAAACATCTTAGGGTCACCTTCTTCCACACCATCCTCCTATATAGAACCCTATTGTCTTACTGAAAACTGGAACAGAAGTCTGATGTTCTGTTGTGTGTTGAATGGCATGAAAGGCGTGCTGCACTCTCGCCACGGATCGGTTTAAGAGCCTGGAGAAAAGAGGACTGATCCCTCCTTCAGCCAACAAGAGAAGAAGAAAGTCAGTTTGAATTATGCTGTTGAGAACATTTGTTCCGAGTAGGAGAAAGTATCTCCAGGTATAATTTTGCTTATGAATTACGTTTCTTGGCAGGTGATAAGGTGTTGGATTTATACTTTATAGACGATGGAGAGGCTGAGGAAGCAGCTGGCGTCCTAATCGACGTGAGAGTCGAAGATGGTTTTGAGGTTTTAATCAATGCATTCTGCAATTTTTGTAATCCTTAATTATATAGAATGGGATATGTTTCATGTATTTTCACTCTTTGCGTGTATAATAGAACGGTATTATAGTTCAAGTACTATCTTTCGATCATAATTTTTTTCTGTTCATTTGATCTTTTGCGTACAAAGACATGGTATGACACTCAAAACACTGTGGGCTTTTGTAATGGGCTGATAGCCGATGGAATCTTCGTCCATCGTATGAAAGCCCATTACGTGATACATAAGACCATGCCCACGAATCTCGGCCCATTTAGCGCAAACAACGTGTCGTCTTACTCTGGGAGAGGCACTGCGAAAGCTTCGTCTGAAACATTTGGAAGAGATGCGCACGTTAGCAGCTCATCTCCGAACGGTAAGTACTTCCGGCGACCGGTCGTCGACCTTTAGATTGTGACTACGGCGTTTCACTCTTCTCTAATTCTGGTTCTTTACCGACTGTTTGCTCGCAGTATCTACGCGGGAGACCAGCCGGAAATGTGCAGCGATCGCGCAATTTCTGCTCGTCGCCGTCGGTCAATAGAGCAGGTGCTTTCTCTTCCCCTAATCCCTAAATTTTCAGCCAACGCTATGTGTGCCTCCTCTTTTTTCTGTCGTTAATTGAACCTAGCTGTGTAGATGAGGCGGCGGCGGCGATGGAGGAGGAAGCTGAGAGAAAAATAGGGTGGTTGCTGAAGGTGATCTTCGCTGGGACTGCCACCGCCATCGGCTATCAGTTCTTCCCTTATATGGGTAACCCTTTTGCCAATTTCTCATTTCGTTTGAGCAAAGTGATCGTCAGGGAACTCTAGAGTAGAGAATGAAGTGGTCGACTGCTCCATTGCGTTGTTTTTGCGCAGGAGATAATTTGGTCCTTCAGTCGATTTCGCTCTTACAAGTGAAGGATCCCTTCTTTAAAAGAAGCGGAGCTTCTAGATTAGCCAGTTATGCTATTGATGGTAGAGTCTTCGCTTCTTTCTACTTAGATTTTTGGATACCTGCCCCTCTTGTTTGAAAATGTCGGCAGCTGAAGTGAATCTACTAGCTTTCTCTTTAACTGGTTAGATGGAAGGAGGATGAAGATAGTGGAGCTGGGTGGTGCTCAAGAGCTGCTCAACATGTTGGAGGCTGCTAAAGATGACCGAACCCGAAAAGCTGCTCTTGAGGCTCTTGCAGCTTTGACTAAATCAGGTTCTACGTATTCCATGATGATATCCTTATTCTGTTAGCAATTGAAGGATTGAATTACTTCTTAGAATGTTTCTATTAGGCTGAGGTCAATTTAATCCACAAGTTCTCTGGTGCCCGTAGTTGTGCCGACTCTAGGAAATGCAATAGGGTGGAAAGATTGATGTTGTTCAGCGATTTTCAGTTGCTTAACAGATGCTGTGAAAACTTGCAGATAAAGCTGCTGGAGCATTACACAAGGCAGGTGCGATCCCTATAGTTCAGTCTACTCCAAGTTCAGTCGAGGAAGAGGCCATTGACAAGTACAAAACAGGTCTACTTAAGAGGTTCCAAGACTTGAAATATGATGGTTCGTCCTAGCCACGGCTTGTTAGCTTGTAATGAAGTTATCTTGACAGTAAGATTAAAGAGTTAAGAGTAGGTTATACTGCTTGAACTGATGTGGAATTCGGTTTTGTTTCGGTTTACATTATTTGCTGTTGTACTTGTTGGTAGACTTGCTGTGATCAAACATAGGACTGCTTTTCTTTTCCGACACGAAGCTGAAATCAACCAAGCTGCAAGGCAAGTTCGAGACGATCAAATGTCTCGACTTATCTAAGTTCATGTCTTAGATACTCAAGCAACCCTACCATTCTGGTATAATCCTTTCTAGGTGACTGCTCTCTGGGGTGAATGAGATGAATGAATGACCCATTGGAGTTCACTGTGAGCCTGTGACCTGCTCTTGTGCTTGTCGTTCTAGCGCGTAACAATGTGCTCTCAGCGAGAGATCCTTTGTGTTAACTCATTGGATGCTGCAACTGGATCAGAGAAGATGCTGTCAATAACAAAGCGCTCTGTTCTTACTACTTCTATAGAACAAGACACGGTAAAGAATCTTTGTCCGTAGCAACCAAAGTAGGAGGTGGCGTGAATATGGAAACCGGCCCTTTCCACGTTGTACCCACTCAGCTACTCTGTAGCTAGCAAGCAATTGGCTGGCTTTTGTTTATAAAAGAGGTGCCCTGTTTTCACAACGCAAGCATCCGCAAACTCAATTGACTAATCACACAAATGAAATGCTTGCTGTCTCTGAGCTAAGCTGGGAGCTCCGTTCTTATTTCTTACTTACCCGCTCGTAATAACCCAGAAAGCGAATAACTTTATACGTGTTCAAAGCAGGGGAAAGAAGAAGGAAAAGAAACAAGAAGGAACAGCCTGCTTAGATGAAAACTAATCCCGCCCCGATATTTTCCCACTCTCTCCTTCCCTCCTTTTGCTTCCCTGGCTGCCAGTCAATGGTTCTCCTCTGTTTCCACGTCTAGTCGGTAAGCTTTAAAAAACTTCCACCTTTTCCTCTGCGCATTTATTCGCTCAGAGGGTTCGATTCTACATTTCTACTGTTACTTGTTTGGTTCTTCTGGTGAATCTCCCCTTCTTGCTCTCAATTACAGCTAGTGTGTTCTTGTTCTTGATTTGCGGATCGTGGGCTTTGTTTCTCATGAGTTTTCATTGCTTGGCCCCTTGATTGATTGGTTCTTCTGGTGAATCTCCCCTACTCGCTCTCAGTTACGTCTGCTGTGATTCTGTTCCTGATTTGTGGATCACGCGCTTTGTTTCTCATTAGTTTTCGTTGCTTGGCCCTTTGATTGAATGGTTGATTGTTTGAATTTTTGTATCTTTTTTGCTATTGGCGTGTATTTTAGAGTTGTTTAGACCTTTTACCTTTTGGGTTTAATCCAAAATATCTTTGGTATTTTTCCCAAGTCTGTATCTTTGCTTGTATTTGTTGGTTTCCGGGGGAACTTTCACGTTGACAGATTCCTTGCCCATCTTATTTATCTGGAATTGCTCATACCCAGATGAAAAAGATCATTGCTTTTGGTTTTTGTTTCTATTTTTGGTTCTGGGTTTATGAAATTATGATACCAGAAGAAAGAAATGGAGACATTGTAAATGGAGTTTCCCAAGTTTTGATGTCAATCTCACACCCGCTTCTCTGTTTAGGATAAGTAACTCAACTGTGGAAGGGAAGGGACAAATGGGTTCAAGTGGAAACGGGAATCAGAAAGATGAAAATGACGAGGAGTCCAAAAATGGAGAGTGCCAAGCTCAAGTCACTATTGAGCTCTCGACTTCTAAGAAGACCTTACTGGGAAATGACAGCCTTCCCAAGAAGCCCCAACAAGACAGCTTACCTAACGTATCTAACCGTGCTGCATTCCTCAAGTTTGGCTCTGCATCTGCCAGATTCAGGCAGCTTGCTAAGGACAAGGACGATGCCTCGCGTTTGGTAGCTTCTTCCAGCAGCCGTGGCATTAGAGAGCGGATTCATGAGGTTTGTGCTAAGAAGATCGATTGGGCATCTGTGTTCAAGATGAGCAAAGAATGGATCCGAGACCCAATGAACTTGGCTCTTTTCATATGGATACTGATTGTTGCCATATCAGGTGCGATCTTGTTCCTTGTCATGACTGGAATGTTGAACCAAGCTTTGCCTAGCAAGTCTCAGAGGAATGCATGGTTTGAGGTAAATAACCAGATACTCAATGCGTTGTTCACCCTAATGTGCTTGTACCAACACCCGAAGCGATTTTACCATCTGGCCTTGCTTATTAGATGGAGACCTGACGATATTACTAAGCTTAGGAAGATTTACTGCAAGAATGGGGCTTACAAGCCACACGAATGGGCACATATGATGGTTGTCGTGCTTCTCCTTCATTTAAACTGTTTTGCACAGTATGCACTATGTGGTCTCAACTTAGGGTACAGGAGGTCTCAACGACCTCCATTAGGAGTTGGATTATGCATATCTGTAGCAATAGCTGCCCCAGCTGCTGCTGGTGTGTACTCAATCCTCAGTCCCTTAGGAAAGGACTATGATTCGGATATGGATGAGGAAGCGCAGGAGGGGAGTACTTCCATTAATGGGGCTCAGTTGTTGTCCAGGAAATTAGAAAAGAGATACTCATTTGCAACAGGGGATATTGCTGAAATGATGTTCGAGAGCCGGCCACAATGGAGTGGTGGGATACTCGATTTCTGGGACGATATCTCTCTAGCATACCTTTCGCTCTTCTGCAGCTTCTGTGTCTTTGGTTGGAACATGGAGAGGCTTGGCTTCGGTAACAGATATGTCCATATAGCGACATTTCTCCTCTTTTGCATGGCTCCGTTCTGGATCTTCAACTTGGCTGCTGTCAACATTGACAATGAGATTGTGAGAGAAGCATTGGGAGTCACTGGACTCATCCTTTGTCTGTTTGGCCTTCTCTATGGTGGGTTCTGGAGGATTCAGATGAGGAAGAGGTTCAATTTACCGGCATATACCTTTTGTTTCGGTAAACCGGGTGCCTCTGACTGCACACTGTGGCTGTGCTGCTGCTGGTGTTCGCTAGCTCAGGAGGTTCGAACTGGGAATGCTTACGATGTCGTCGAGAACAGGCTACTGCAGAAACATACCAATGGCAGTGGTAAGCAGCCAGAGTCGTCTCCAGCACGTGGCGTCTCTAGCCCGTGGCATGGTGCAATGCCTGATTCCTCCAGTCCTGTGAAAGAGGCTCCAGGAGCCAAGGATCATGCCATGGCTGCGCCAACTCCCTCAACGATAGAAAGAGATGGCATTTCTGTGGAGAATGGTGCGGATTCAGGCTTACCATCTGCAACTGTGAACAAAGAGTTGAGTGTGTGATACAAATGTGTGTAGAGTTTACAATAGTTTCTTGAGTTCAGTTTACAAATGTGTGTAATGTATATCTCTGTCTTCGGCTTTTTCTACCTCCTGAGTATACTCTGATTGAGAGGACCTTTCGGCTGATCCCGTTTTAGTGCATATTGATTTGCATATGCTGTCCGGCTGGATAAAATTATCTTTCGATTTCTTCTGCTTTTGATTTGCTTGGGGCTTGGAGGGCAGCGAAGATATAATTGCAAAATAAATGGGCTTGTTTGGTGACGGACTAGGTCCAGTTAAGTAATTTGCGAATTCTTGGAGCATAGTTCCGACTTCTGAGCTCGGGCTGGGGCTTTACTTTGCTGAACTGGCCCAAATGATTATAAAATTTCTCTCAGCTAGCTTTTGGCTAGAACTGGCAATGGGTAGGTATGGCCGTATGGGATACCATATGCCCCGTGGCAGGTCAGGTATAAATCGGTTAATTTATCATGAATTGTGCTTTAGGATAGGTCGATCGAATGAGTAAGCAATTTATAAAAAAATTATTAAAAATACTCTTTATTTTCATTATAAGACCAAGAAAACAAACCATTTTATTATAAATATAGTTAAATTATTGGAGAAATTTAGGTTTTCACTAATTTTCAACTTTATTATAGATAAAATATATTGTAATAAAAGGAAAATCCTAAGTAATTTTACTAATATTACAAAGAATGGGTCAATAATGGGGCGGGTCAGAGCAGTTCGGGTCGTCGAGAGTACCCATGTCCGACCCAAAACAGTCCAAACAGGTCGGGTAAAATGAGTCAGGTCGTAATTGTCATCCCTACTTTTGGCTACTAGGTGACAACAACGGTGACAATGAAGAATAAAATAGTGATATAAAATTCGTAATTATCCCTTTTTAACAATTTGAATTATTGTGATCAATTGATTCTTAACATGGTATCAGAGTTGTTCAGGCCAAATGATCGATCGTGTGTTCGAATCTCTATGACCCCAATATTAACAATATAACGGTTGTGTACAAAATTCAAACCAGTGAGTTGTCATTCATTTTACCGAGTAATATAAGATGTACAATTAATCTTTTTCCCTTATAATTCCCATAAAATTTATGTCACCGTCATATTAGGCTTTATATGATCATCAACAATAGGGAACAAGGGGGGAAATTTACAAAAATAATACAACATATATTATCTCTTCTCTACTCTGTAGATTAGTGGCTTTCGACAGCCGATGCCTAAGTACATAAGCCACCAAAATTTGCTTTCGGCATATCTGGAGCCTGGAGGCATATAATAATAATAATAATAATAATAATAATTAAGTAAGGTCCCATATGAAATCGAGGCCCATGAATCAATTAATCGTTGCTTAATCATTCTCCTTCCCACACTGATCGCGCCACGTTCGCATGAGGAGGCGTATGTTTAATCTATAATATTTGCTGATTGTGCATTGGTAAGAAATAATATAATTTAATAAAATTGGGTTACTTGGCTGCACCATTGTCCATAAACACAGATTACGCCATTCTCATCAACAGCCGCGATGTTAGCAAACTAATCACTTGGTCCCAATAACTCGAGTTGTTGGGAAAGGGATAGTTAAGCATTTTAACCTTTTATACGCTCCTCAAACGAAAGCCTATCTTTATTCGGGGTTTTCTTCTACAATTTGCACAGGTTGAACTAACCACTTGACCCCAATAACTCGAGTTATTGGGAAATGGATAGTTAAACCTTTTAACTTCTTATAGCTTGAAGCCCAAGAATCCTACTTTCCGGCCAGTGACGATGACCGCCAGCTAGGCGCTAGCCCGTTACGATGAATAATAATGGGGGAAAACAACAAAGGCTGCACAGTCCTCCGCCACCGATGGGTGGTGAAACTGTGACACGTGGTCCGTTCTGGCGGCTCCACGAAATACCCAAAGCCCAGTCAGCGGCGGATCCAGGACACAGCGTAGCACTGGGCCGCATTTCATTAGAAAATTAGATATCATTAAAAAAATCACTGTTTTTTTTACAATATCAATTGTACACGTAAATCTTTTAAATTTTAATATAGTGAATTCATCAATAATAGAGTTTACATCCACATCAATAGCATACTCTCTTTAATATAAAATAGTTTACCAATTGGAGAGAAATTCATCGTTCATTTTGTTGCGCAAATGTCAACACAATCGACTAATCAATTCCTATTTTCAACAGCTGCTCAAGTAATTTTTTAAGAGAATAAACCTCATATTTCTTTTAGTCTTTTACGTTTTAGAATTTTAGGTTTCATTGTTTGCTTTTCTTTATATGAGAATTATTGGAGCTAGAATTTTCATGCTAAATTTAGAGTTGTGATTTGAATATGTTCATCTTACCCATTTTCCTAATTACACACAATTTTATCATAAAATAACACTGGACTAAATAGTTAAATTGATAAACTCATAAGGGATACACTAGTTCTGGATCCAGGGGAGGGCTGGGCCGGGGCCCGGGGGTGGCCACCCCCTGGATCCGCCACTGAGCCCAGTCATGCATCCAACTGCAAGTTGCAACTGATGCAATAGGCAGCCTGCAGCCATATACCTACATAAAATAAATACACGGCCAAATACCGATTAATTGCCTACTGGAACCATATATCATCTCAATACAAATAGGCAAATAATAAATAATAATATTCCAAATACCACCTACAAACAAAACTTTGCTTTCACTCCCTCCATTTAACTTGCACATTTTGTCAAGCAAATTTCATATATAAATAAATAAATTGACAAAATTGAGGGTTATATGCATTGAAAACAACAACAACGAGGATATTCGTAAAAGCGTCCCAGAATTTAATTGGAACAACCCATCTTCCATTCCTTTCTACTTTTTAACTTTAATTTATTTGTGTGTAGAAATGTAAATATATAGGCGTAACAACTCGTTAATAGAGCGTTGATAGGGGATACATCAATACATGTTACCGTTTACCTGGTCAAATAAACAACAAGGAGAAAACCTGATCAGAGAGCGACTTGATCGGGCCATATGCTCTACCTCTTGGCGAATTGATTTCGAGAAAGCTGTCGTATTCCATGAAGATATGATGGATTCTGACCACTGCCCTATTCGAGTTGACATACATTACAAAGAATCCAGGAAGAAGACCCCCTTCAGATTTGATAAGCGCTGGAAAGATGATGCCGAATGCCAGAGTATCATCGAACAAGTTTGGGCGACTCCAGGGTGTTCGGAAGAGAAGATGCGTGAGTGTCAAGGAAAGATACGCAAATGGGCAGCGGATAAACGCAAGATCAGAATTAAGAGAGAAGAGGAAATTCGAGCTCGGTTGATTGTTTTACAAGGTCCAGTCAGGGGAGAGGCTGAAGTTGAGGAAGAAAGATCACTCCTGATAGAACTTGCAAAGTTTTGGAAGGAGGAAGAGATTTTTTGGGCTCAGAGATCCAGAATCAAATGGATGCAAGAGGGGGATCAGAATTCGGGTTTTTTCCATTCGAGCACTATTCAGAGAAGGAATTCTAACAGGATCCTTAGGCTCAAGAATGGAGTTGGGATCTGGATTGATGAGGAAGTACAACTAAAAGAACATGCCACTGAGTACTATAAAGACCTCTTTAAAGCGAGGAACCAGCTCCCGATTGATGATTTCCTGGAGGGCTTCCCAACAATGGTCACCCCAGAAATGAATACTGCTCTTTGTGAACCACTTCACAACGAGGAAATTCGCAAAGCAGTGTTTGAGTTGGGACACTCAAAGGCCCCAGGACCTGATGGTTTCCCGGGCTACTTCTTTCGAAAGTTTTGGGGGACAGTTGGAGAGGAGTTTTGTGAGGAGGTCAAGAGCTTCTTCACCACAGGAATTCTACCAAGGGGGTGGAATGAAACACACATTACCCTGGTCCCTAAGGTTGAAGCGCCAGAATTGATTAGTCAGTTCAGACCCATCAGCTGTTGTAACTTCCGTTACAAAGTGGTAACGAAGATCATGACGACAAGACTACAGAAATGGATCCCTGATCTGGTTTCTGAGTTACAAACAGCGTTTACAGGTGGAAGGCAGATTCAAGATAACATTATTATTGTCCATGAGGTGCTTAACCATTTCAAAAAGCACAAAAAGGGAAACAGAAGGGACATGATGCTTAAGCTGGATATGAGGAAAGCATACGATTTGGTTGATTGGGAATGCTTGATTCGTCTGCTCCAAGTGTATGGTTTTGACGCGAGGTGGTGTGCGTGGGTGAAGGAGTGCATCTCTTCTGTTAACTTCTCAATCTTGTTCAATGGAGAAGCAGGACCATCCTTCACTCCATCGAGAGGCATCAGACAGGGAGACCCCCTTTCACCCCTTCTCTTCATTCTAATGTCCAATGCACTCTCCTTCCTTATTGATAAAGCGGTTGCCACTAACCATATCAAGGGCCTTAAGCTTAACCAAAACTGCCCACTACTTACCCACTGTCTGTTTGCAGATGATACCGTCATTTTTGGAAAGGCAACAGCAGAGGAGGCTTCGAGAATCCTTGATATCATCTCTGATTATGGTGCAATCACAGGTCAAGAAGTGAACGGGTCAAAATCATCCATTTTCTTCAGCCATAATGTCCCTCATGAAGAAAGAGAAGACATCATCAACACCATTGGCTTTGCGCCCACGAACTGTCATTCCACCTACCTGGGAGTCCCTACGGAGTGGGGAAGATAAAAAAAGGAGACCTTCCAATTCTTATTACAAAGAATGGAGAAGAAAGGGGAAGGGTGGAAGAGTCTTCTCCTCTCCCCGGGGGGAAAGGAAATTCTCATCAAAGCCGTGTTTCAAGCGATCCCCACATACATTATGTGCCTCTTCTTGCTTCCGGTTTCAACAACAAACAGGATGGACTCAATGCTCAGGAGATTTTTCTGGTCAGGATCCTTGACAAAGAAGTCAATCCACTGGATCAAAGGTAAAACCTTGTGTTGTCCAAAGGATGAAGGGGGGATTGGTTTCCGCTCCTTTAGGGAGTTCAACCTGGCCCTGCTTGCGAAACAGACCTGGCGACTGCTGTCATCGCCTTCTTCTCTTTGGGCACGGCTCCTTAAGGGACTCTATTTCCCCAGAACGGACCTTCTTTCAGCACGTAAAGGATCACGTCCATCTTGGATTTGGTCGAGCCTGTGGGAAGCAAGGAATCTTATGATCAAAGGGACCATTCGAGTCATCGGTAATGGACATAACACTCGTGTGCACCATGACCCTTGGATCCCAAGTGTCCCAGGAGGCAGATTGGCTAGCAATTTGCAAGGAGATACCACGGCTGCTGAATGGATGGACACCCATGCACGCACATGGAATATGCTACATATCTCCTCAGTTGTGGATCCACAACAGGCGAGCATTATCCAGAATATCCCTATTGGCACTGAAGAAGCTGAGGATTTTTGGGCGTGGATGCCTCATCCTTTGGGGTCTTTTACAGTCAGTTCAGCTTACCACTTCTTCTATGGGCTGAAGAGAAGGGATGATTTGGATGTTTCACCGGTGCCCCAAGACACCAAAGACAAATGGAAGTGGTTGTGGAGCCTTAACATCCCTCCAAAGCTGAAGTTTTTCATCTGGAAAGCCACTAAAGGAGCCTTGGCAACAAACCGAAAGCTGCACAACAGACATTGCTCTCCGTCCCCTACTTGCCCAGTCTGTTGTAGCTCAGAAGAATCTATTCACCACTGTCTGTTCCAGTGTGATCATGCTAAGCAATCCTGGATGCACTTGTTCCCACTTTTACCCACCCCACCACCACTTGTGAGCATCCTAGATTGGCTCTCCAGCATCCACTCCTCGCAGCCGGGTGAAACGACCCCGAAGGTTATATACCTACTGTGGCAGATCTGGAAGACAAGAAATGAGAAGGTGTTCAGAGCTTCAAGCCCTTGGCCACCGGCTACGTGCAGCAAGGCTTTGAATGATTTCACTACTTGGAACTCTTGCCCAAAAGTTCCTCGACAGATTCCTCCTCCCCCTGATCAGCCTAGGGCTATCCGATCTCACCTCTCTCCACCGCCGAGCAATCCCAATTTGGTGATTCACTGTGATGGGTCGTTCTTACATGACTCCCAGAAGGCGGCTTATGGCATCGTTGTTTTCGATGGCCATGGAGATATTTGTGATGGGAAGGCTGATACCATCCTCTGTTCATCTCCCATTGAAGCAGAAGCCAAGGCTTTACTGGAAGCTGTTCGATATGCGCAGGATAAAGCCACGCCGTGTTTGATTCGTTCGGACTGTCTTTCCTTGATTCTTGCCCTTGCAGCTGACCCCCCTATGTGGCCATGGAGAGTTTCTGCTTGGCTAGGGATTATTCAAGACATTCTAAAGCGTAACGGCTTCATCAAGGTTGCTTTCTTCGGACGCAAGCTTAACAAGAGAGCGGATTGGGTGGCCAAATCGCTTGCTAGGAATTTACTCCCTCCAGATTGGATGACAATTCTTAGCATAATTTCACCTCTCCTTGTATCCTGATGCTTATTGTAACTGCTGTCCCATGGGAAATGAAATTGGAAGTTTGCTTGGTCAAAAAAAATACATGTTACCGTTGTTAGATTGAGTAATTATATGATCAATCTGTAATCATTAAATATGCACTTAGATGCAAACTACCCAAATGTTATTTCCCTCGACAAAATGAACATCATAGGTAGCAAAATCATATTGATAACATAGACTCACTCGAGGATGTGTAAGGTGGATAAATTAGTTGTTTTTTCTCTTCTTCTTTATTTGTTTTGCCGCGAGACTTTTATCTTTCATCTTTCTGATTTATGACTTCTCCATGAGATTCACTTTTCTACATGGACAAGAATGCATCCCGACGTCTTCTGCCATTTGAGACGAATAGAACAAGAGACCTAATTATGTGCATAATCCAAAGGATTTGCCATCTTGGTCCCACCGTAATTACAATAACCAAACCAATATTTTGTCGGCACGTTATCTACATTGGAAAAAATGTTGACACAATCGAGGGAATATATATAGGAGAGAAAAAAAAATAGAATTAAAAAACTTGAAATTAAGTAAACAACTTATCAAAGAATGAATTCAAAGGATTTGATTATCACTATCAGTAATCCCCTCTGTTAACTCAGAATCCCAAAAGGTCCGAAAGAGTCGGCTTGACTTTTCCACGCACTTTGCAACTCTCTCTTTCTCTCTCCTTTTCGACGCGGGCCCAGCCCATCCATAAAACCAGCCCAAAAACCGGAGTCAAGCGATCACCACTCCGCACTCGCCACGTATCAGGAATCACCACGAGAACAAGCTACACATCCCCGCACCGGATCACACCACCCTTCCCCTCCCCTCCCGTCCTTATAAATTCCCCTTTTCCCTCCTTCCTCCAATAGAGCCTTCACCAGTTCTCCCACCGGTCCCAATCCAATCTTCATCCCCACTCCAGAACCTTCTCTCTCTCTCTCCGATCTTTCTCCTCCCTCCGCCGCGGGAATCTCCGGGCACTATCCAACGAATCTGGCGAACTCCAACGAGCTGGCAGAGCTGGAAAGGAAGAACCGAGAGGTGGTTCTTTCGCTCTATGAAGCCTTGAGCTGCCGCGACGTAGACACCGTCACCAAGATCCTCGCCCACGACCTCGAGTGGTGGTTCCATGGCCCTCCTTCCCACCAGTTTATGATGCGATTGCTCACCGGCGCCGACAACGACAACGAAGATCAGAAGATTCAGATTCTCCACCATCAAGAATCATCCTTCTCTTTCGCCCCCAAATCGATTGCCTCCTTCGGCTCGATCGTGATCGCTGAGGGCTGCGATTCGGAGCGCGGGATCTACTGGGTCCACGCCTGGACCGTCACGGATGGGATAATTACCCAGGTCAGGGAGTACTTCAACACGTCTCTCACCGTCACACGCCTCTCCAACTCCTCCTCCTCCGCCGCTAAGATCGGCCGTTCAAAGTCGAAAGCATCGACGGCTGAGATTGCTTCCGTGCATTGCCCTTCCGTGTGGGAGAGCAGCCTCTCCAATCTGGTGGGGAAGTCGGTGCCGGGACTCGTTCTCGCTATCTAAAATCTGAGCCGTCCATCAAACACACGCACGCCTCTCCCTAGATAAATATTAATTAATATTATAATTGGGTGAATAAGAAAGGGTGTGGCACGTGTGTGTTTGCGTCTCCCGTGCGAGCGGAGATGTAAGGCCTTTTACCGTAAGGCCGTGTTTGGTTGATTTGGTCTGGTTTGCTTAATTTTTAGCGTCTGTTTTGTGGTCGTAGAGTATTGCACTTTGTTTTGTGGTCGTAGCGTCTGTTCTGTTGGTTTAGCCACTTTCCTTTCCGATTTCGAGCAGCGGACTCTCTAATTCCTGTGATGTCGCTGTCGTGTTATCTTCGTGTTGGAATAAAATTGTGTGATTTTATTAAAAATTGTTCTCTTTTCTTTCTCCTATGATTTTCCCGTGAACTCACCTCACGATGATTCCTACAAAGAGGCTAATTATTATTTTTTTTTATCGATTTGTGATGTTTTGTCGATTTTGGGTGCTTCGCTATCGCTTGCCGTCGCTAGCCGACGCCCGGCGGTGAGGGGTGGACCGGAGAGTTGAACTCTTGACCGTCCAATGTATCTCGACTGTGGGAAGTTGTCTTGTGCAATTATGGTTGCCATTAATTCATTGCTCCCACGGCCCACCATTGTTCGGCCGGGCCGGGCCGGCCCACAGGGTTTGTCCCTTTCGCTTTTCCCCCGTTGGCGGTCATTTTCGACTTTGTGAAAGTAGCATGGGGAAGGGGAAAACAGCGCAAGGAGCAGCTTCATCATCTTCAATTCATCACTAGAAAATTGATGAGGGGCGAGGGCGACGTTACTACCACTACTATTGCGATATCTACCATTGCAATTGCAATTGCAAGTAGGATGGCATCGCTGTGGGTGTTAAACTGTGGCAACTAGCAAGTTCATGCGTGCTCATTTTTCTTTCTCCAAGTACGTTACATTAAGCTACATTATTTGTGTGCACAATTTCGAGGGATTTAATAGGTTAATTGAAGAATAATGCAAGTTCAATTAACCAAGGTACATGACGATTGCACATGAAATTGCTAATTTATTATTTATAGTAGGGGCAGCCTTTGGTTTCCAACATCAAGATTCAAGACCAGAGCATGTGGAAGCAAAAGGATGGAATAAAGAAAAGAACATTCCGAATAATGAAATCTTTTATAGCAAACTGAAAAGGGTTTTGTTTTGTCTTCAAGATGATATTGTGGACATGCTTAGTATATATCATATATGGGAGGGAGGGTACCCCGATCAAAACGAGATCCGTCGTCTATATATATCCTCTTAGTTTATATTGTGTTCTTTATTCTTACGTTACTTGACTTTCAAAAGGACCTACAGAAAGAAAGAACACCTATGTTATCTTCCATCCGGTGGCCCGGTCCCCGGCCAGGCCACCTGAACAAATTGAAACCATAATATTCATGTTGTCATCTTTCTCGGTTAGGAATTAAGCAGTATACTTGGAGGTTATATAGCTAATATATATGATACGAATACCTCCATTAGCAGCAAATTATAGTTATCATATATAGTTAATTACCAATTCTCATAATATTCTTGTTGGTACATGACTATAATTTTTATTGAAAAATCACGTATTCCAATTCTCATGTCTCTCAATATTTGGATGGACATTACCTACAATACTATTAGACTAGTCTTGCTTTCGCCTTATCCAACCGTCTTATTCTTACAACAATCTATCTTACGTGTAGCTAACTTTTACGATATAATCTCTTGTGTACTATGTAAGTTGTAACTCCAATCTCCAATTTCGATAAAAAAAAATAGCACTGTTGATTTCCCGATGAAAATCATGCTAAACTTTTGCAAAGGAGTTTATCGGAATTTTTTTTTTTGCAAGGGACGGGCCTGAAAACCCTGTCTATCACCCGTCAACCGGGGAATCAAATGAATTATGGGCCAATCAATCCAATCAGTCCTCTGGTTCCAGTAGGATATCTTGCGTGCGAGTCCATGGGCTGCAGAGTTAGCCACCAAATCTATACAAGCCCATCGAGGAACCCGACCTGCCTGAGACCCAAGCCATTGGATCTTCTCGCAAACAAGTTCATGCCATTGTGTATTTGAAAATTGAAATGCATAACCTTACGAGATGAAACTTGTTTACTCATCCAACAGAAAATTACCTTCTCTCAATTAATCAACAGGGAAGCTGCGCAGTCGCCAACTAATATCCACAATCAAGTTATACACCAAAAAAAGTTACATGACATCTTACAGAATTATGTAGCCTATCGACATCTTCTACGCGATATTTTTCATGAGGGCTTGTCAATCCAATCCTCCTGATATTGGAAATGTTACATTCTCACTAACCAAGTATATTGTTAGTCTAAGGAGTATCGTTCTCGTCAATGATAACAAGGAGGGCGATGATGAAGGCATAATCAACCTCGGGATAGACTTTGATGGTGTACCTTTCTTTCCCCTTGTAGAAGCTCTCCAAGGTGAAGTTGTGTTTGACTTCGGCCAAAATCCTGTGACCTTTGTAGACTTTGAAGGAGAGGGAGGTGTAGGAGCCGATGACGTTGAAGTCCGGCGCGCCAATTTTCTTCATTGGATTGTTTATATTGTTGTTGCTGAGAGTATGGTGGTCGGCAAGGTAAACATTGAGATCCTTCTTGATTTGGAGAGGGTGGGATTGCTTCACCGTGAACAAAAGATTGTTGTTATTGTTGTTGGTAATGCTGCTGTTGTTCGTCCCTTCTGGTGATGGACTCTCATCGTTGATGTACGCGCTCCACTTGTGCCACAACGTTAGTGACTGCTATATTTGTGTGTTCCCCATTTTTACCCAACAAAAGATATTGAAATTTCATTCCTCGTCAGCACTTTTGTTTTTTTTTTATTATTGACATGTATGCATACAAATATCTCTAATTAGTTTAGGAAGGATTGGAAAGATTTTGGATGATATTTAAGTAATTATATTATAGATAATAATAACCATCTCATTAGGAAAGAGAAATGAAATAGAAATGACAAAAATCTTGAACATCTCAATTGCTCATCAACAAAACATTCATTTATACTTAGCCAAATTAACATGATTGCACAATGATCTTCCTTATTATTAGGAAAAAATGAAAGTCAATATAATGTACCTTTCCATACAAAGTAAGGACAGGGAAGCCGGAAGCATCTCGAAAAACACGCTTCATGCGGAAGTTCCAGACACCGCCTTCAACATGAAGAATGATATTACCACAAAGATCGAAAACTTCGAATAGGGCATTGGAAAGTCCCTTAATCTTCTTCTTCACCACCAACTCTTTGCAATATGGAAAACAATATCCATCCCCTACCACACTCACTTGTGGCACCCCATATGCCCATTCCCTAGTTTCCATATCTTTCTCTTCCTCTTAAGCAAAAACCCTAGACATGAACATAACGAATGAGGAAGAGGAGGTGGGAAAAGGAAGGAAGGAATCAAGAAGAGATTGGGAGGGTTTAATGCATTTTCAGGTTTTTTATTGTTGTTGGAATGTTAGATTAGTATTTGTTGCTTTTTATGTGTGTGAGAATGAAATGGGTGGTTTGGGTTTCATTTCCAAATTCTTTGGTGGGGGGTTTTTATGTTTCTTTCTTTATTGGTTTTTTATTTTCTTGCTGAAGGTTAATTAGGTTTGGTCTTTTGAAATGTTGGGGGAAATTTTTGGGTCATTACTATTTATTAGCGAAAAAAATTTGCATTCTTTTTTATTAGTGAAACCTATTGAATTACTAATCATTAGTCAAATCTTTTGTAATATATCAAAATATCAGCCATTGTTTCCGTTATCGTTAATAATTTTCTAACTATTTTCTTAGTTAAAATACTAAAATTTTGGAATGTTAATCTCCATGAGTCTCTTCCAAGTCAATATCATATTGTCAAATCAATATTACTAACAAATTGTTAATTGAAAGTTGATATTTGACTAATTATTAGTAATTCAATAGATTTAGCTAACAAAAAAGAATGAGGGAAATCTTTGTCTAATAGTTAGTCATTACCCGAAATATTTACTATTTTCCCCTTCTTTTTATTGTTTTTTGTGTCCCAATATATATATATATATATATATATATATATATATATTTACTTGAATAGAAATTAGCTTTTGGGAAAGCAAATTTCGTGGGTACTATCAAATGTATTATGTGGTGTTTATAAATTTTGGGTTGAAGGAGAGATTCTCTTTTGTTTGTTTTGGAAAAAGAAAATGTTGGTCACGCGATCTTCTTTTGTAGCATATAAACAGTAAAGTTTAGTCAATTCCTACATCCATAAAGCATATTGTTGGTTGATAAGTAATAAATCAATTTAACTATCACTGTGCGTTATGCATAAATGAAGAAGTTCTTGTGTAAATTATAAAGTTAAAATAACTAAGGTGAAATCATATAGAGATAAATAACATATTATAAAATCACCTTGATGTACCCAAAAGCAAAACTATAGTCTTCTTTTTACTCCTACTTGAGTCTGAGTGTTCATAGTCTTTGAAGACTACATTAACCTTTGTTTGGTTTATAGATATAGGATGTCGATTAGAGAAATTGTCAACAATACTCTACAGTAACAATGAAAGTGTCTTAACAAATATTTTTAAAAAATTGAGCTCATTTAGCTCCTAATTCATTTGAGGTGAAGGAAAATAACAAGTGGATGCCTATTCATTTATTCCATAGCACTTGTGTGCTTTTTCTACTTTAATTTTGTTACATCCTCCTTTACCCTTAGCCTTCACGACTCCCCGCATAAGCTTCCATAAACAAACGTAAGCACCTATTTTCTTCTAGTCATTTTATTTTAAAAGTTTGATCAATTAAAAACTTTATTGCATGTATCTTCCTAACATAAATAACAAAGCACCATATAAAAAATATGGAAACAAAATGGTAAATTCAGTGATGAAATGTGCTATTTGGCCGATATATATGAAATTATATAAATAAGTTTTTCTCAAATTTGATGGTTGCGGTGGAGTGATTATGGATGCCGGGGGAGCGATTTTGGAAGAAATTCAATTGTTTTGTCGGTGTTTTCGTTTCTTTTATGTCTGCAGGGTTTGTCGTAGTGAGAATAGGGTGATACATTTGGTGAATAGACTAGCCCTTTCATTGTACGCTACTTTGGTAGGGTTCGATTTTCGTTCTTGGCTGTGATCAGCCATGCGACTCTAGTATAACTCTCTTATCTCCGTAAAACGAGTAATCTTCTGGGGGAAAAAAAAGTCTTTGTCAAATTTTAGACCTTGGTTAAACCATTTTTAAGGAATTGTCCAGACCACTTAAACTTCAATTTAAATTAATTTGATCGATTTGGTTAAACTATTTTGTTTGTTTCAACAAAATTCTCAATTGTAATTTTTGTGTATTATTATTATTATTATCACACAGCTACCTGCTATTGCCACATCAGATCCTTGTTCTTCAAAAGTCAAATCTCATCCATCCATAGACCAATCATATCGTTTCAGCCAGGTGGCAGAAGGACCAAACTGAAATTTGCCAAAACCAAACGCCATAACATCTCTCACTCACTCTCATTCTGAATCGACCAAGAAACACAGAGAAAAATAATCGATCATCCGTTTTTCATAATAATAAATTACAGGAAAAGGCGGCAATCCCATTTCATATCCAATTTCTTACATGGCAAAGTCGCTGCTGTTGTATCTACATTACTATTCCCCCATCGCCACCAGCACTAGGTCAACAAGAATAATCTGTTCAACCGGCGGTGGCGGCAAGAAGAACCCGTCGGACCACCCGAGAAGGAGCCACCGGGCGAACCACGACCCGGCCAAACTGAAAAACAAGCAGAAAAACATGGACCCCGCCGCCGCCGGAGAGGGCGGAGGAGGGCGGAGGCATCCTCTATCGGAGGTGGTCTCCGATTGCGTCAGGCGGTGGTTCGAGGATACGCTGAGGGATGCCAACGCCGGCGACATAGGGATGCAAGTGCTCGTGGGTCAGATGTATTGCGCTGGCTATGGTGTCCCCAAAGATGTCGCAAAGGTTCAATCTTTTTCTTCCTCTTCTTCTTTTGGGGGAGTTCCTTGTTCTTCTTTCATGCCCACAATAGGTTGAATTTTTTGTTTCATCTTCTGGGTCTTGATTGGATTGTTGTAATTGTTGGTGAAGGGGAGAGCTTGGATTGATAGGGCTTCAAAGACTCGATCTTCTGCTAAGAAAGTGGGAGATAAGCACCCTGGTTACAATGCAAGTGACTCCGATTCATAAGAAGCTGCACATTGACCATTATTATCTGAAAGCATGAGCAGGATAGGTGAGCTTAATCAGATTTTGGGCATTTCTCATTGTCATATTGTGCGCTTCTAAGTGGGATACTTTTGGTTCTTGGATAACTTGTTATCTTTATTAACATGAATGTGTGCTGATCCATGCTGCAACTGCTACATTTACCTAGCGGATAGAATCAGTTGTTAGCTTACAATGAGCTAGATACAATCAACATTACAAATGGTGGTTCATACATAGATACATAAAACCGGAACTGCTACAGACGAGTGCCTTTGATCTTTGGTAATCCTTTTGATTCATGGGTAGTCAGTCTGGTTTGAATGCAGAAAGAAGTCACTTTCATCTTCCTTCACGTTTGTTTTTCCTCCATTCCCATGGCTCTTGAGGATTCTTTGAAGCCCATAACCCAACACGTTTCGCTCGAGCCTGCTTTTCCCACTAGTTGTTGATACACAAAATTGCTTGAAGTTAGAGAACAGTTAAGGCAAAGGTCTGATTGAGGTTTTAGAATGGCTGCCATTTTTGTTACTTACAGATGCTAGTTCGGAGCGTTTGTCATAGGCAGTATAGTGCCATGCTAAACCTTTCTTGAGCATGATTTCCTAGCATAATGGAAAGAGTTTAGCAGACTGTTTGATGCATTTTAGAACATAGGTAATGAAAACAAGGCCAATGTCAGTTAGGGGTGGGTACCTGCATGAACAAACCGTTGCAGTATACGTCTCCAACAGACCGACCATATCGATCTTCATCATAAACATGGACTTTCAAACACTTGCCTTGAACATGCTTAACCAGCTCCTCTTTCGCCTCTTTCCCGTATGGCATTGAACTCTCCGGTGCATCTATTCCCCTGGAGTGCTTTCCATTGCCAGAATCCATCAGGCATTGATATGAACAAGAAGAATATAACATTTAACAAAAGATTGCAGATTGCTGTTCCTACCTTAGTCGGATTCGGTACTTTCTTGCAAGAACCTCCTCATTCTGAATGTTTAGAACCCTGGCATTATTAGCATTCAGGCATTCATATTAAGCCTTGAGAAACAGAATTGAGCAAACGAAACGAAATATGGATAGATACCCTACCTATATCCAGAATCAATAATCTTCTGGTGCAGTGCATCAGCCTTATCATAGTTCCTCACTGCTCGTGCTTTCGCTCTCTGATCTGCTGCCATTTTAACATCTCCTGGGACGCAGGATGATTCCCTGGGATTGGTAGTGCTTACATAGACTGTTATGGTGTCTCCATCTGGTACTGCCTTTCCATCCACCTGTATTTTCCCCCCTCAAAGAATCTCACGTTAATGATTCATAACATCATGTAGAAATGAGTCCTTTTCAGTTGGGTGATCTTACTGGTAGTGTGTGCAGCTCAAACTTCACCCCTTCCGGCAAGGATGCCGGGACACCATGTCCATGGGGGACTTCAACGAGAGTGTGAGGAAGTGGCAGGCCATAGAAAGCCAACAAACCCTTCAATGAATAGCCATAACAAAACAATCAATCTGCATTCTTTTTTACTTCTCATTTAGCTAACCTCCCTAATAATTCTCTACAACTACAAGAACTGTTTAAGTTCCAATCTTTATTTGTTTATACCACTGACAGTTGACAAAGCAAAGAAATAAAAGCTAATAGCAAAGGCAAGAGTAATTTCATTATTGTTGTATGTGTGTACTACCTCAACATCTGCCTTTTGGTGTTTCTTCAGGGTCTGGATCACAAGCCTTGCAGCTTCTTCAGGTGTCCTCGGTGGCGGGTTTGCTTCTCTCCATGCTTCTATTAGCTTTCTGTACCTTTTGACACCAAAAACAACAGAAGAGACCCAATATTGAAAGAACAGCAGGAAATTGCTGTTCTAGAAAAATGGCAAATCCGCCCCACTTTCTGCATTCACAAACCACGACAAGATCAAAGCTTTTCTTTACCAATTCGCTTGAGCTTTCTTCGATGAGACGACATGCTTAGCCAATCTTTGTGGAACCTGAGTGGGAAAAAAGCCATGGAGCAAAGGGGGTGGTTGATGAAGAACAAAAGAGATTCAACAGGTAGCAGCAGAAGTTGAATCCTTACTGAAATGAGTATCCAAAAGAAAGAAATTGTACCTGGGAGGTGTTCTCGAAGTGGAACAAATCGTGGGCAAGGGCTGAAACCCCCGCAGCAGGTGCAGAGGCGGCATGAGGATATTCATAGTCCCCTGCTGCTGTCGGTTTGCAGCAATTGTGGTAGAGAAATCGCAGGGCATTTCCCATCCTAGAATTCCCTTCCCCTCAAACAAATTGTTAAGCCTTCTGCTACGGGAGACTTCTCAATGGAGTGATCTGCTGAGGAATCAGTGAGCGCAGCAGCGGCAGGAGCTCAACAATGGAGGAAGAAGGGAAGGAAACGGAATGATTTCTCTGAGATGGGGTTTTGATTTTTGACTTTCGAGATGGGGTTTGGCCGGGAAGAGAAGCAAAGCAGCCAATTGGGCAACGGAGCGACACGTGTGCTCCGTCGATTGGGTGGAAATCATTAACCGCGGTGAATGCCATGAACGGATTGGGATCTGCTGCTGTTTTATATTGGTCAGATAGATTTCGCGGTCAGCTCCAATTACCGGCGTGGGCGTAGGTTGTCTCGTGATGAGCTGGACAGGCACTAAAATGAATGTTGACAACGAGACGCTCCTGTTTGGGCTTAATGTTGTCATGGGCCGGATCATCTTTTTTTAGGCCCGGCCCATCGAGAGGCCCAGTAGGTGGCCATGTGACAAAATACTGAATAAGAAAAGGATAAAAAAGGTCTTGTCTCGTGCAAATGGAGCTGAAATCATGGCTTTCAAATCAATCCCACCGATATTTTCTCAAATTTGTCTGCCCCTTCTATCATTTGTAGGAGCCAAGAGGCAAATCATTCAAGGCTGAATTATTGGTGCTGCTGACATCACACATGAAGGGCCATACATGATTAGGATAAGATATCCAACTTGACTCATTAGTCATTTCTCCACATTGTGGGCTACGATAAGACCAAACAATCATTTTGTACTTTCATATTGGGAAATGTAGTTAGTAATTAGGAACCGAAGTTTGAAAGGCTGAAATCCAGTTGTTTTACCATTCATCGTTCGAGTTTACAGGTTGGGATTATTTCGGTTATGATATGTGCATGACAATAAATTAAACATCGTTTGTTATATAATCCCTCTATCTTATTCATCATGAAATTGCACTTCGTTCCAATACGGGGGAAAAATGATGGGAGGAAACAAGTGGATAATCTTTACATATCATTCCAATTGAATCGTTCTTACCGGACACTACTAGTTGGTTAAAACTGTGAATACTTCTAGGCAGCTATTCAGAAAGAAAACAAAGCAGTTCGGGTGTGTCTTACATAAACAAAGCAGTTCTTCATGGTTCCTAGTTCTGCGAGATTAAAGTTAGGACTTGGGACAAAATCATGAGCCGAGGCCTCCTTTTGGATTTTGAGAAACGATAGATTAGTCAATCAATCATTCGTTCCTTCCGGAATTGGGGCAGAGTACAAATGAACAGAATGATTGCAGTATTGGAAAAGGAAGGAAATGTTAAGAAAATGGTTGTAGCTATCGAATATCACCAGCTGCAGGGGATCTCTCTCAGGTAATTTTGTCCAGAGCCTATATTGTCAATGCCGTGGGAATAAGGCACAGCTTTTCTGGTAAAAAGCAACGGCCCTTATTTCCATGGAATAAAGCGGCCGGAGCTTGCCTGCCTCACCACTCGCCACCTTTCTCCAGTGTTTATACTTTATATTCTTCTCCCCTCTTCCTTTCCTTCTTCTTCCTTTTCAATTCCATTCATCATCTTCCCAGACCAGCAAATCAACAACTTACTCCCTTAAGCCTTGCTTCTTTTCCTACTTCCTGCTGATTTCAGGCTCGAGGGGCCTCCTGATAAGAAGTTCGTGGAATGTCTAATGTAAGCAAGTTGTGTATTCGATCATCATTTTCCCGCAACTGTCTTGATGTTCTTTTCTTTCCAATGATGGGTTTGGTTGGTGATGAACTGAAATGAAGGTGGTGGAGCTGAAAGTGGGTCTGCACTGTGACGAATGCATCAAGAAGATCCTCAAGGCCATCAAGAAGATCAAAGGTGAACCAGTTCCATCCTTCCCATCAATTTAGTTGCAATCTTTCGGTGCAATTCTGACTCCTGATTGTTGTTCGATGCAGATATCGAAACATACAATGTCGATACACAGCTGAACAAGGTCACGGTGACTGGAAATGTGACTACTGAACAGGTAATCAAAGTCATCCACAAGATTGGCAAGACCGCCACCAACTGGGACGATCAAGAAGGCCAGCTCCAGCAGCAGTTCTAACTTCCATAAACCAATAATCTGAACATCACCCAGTACTTCTCTGTAGCCCTGAAAATGATTCGCCGTTCTAATTTCCCCACCTCGATTTTGTACTGATCATGAATGAAGTATAGCAGATGAAATGGTGATTGAGATTTGTAGAAACGGTAACAAAGTTCTCTTCTTTCATTGTTTTTGTACTTCTTTTTCTTTCTACATTAGCTTTTGGGGGGGAACTGAAACTGGTACAAGGTACAAGCTAAACGGAAACTTGGGTAATAGAACCCAGAAAGGAAATCACGATTCATGAAGAAGATCATCCTGACTATCGTCAAAGCAAACACTCTTCTGCACTATTTACAATAACACTACACAAATGAAAAAGAACCCCCCAAACTCGGTCTCCTTCTACTTCCTGACTCACCACCAATAATCTACCTCGGCTGCTGAATCGTCCTCGGACTCACCTTCACATTCACAATCTTCGCCGCCTTCTCTGCATACCTCGGCGACCGAGCCAGATCGCTCTTCCTCCATTTCGTCGATCCCACCGACACCATGTCCCATTTCATCCGGGCCGCTTCCTCTTCCTTCTCCTCCACATCTGCAACAAAAAAATAAAAAACACCCCCGAGTCAGTGAGCGAGTCGAATCGCAACTCAGCGAGCTTAAATCAAATCCCTAGGTAGAAGTAGTAGTTCCAGAACTTCCAGTACCTTTGCCGCTGAGGAAATCGGCGCCGTCGTCGAAGAAATCGAGGTCGTCGGGGAGGAAGAAGTCGGATTGGGGATCCTGGTAGCGCTCCTGGAGCCAGTAGTCGCGGAACCAGGTGGAGGATTGGATGAGCGACCACCACTGATCGGAGAAATCCTCCACCGCCTGGTAAGCCATCGGGACGAACAGCGGGGCGTTCGGATTCAAGGAGGACGATGATCGTTGAGCAAACATGACATCCATTGCTACTGCGCGAGAGAGAAAGAAAGAGAGAGAGAGAGAGAGAGAGAGAGGGGAATATTGATTGACGAGGTCTGAAGATTGAGGATAAGAATGGCGATGGGTTCAACTTTTGTACGGTTTATATAGGGGCAGGCTGCTTGTAAGCGCCCCTGGTTTTGACTGTATTTACCATTTGCCCGACATATCTGCAACTGTCATATTTCTAACAATTAATTATTTTCTTAAGGCAATTATTTAATTACTAATAATTAATAAATGACAGCAATTAGGATAATTCACGGATAAGTTTTGGGCACTGAAAAACTTCCTAATTGAATAATGATGTTACGTGGAAATGATTAACAATGTGTATCTCATTTTTCTTTAAAAACCGATGAAAAAGAGCACGGTAATGCTAGTAGTAAATTATGGGGAAAATCTATTAAATGAAGTTGTCTATCGAACCATAAACATAACTAATTCTAAAATAATTTCGATATTGGACTAGATAAAAGTCTATTATCGAGGCATCTGATTGTAGCGAAAGATCGAAAATGTTGTTGATCATGTAAACGGGGCAACTACTATTCAATCTTTCATTAACACAGTTGGCAAGAAAGGGTAGAAGTTGGGTATACCGTACGCGACACGGTAGAGAGCTATTTTTTCTTTTTTCTTTCTGTACATGTATCGGGTCATCTGCTACTCATGATCTGCATCCTTGTTTCAAGAAAGTAGAAAAGTTAGGGAATTGGATATTGGTGTCGTTTTGCAACAAGTTTGGCTGATACATATTGGATATTGGTGTCGTATCGACACGGAATGGAATGGGCGTTAGGATGGAAATTGGCGGACATCATATCATGCAGGGCAAAAAAGAAATATGTTGGCAATGGATGCACCTTGTTTGCTGTATACAGGATACGCTTCTCTGTCTTTTTGTACGTTAGCGAAGTGTCCATTATTCATGATGGTTAGGCTTCAAGTAGATTCTTCATTTCAAACTTAATTAAGTTTTTTTTTTTTTTACGTAGGAGTTTAATTAAGTTTAAGGGGCTATAGTTTTTTCACTTTTATTTTTTTAACATGTTAGAATAGTCTAAAAAAATCGACAAATCAAGGGAGGAACTCAAAACTACAAACAATTTAACTAACATGATACTTCTAGGAGTGAAATGAAGGAGTACTTGTAATGATTCTAAAGTTGAACATGGTTAGTGTGAGAGCAATGCAGAGATGAGCAATCTTTCTTTTGAGAAGTTACCATGATCCAACCAAACTAAAAATCATGCAAGGATAAGCCCGAAACGAGAGCAAAATTTTGGTGAAAAATAGTTGTGATGTTATAAGTGATATCAGAGCCTTCCACATCCTTCTAAAGAAAGTGTTAACGAGAATGTTGAATCCTAAATAGAGGTGTGTAATGTAAGTTTCAAACAAATTGCATACCGACAAATAATGCGAGAGATCCATTAATCATAAGAAATAATCTAAAATCAACCATAATTGACAATCCACGTTTTGAAGTGAAATAACCGAGTTATTATAAAAACTCTTAAAAAGATACGATGACTCACTAAAAAAATAAGACATCAAAAGCAGAAAATATATTGATTAGAAAATAGTTGACATGTTACACTTTAAACTTATTTTTCAAGAGTTCGGCTCGTCCATTTTTTACTATTTTACCATAGCACGAGTTGTCCACGTGGGGGACCGGAGTCGTGAAGAGTGCCTGTATTTTGACGACACGTTTCTTTTGTCTTCTTATCTCCTACGCGTCATTGTTCTAATCCCTTACAGCTTACGTGGAGCAGGTCAGTTTCTGCGTGCTGTGCTTATTGCTTAATCAAATTCAATGGGCCGCTGCTTTAGGAGAAACAAGCCTTACTTGAGCTGTATGATCAATCGGGCCAAGGCTGACTCTAAGGCCCAACCTTCATAAGTACTCTACGACTGCTGAGCGTAGGTTCGACAAGAATTATGAATCAATTACTATGCAAATTCAACGACTCCATTTTTTCTTTTTTTATACCCAGGAACCTCAGCCCCACGTGCCATTTTGTGACAGCGGGTCCTACTAAAGCCTTGTACCTCCGGGAACACCAACGGGCCTCGCTTGGATTCGAACCTGGGATCTGCAACTCCCAAGCCTTCACTGTTGCGGCAGCTTTACCGTTAGGCTATCTTACCTTTGGTTTCAACGACTCCATTTTGGTTGACACCTAACCGGTGGAAATATCTTGTACCTCCGGGAACACCAACGGGCCTCGCTTGGATTCGAACCTGAGATCTGCAACTCCCAAGCCTTCACTGTTACGGCAGCTTTACCGTTAGGCTATCTTACTTTTGGTTTCAACGACTCCATTTTGGTTGACACCTAACCGGTGGAAATATTCTTCTCAAACATTTTTTTACCACACAATAACAAACTACATATATGCTTATGATGATTTATATCTCAGTATCTCACAGTGATTTGGATGAAATGATCGACGGTACTCTGTACAAGATTAGACAAATATAATCAATAAAAGAAAACAAGAAATATTATTTAGACGAGCTTGCAATAAAAATACATCGAATAAATAAATAAATAAATTATGGAGATGCAGTGTAACATAAAACCACTAGCGTGTTATTCAATTCAAACAAAAAATCCAGTAAGCGTATTTAACAAAGGCTAAACAAAACCTCTATATTTAGAGCTTCTTCTTCGCTTCTACATCTTGCAGCTCAAACTGTAAACAGGGAGAGAAGACAAAGTTCATCATCTCTGGAAAGTCAATTAGTTAAAACAAATGATCATTATCAATTTATCTACTCATCTGTATATATATATGTATACATCTACGTCGTATATTCCACCATAATCCACTTTCAACCCAAATCTCTTGAAAATAAAAACAAAAAAAACAACACTAATCCTAGCATTGATCACTTTCAATCACCCATCTCGAATTCTCAGATCCCTAACCCAACAATCTAAATCCTTACATCAAAAGAAATAATCTCCTTTCTTAAAAAAAAAAAAAAAAGGAAAACCCCCAAGAAGAAACGTTGAAGATTATCAATTATGACAACGAATTATTCAGCAATCACAATACACCGCCTGAATCTCAGCGGGGATTGCTTCGACCACGTCCCAGTTTCCTCCCCAGGCCTATGGAACATGCAATATGGAGAAAGCATCCTCAAGCACAACCTGGTTCGTCTCCACCTCCAGCTCGTCATCATGATCATGCTCCCTCGTGCTCTCCATTCCATCCTCAAGCTCCTCCGCCTCCCTCGAATCACCTCCGAGATGCTGGTACGTACTTTCTCTCCAAACCCTAATCTCCACATCCTTCTATTTTTCATAATTGCACTACTCATGCATGCATGCACGTCGACGTACGTACGTTACCCGCAGGCAGGTTACCTCATCGGCCCAAACGTCCTCCACGCGCTCTTCCCCGCCGCAGCCGCGCTCCTCTTCCCTCCAATGCCAAACCAAGCCGTGGCCGGCCTAGCCAAGGTCGGCTTCATCATGTTCTCGTTCCTCAACGGCGTCAGAATGGACCCGGGCCTGGTCAAGATCTCCGGGAAGAAAGCCCTAGCCCTAGGGTTCGCCATCTTCCTCTACCCTTTCACCATGGTCCACACCTGCATCATCAAGTTCCCCCCGGAGAGCCGCTTCTCCGACAAGGACAGGATGCAGTTCCTCAAGAACACCGACATATACCTCGCGCTCATCACGACGTCGCAGTTCGTCGGCGTCAACACCGTCCTCATGGAGCTCAAGCTCATCAACACGCAGCTTGGCCACCTCGCCCTGGCGTCCACCCTCATCAGCGAGCTCCTCCGCTTCGCCTACTCCATCTTCCTCGGCTACCTCCAGATCGTGTTCACCATCGAGTCCTCCCTCGGGACCAAGATGCTCATGTCCAGCCTCTTCTTCGCCTTGATGGTCTTCGTCGTCGCCAAGGCCATGGTGTTGTGGCTCATCAAGAGGACGCCGACGGGGAAGCCCATGAGCGAGGTGCACATCAACTTTGTTATCGGGGTGCTGATGACCATGTCGGCGACGAGTGATGCCTTTGGGGTTTACTACTTGTTTGGTCCCTTTCTGTTTGGGTTGGTGGTGCCGGCGGGGTCGCCGCTGGCGACCGGGGTGATTGCGAAGCTTGAGACAGTGACCAATGGGCTTCTCTTGCCGTTGCTGTTGACTTTCTGTAGCTCCACGTTTGACGTGTTCGGGTTCTGGAAGAACTTCGACATGATGATGGACTTCAAGGTGTCGGCTTATGGGTATGGGGTGAAGCTGGTGTTGACTTTTCTCACGTGCATGGCGTGTAGGATGGGCGCGAGGGATGCGTCAGCGTTTTCGCTCATCGTCAACGCCAAAGGCGTCCTCGAAGTCGCCTCCTTCTTGAGCTTCAGCGGCTTGGCGGTAAATTTATTTGTTTTTACTGATCATATCCATAATTCATCTTTCTCTCTCAATAACTCGCGCGAGTGATTAAATGAGACCTAATGATTCTGGACATAGTAAGTATCACACAATTATGGACCCACCCATAACCCGCGGAGGTCTCTGGATAGAACCAAACTCTAATATATCATGGTTTCTTGACATGGTATTGCGCGCGTTGGTGGATCCATAATCCTCTCAGGTCCCGAATCGAACCAGACTCTGATGATATCGTGTCAAGAACCAGCTAATTCCAATAACTTAAGTTATTGCAACCTACGGATTCTTGACATGGTATCATGTGTGGTGAGGACCACATATCCCCTCGATAGAACCCGCCTCGCTGATACTATATCAAATAACCAAATGGTTTCAATAACTCGAGTTCTTTCGACCTACTATTTTTGACAATGATATCGCGCGCGGGTGGCAGTGTGGGGATCCTTAAACCCCGCACATGTCCCCCTTTACAATCTAACCAATGCTGTCTGGTATCATGTCAGAAATCAACGCGCTCTCCCGTGCTAACTCGTTGAGTCAAAAGGAGAATGTTTCACATGTTAATTATATATGATGTTATACCTTTGTTAATAACAGGCAGGAGAACCAGACGCGAACAGCGCGATGCTCCTAATCTTCGTACTGACAACCGCACTTCAACCACTCATCAGGCTGCTCTACGACCCATCAAAGCAGTACGTCGGCTACAAGAGGAAATCCATCCAGTTCGCCTCCCACAACACCGAGCTCCCCGTCCTAACGTGCGCCCACAAGCAAGAAGACGCGGTGGCGGCCCTCAAGATGCTCGAGTTCTGGAACCCTACGAGGACAAGCCCTCTCTCCATCTACGGCCTCTGCCTCCAAGACCTTGTCGGCAGCTTCACCCCTCAGATCATCAACCACCAGCTCGGGCAGAAGGCCGCCGACACCTCCTCCTCCGCCACCTCCTCCGCGGCGTCGTCGCTGACGTCGTCGTCCGCGTCACAGCCGATCGTCGACGTGTTCAACTACTTCAAGACCGAGTTCAGGCGCGTCGGCGTCGTGGTCAGCGCGTTCACGGCCATCTCGCCGCAGAAGCTGATGTACGAGGATATCTGCTGGATGTCGTTCGACAAGGCCGTCTGTATTGTGATCGTCCCGTTCCACAAGAAGTGGAACCCTAAAGGACAGCTTGTTCACGAGAGTGGCGAGCTGAGGAATCTGAACATCGCGGTGCTGGATAGGGCGCCGTGTTCGGTCGGGATCCTGATCGACCGGCGGACCAGCCACGGTGTCGGGTCGATGTTCGTCTCGTCGCCGACGTATAGAGTGGTGGTGTTGTTCTTTGGTGGGGCCGACGATAGGGAGTCGATGGCGATCGGCGGGAGGATGGCTGGGAGCCCTAGGTACGTATAACAACATATATGAGTTGTGATATTTTTCATTCATTCCTTTTTGGTTTAAATACTCAAGCTTTAGCACTAGGGCTGGCTATTTGGTCCCGAACTGTTTGGTTTAACACAAAACCGGGTCGTATAACCCGGACCGGGACCGGACAGCTAACAATGCAATCTCATATCCGGGCTTAGATTTGAGGTAAAAAACCGGATAAAGACCGGATAAGAGACCCCCCAACACCTAAAATCAAGATAAAATTGGGACCGAACCGGGTCAAGACCGGACTGTATCCAATCCAATCTTTGATCCTTATATTCTCGAAAAGACCGGACTGGGACCGGATTAATTTGGTCCAATTTAACTGGACCGGACCGTATAATCACTCCTATTTAGCGCACTACAAGACAACGTGTGCAAGCTGGAGACGATAGAAATTAAACATAATTCAAACTAAACACTTACATTAAACTAAATTTAATGATGAGATTTGAGTTTTGACAATAATTCATGTCGTCTATTTGAGTTTTGACGATAACTTTTGATATTTTATGATATTAGGGTTCAACTGACGGTGGTGAGGTTCAGGACATGTCATCTTGCGGTGAACGAGGAGGAGGGGGATGGGTTCGGTGGTCGTGGGCCGGGGAGTGAGCGGAGTTGGGATGAGGTGTTTGATGACGAGAGTTTGAGGATTTTGAGGCACGAGATGGCGGATGCCAGCAACGTGAGGTTCTTGGAGGAGGAAGTGAGGGACGGGTCGGATACGGCGCAGGTGGTTCGGTCGTTGAAGGAGGATTTCGATCTGATGATTGTCGGGCGGCGGCACGAGGAGGAGATGGAGGCGCTGTCGGGGCTGTCGGAGTGGGCCGAGTTGCCGGAGCTTGGGCCGGTGGGGGATATTCTGGCCGGTGGGGATATGGGGACGGCTGCGTCGGTGTTGGTGGTGCAACAGCAGATCATGAAAGTCAGTCACAATCTCATCTTGAATTCTTGAAACTAATTTCGTTTCCATTCGTCGGAAAGTAAAATTGATTAGGTTAAGTTTGCGTGTAATGCAAGAGAGAGAGAGAGAGAGGGGAGAAAGGAAGAAAACATTGGTAATTGATATGTGTGATAACTGATCATTAAGGAAATTATTTATATGTAAATGACAGTGGATAAATGGGCAAATGGGTGTGACACCTTATTTATAACAGATGGAAAATTCTCTGCCTCATTAGCATACCACACAAAAATGATAGCTGATGCAACTAATGCTCCTACCTAGAATTTTCACCACGCTCTGCAAAATCAGTGGAAATGGCTTTGGAAGCCTACTTAGGGATGACAAAAAAAAAAAAAAAAACAAATCCGCTCAAAATCAATTTATTAATTATTATAGTTCAAATCATATTTGGATAATTTTACTTTTAGGGCAGATTTATATTCAAGTTTTTAGTTTAGGTCTAAATTGGACCCACAATATTGAGCAAGGTTCTAAAAGGCGCTAGGCGTAAGGCAGGCGCTCGGCTCTTGACTTGCGCCTTGCCCGATTAGGCGTAGACTAGGCGCGCCTAGGCGTTTAGAGCATATATGGAAAAATTCTCAAATATTTCCTATTTTCTGGAATAATTCATATAATCCAAGTACATATAAAATTAGCAATGCCTAGTTCTTAACAGTAAACACTTAACATAACAAATAACAAGCAAATAGTGACCAATCATATGCTAATAGGTGTTTATAAAGGCAAGAAGCTTGTGCTACGTACCGAGGAGAAGGAAGGAGCAACAATTGACGAGTTTCGACTTTATTTCCCACTATAGCAGCGGAGCGGTGAGAAGAGTGATCGATGACTTTCTCCGGCGGCGGCAGAGAGCAGCAAATGGGGCGAGAGCTAGGGCGGCAGGCGGTAGCAGATGGGGCGAGAGCTAGTGCGGCAGGCAGCAGCAGGTGTTACTTCCCGTGTTTCTGATTTTCTAGGGCAAGAGGCAAGTTTCTGATTTTCTAGGACAAAACGAAGAGTATTGGGTTTAACCGCCTAAGCTCGCTCAGGAACGCCCAGGCACGCCTTCTCTCCACTAGGCGCAAACTAAGCGATATTCCTACCTACTAAGCGCTACCAGCGCCTTTTACAACGCCTATGGCCAAGTCAAGGCGATCCTCCACCGCCTAGCGCCTAATTGAGCTTAGGCGTGTGCCTAGGCGCGCCTTCTTGAACCATGATATTGAGTCTCCGAAAGAAAATAAATACTCGATTTTAATGTAGTTTTGTCTTATTTTTCGTTCGAAAACGTACAAAAAAGTGGCAATTAAACACCAACATTAAATGTGTAATTCGGTTGAAGGAAGTTATTGAGATTGTTTTTTTATGTCTACAATCATTTGGACCCAAATAAACCAATTTTGAACCGACCACTGACTTGACCCAAATTGGAGCCAATTCCATATCCAACTCAATTCCAAAAGCATTAGAAGTATATATATGGTTCCATGTGGGTGCAAACCATTACAACATGAGTCATATGCCAATTGGGTCAAATTGCCCAATGAGTCAATCCGTTCTCATTTCTAAACTCTACCCTAAAATCTTTTTTTCCCTTCTTCATATGGGAGCGAGCTTCGAAAAATGCACTATTGATTGTTGAACACAGAAGCTATGTTTATATGATGTACATCATGCCATCTTGAATGGTATGTCATGGTTACAATGAAGATATTTCCATATATTATTCGAATCTCCCCGTGCAACAATTTCTTGGCAACAAGGTTTCCAACCCTTTCATACAAAACCCAACGAGCATCATGAATCTTAGAAATTGGATCTCGCTTCAACAACTTGTTTCTACTCTCACCCTTCATCAAATCGTTTATTGTGGTTGACACATTTGAAAGACTTGAAATAAAAAAAAAGTTTTACAAGAAAGTGACACCGAACCCATATAAGAAAACTCAATGCCCACGGAGATTTCTTCGAATGAATTATTACTCCTTACCTTCCCAGCAACTGCAAGTCACTCGTGATCAGTCCTTGGGTCCCTTCTTCATCTTGTACTACTGCTCTAGAAAGTCTACCTAAACAAATTTTATATACTGACTATTCCAACAGGGTCTCATTAGTTAATTTGCGTGAACTACACAAAATCTGGACCTATTCGATTTACAAAACATTCCTCCAAGGACTTACAACGTTTAGATAATACCATGACTAAGTCGCGTTACAAACTGATTTGTTCTTGATTATGATCATCCAAAAGTGCCAACATTAAGTTAGTTCAAAATGCTACTATGACTGGCTTTCATAATTTGTTGCTGGATCACAAGCACCGATGCAGCCGCCGTAAAATCCTGAGACGCCAACACGTCCCCCAACGGTCCAAGTTCAGGCACCTCCATCCACTGCGCTAGCCCCGACAGGGCTTGACACCCCGTGTCGTGTCGTCTCCCCACTACCACTAGGTCAACGCTATCCCCCATCTCCCGCACGATACCCGAGGTGTCGGAACCGTCCCTGACGCGCTCCTCCACCAACTTTATGTTCGAATTCGTCGGCATCTCCAGCTTCACGGCCCTCAGGGCCTCGGCATCGAGCATCGCCTCCCACCGGTCCACGACCGTCTCGTCCTGGACATCCACGGTGAACTGCACCACGGTCAGGTGCACCCTGGGGCTCCCGGCCATCCTCATGGCCAGGGCCAGGGCCTCCCTGTCGTCGGACCCACCGACGAACAGGACCGTGACGCGGTACACCGCGGACGTCACGAACATGGACGAGAGCCCCATGGCCATCCTGCGGTCCACCAGGATGGCCACGGAGCAGGGGGCTCTGTTCAGCACGTTGAGGTTGAGGTGCCTCAGGTCCTCGTTGCCGCAGACCATGTGGCCCCTCCCGTTCCACTTGTTGTGGAACGGGAGGACGATAAGGGAAGCGGCCTTGTGGAAGGCCAAGGAGCAGATGTCCTCGTGCATCTGCTTCAAGTAGGAGATGGCGGTGAATGTGTGGACCGTGGCCAGCTTGTTGTTCCCGAACTGGGACTCGAAGTAGTTGAACACGTCGAGGATGTTGTGGGATCTGGGCCGGGCTTTTGTTGTGGACTTTTTCTGGCCCAGTTGGTGGTTGATGAGGAGCGGGGTGGAGCTGCTGATGAGCTCCTCCAGGCCGAGCCCGTAGACGGTGAGTGGGCTTTGCCTTGTTGGGTTGGAGAACTCGAGGAATTTGATGACCGCTACGGCGTCGTCTTGCCTGTGGGCGCAGGCTAGGATGTGGAGCGGAGCGTTATCCGGTGCGTATTGGAGGCACTTTCTCTTGTAGCCAATGTACTGCTTGGAAGGGTCGTAGAGGAGCCTGATGATTGGCGGGGCGATGCTTGCGAGGATGAATATCAGGAAAATGGCGGAGGTGCTATCTAGTTGCCTGCTCTGATGAAGGAAGAAGGATCATCAACATGTAACAAAAACCAAACCAAAAAAAAAAGGAATATGTTAATTGATCCTGGGATGTATGTGCTTGATTTTGCATGAGAAAAATGTTGCTGAAAAGGAAATGTGGGATTACGGATTGTGAAATCGTACATATTGACATTGTGTATCGACTGTTGGTTGGATAGTTAGATCCAATGTGGTGACATTTTTTCACTTCGTGCCTACAGCCTAAATGTTGATCTAATGAATAAAAATATGAGGATGAACGGTCAAATTACATATGTTTGCCCATGCATATGCCTAACCATATGTATTGAAAGCTGACTTACCAAGAGGGGGAAAACAATAATAATTTTAACCAGCAGAAGATGAATTTAGGTAGAAAGTCGAAAGGAGATCGGAGGGGATGAAAATTCATATATGTTGACATTGTTCGATTCTTTGTTGGATAGTTAGATCAATATGATGACATTTTTGCACATATAGTCATATATAATGCCTATTATATTGATCTAATGGATGAAAACATAAGAACGGATTATTATCACATGAACTTATCAACCATAATACTGCAAACTATTTTATATCTATTGAATTTAATGATGAAGTCTTCAACTTAAACGAGAAAAAGTTAGAAATATAAAAATACTATAGTAGCTTCTTAGAGTTGAAACTAGATTATTACTTTAAACTAAACATTAAAAGATGATGCCAGACATAAATCAACATTTTCAAAAATCCCATCGAATTAATCACGCATTTTCTTCGTTTATATTTTAACTCAACCATTAATCCATAACTAGAAAGGAAAAGAGAATATTAAAGAGGAGAAAACGGGAAATATATATATACATACCCCAAGGTTACCAAAGCTGAGAAGCACGCCAATTTCAAGAATACCCTTAACATTGACGATGAGTGTATAAGCCGCAGCATCCCTAACCGGCAGCTCAAACCCAAGCGCTACAACGAACGTGAAACCCAGCTTCAAGAAATACCCAATCAACGATATCCTAAACGGCAGCACCTTGGCATAGTTCCTCAAGAATTTCTCCAAGTCCAGCGACGTGGAGCAGAACACGACCATGATGGGCGCAAAGATCCCCGCCGCCGGCGTCTCCACTTTCGCTATCAGGCTCGTCGCCAGCGGCGACCCAGCCGGAATCACCAGGCCCAATAAGAAAGGCCCAAACAGATAGTACATGCCCACCGTATCCCCGACCGAGGCCAACGTCAGAATCATGCCCACCACGAACGTTATGTAGATCTCCTTCATGGGCCGGTCCTGCGGTGTGTTCCTAATGGACCACAAAACCAGGCCCCTCAGGACCACGACTATGAAGGCCACCAGCATCATGGAGAAAATTATGGCCTGGACCCCGGCCCGCCGGGCTATGAAGAGCATGGCCTCCATGTAGCCCAGCAGACTCGAGTAGGCGAACCGGAGCAGCTCGCTGACCAGCGTGCTGGCCAGCGCGAGGTGCCCCAGCTGCGAGTTGGTGATCCGCAGCTGGTTCAGCAGGTGGCTCACGCCCACGAACTGGCTCGTGGTGATGGCGCCGAGCACGATCCCAACGCCTTTGTAGATCCCGATCGAGAGCTGGTTCGAGGGCCGGAACTCGGGCCGGAAGCTCATGGTGATGGTGTGGACCATTGTGAAGGGGAAGATGAAGATTAGGATCCCCATGAAGACGGATTTCTTGCCGGATTGTTGGACCAAAGATGGGTCCATTTTTACTCCCGCGAGGAATGCGAAGAGGACGTAGCCGATCTTGGAGAGTGCAGCCAGGATTTGGTTGGGGGAGGCTGGGAAGACCAGCTTGGCCTCGTTTGGGAACCACTTCTCGAACCCGGATGGTCCGAGAAGTATGCCTGTCTGCACGCACCCAACACGAATTCGTGTAACGAATTAGTATAAGATTTATTGTTATTGAGATGAATATGTTCGCGACGATAAATTGGTGCGAACAATGCATGAATGTTCTTACCATGGACGGAGTAGCTAGGGTTTCGGTAAATTTTACGAGATGCTAATAAGGGTTAGGGTTACAGAAATTTAAGCATATAGACCTGATGTTTTCATATGAACAATTACACATTACCATGATTTCGGAGGTGATTCGGGGCATGTGCAAGTATTTGAGGAAGAAGTGCATGGAATGGGAGAGGAAGAACATGAGAAGCAATTGAACGCTGAAACGATAGAAAGCATGTTCAAGAATGGATTCTCCATATTCACTGTTCCATATTCCAGGGGTGTACACCGTGACATGCTCGTAGCAAGCTCCGGTGAGGTTGACGATGTTCTTGAATGGCAGCCCTGTCGTTGTATTGATTGGCACTTCGTTTATCGACGTTGTCTCCATTTCGATCTCGTTATAGCTATGACTCGATCACCGGCCGGCTGTGGCAATCCGGCCACCGTAGAGGAGGGAGATGATGATGAGAAGAAAAGGCTACAAGATCTGTATTGGAAGCAGACGTTCTTCTTCCTGGATATGCAGAGTTGGGAGAAAGATTGTTTTTGAGTCATTGGATGTGACAGAAAAGAATTGGTTGTATGTAGTTTTTTCTGCAATATTATTTCCATTGTGTGAATTTGGTTGTTCTGTTTCTCGTAGTAGACTAGTAGATACGAGATTTGTAACTTTCCGTTTCTTAAGAGTTATGTTGTGACTTGTGACAATCAAGTACGAACAACTTGTGTTTCCATATTTAACCACTCATTTCCTTGTATTTGTCACAATTGATTGGAGCGCAAGTCAACCTATACAAAAATAATGCCCACATACACCCAGTGGTGTTGGTTCGGTTAACCAATTTGAAAACCATTAGAAACCGAAAACCAAATTAGGCAATTGCCAAAACTGAAACCGTTAAGAGCTTATCGCACTTCACAGGTTCGGTTTCGGTTGTCTGAAGTTGACATTGATACAAGCACAAACGTGGCCCTCTACAGCGGCTCAACATGAAGATAACATTGGATGCTGTACACTCCGCTGGACTAGAAGAAGTTCAAAATAACCTGTTCTAGTCTTCTAGGTGTACATTAATTATCCACATTCGCGCCAAAATTTGATGATACATGTATTTCAGAGAGAAGGAAGAACAGAAAGAGAGGTATCAAAACTGTGGTTGTTATCTTTCATCAAAGATTATGAGTTGGGATGTATACTTTACAATGCTCCAGTGAAGCATTTCTCACCTCATTAGTTCTTGATTTCTTCGGTACTCGCTTCGTCAGTAGTTTCGCATCCCACAACAGGATTTATAGGAAGATCCACTGTCTGATAAGAAGCTGCTGGTTCATCATTTCTTTTTTGTAGCCCTGAAAAGCGTGCGAGGTCGATCCATTGCTGCAGCATTCAAGCAAAAAAAGGCAAAGTTAATGTTTCATCATCCTAAACATCTACTCAGACACCATGGCAGTGTCAGACGTCAAAGAATCCTGACCTGGGTTCCCCAGTAGGAGTTGATAGTCCGAACAACAAAAGACAACATAGCTACAAGTATTGTCTGTGAAGCGAATTCATCAGAAATCCTATGCTCAACTAATCCGGCAATGATCTGCAGCAAAATTTGTGAAAATCAGCAACCTCTATTAGACAATACTCCGGTAATGGTAAGAATGCCCAAATTCAGCACAACTCTGGTTCATCAAGGTAAATATAGATGATGCATAAACAGATATAAACAAATAGCTGCTATAATGAGCACATAGGGTGAATGATGTTGCAGCATTATATACCTGATATCTCAGGTTTGCTGATATGCCCAGAAAGCTTGCATAAACAACTGCGGTTTTGAGTATTGGAGATCTTCTAACTCCTTGAACAGTCACCAACTCTGGATTAAAGAGCTTGCGAACTGAATATAAAGCATTTGAAGAAGCCACAGCTGCAATGCTGGAAACAAATCCTACACCAGAAAGCTTAAGACCACCAACAAGCACAGATGCAACTCTGTGACTCAGATTCCAGTCTTTCCCCGCAAGATTCTTTTGAAATGCATTATCTGGGATGGAACCCAGCAGGCCTTTTAAAGCCTCCACGCTATTTTCAGAGGGATTCAAATCATCAGGGTATGAAAGGAAAGAAAGTGTCGGTGCAGGAAGCCACACAGTGAAGAAGTCAACAACAGATCCCCTGACAGTGTCTGTAATCACATAGTCGAGCTCTTCGAAGAAATTCTCCTTGCGTTTCTCATACTGTGCTATTAGGGTAGTGGTGATCGATATACCTTCTTCTATGGCTAACCTATGCAGGAATTTTGGATCTGCCAATAACCTCTCTCTGAAACCCTGCACCAGAAAGAGCTTACTTGGTAAATCATCTAATTTCCAGCAATTTTAAGTTGTAACTTCAGCTAAGAAACTTTCCATACCTGGAAACGATGAGTGAGTTCCTTGATAAGAGGATATTGTTCCAGATCAAAGAAGTTCTGCAGCACCTCTGGTGATACTAAACCAAGATCAAGACCATTCTGAAGATCCTGTTAACACCAGGACGAACAGTGAGAACCTGGATGAACTACAGCAGGTCCTACAAGATTCAGATACATATGATTGATTTCATTTCTTATTACCTGTGGTAGTGCATCTCTCCTTCTACCAGCAGCATTCATAACTCGAGCAATTTCAGCACGATCAAAGCAATTCCGGGTGCACGGTCTTGCAGCAGAATACCACAAGAAGTCAGCAACAGGAACTTCACCTTCTCTTCGGATGAACTGCCTCTCGGGATTCAGCAGTATGACAACTTGATTCCTTTTCTGCAACTTCTTCGATATTCTAGCAGGCACTCCGGTTCCCCTTGACCCATAAGTAACATGGCTTGCACCTGTCACCACCACCAGAAGTCCAGAAGCCCCACCATCATTAACTGCTTGCAAGATTATTCGGGACATGGTGTAGTCCTCGACAACTCTTGCTTGTGCAGATAAGTACGAGCTGGGGCCGATGGGAAGAATCGAAAGGTTTTCAGCAGAACTCAAATCATTTAGCCTGCGGGAGATGTAGGTGAAACCCGAGATGAACCCAGAACCTGCTGGTGGTGTATACAGCTTGCGGTCCGCCTTTGAAAGCCCATGGAGGCCTTCAGCTTGGACGGTTCTCAGGATCTGTTCACATCACAATGTCATACCATTAACATATGTAGCAGAAGGGGCAATGAATGAAACTAATAACGCCTTACGCAGCCAAGAACAAGTATACACCAGAAAGAAACATTACCTTAGGTGGGACACCACAAGCAACAATCTTAACCCCATTCTCGCGGCAATAGCTCAAAAGAGGCTCGTATTCCTGCCATCGCTCAGGTGGCCAATTTGATAGGATAGACTTGAAAGCTTCTCCATCTATCCTGGGACCGGAAATGCACACCAAGAACAAGCTTAATAAGCATTTCCATAGATACATTTCATTCAATCAATAATGGCTGGAGCTAATGAATCCGAAACAGCTAGCCTTTTCAGCTCATTTTCCAAACTGAAGCGAAGTACAGAAGCTACCACTAGTTGAACCAATATTGAATCCTGGAGGAAATCGGTACCGAGTGTACCTTTTGTCAAGGAATTCGTCGATCTTAGGCTGCAATTCGCAAGGGAAAGCCTCCATTGCCAACGAAATTGACCTCTGGCTCTCTACGCAACGACTCCTCAAGCTCTTGACGATTTCCAGCTCCAACGTCTTGTCGTCCCGCGTCGGAACTTGCTCCGCCTCGCCTAAGTACACTACCCTAGCACTCGTCAGTTTATCCAATGCCTTGGCGCTCTTCTCCTTCCCCATAGCCAGAGGCTCTCCAATCACCGTCGCGTCGTAAATTCTCGAGTTTATCGGAATCGCCTCGACCTCCACCTTCTTCGCTGTCTCCGCGGCCGTTGGCGGTTGGACCTGCGGTGGCGGAGGCGGAGACAGAGATGGAAGAGGAGGAGGAGTAGCCGGCGGCGATTGTAGAACAGCTTCATCCGCCCTCGAGACGGCGGAGTGGAGGACGGAGAACCCGAGAGTTAGTAGCGGAGCGATCAGAACTTGTCTTCTCTTCGTCCCGGCGGCGCCAGTACTGCTGGTTTGACTCTGGCCGCATTCTTCGGAGTTACTTGTAGATGCTCCAACGGAACGGACGGAGAGCGTCACTCGGCGATGGCGGTGGCGGCGAGAGGCTCCGGCGGGGAGTTGATGGCGGAGGTGCTGGGCCGGCGGTTGTGGCGCGGAGGAGGTGAACAAGTGGTGCTGGTGGATTTGCTGCTTCATTTTTTTTTCTTTTTTCTGTCTCGGGGAAGTGAACGTTCACGCTAGAATAGAGAGAGAGAGAGGGGAAGCGGAAGAAAGGACAAAACGGCGTGGCGTTGGAGTGAAACCGGATACGAAATTAATTCGTGGCCATTGAAATAAAATAATTCTAAATTGTTCTTTTTTTTTTTGGCTGTTTAATAATGGCCTTGAGTAGTGAATATGCCAAGTTTAGCTGGAAAAAATAAGCGAATATGGGCCGGCGAGTGGGCGAGTGGGCCCTGTAGGTACCAATCCATAAAACTTGTGACTAGGAACCGCCGTGGCAAGGTTGATTTTTTTTTTTTAATATGTCGACGTTTCCTTTTCTTTGTTTCTCTGTGTATCAATAACATTTACGTGAGCGTAATGTTGGCTGGACTGTAAAAATTATCTACACTCGTTAGAGTGATATTGAATATGAATAATATGAATATTTCGTGTCAATCGGTGTAGTGGGATCAAATTGGCTATCGTATTATGTCAATGTAACTCCAGTTAAAAATATTAATCCATCTAATTTGATGTCAACAATGATATCACAATCACAACAATACCTTATTGACTGAACCACATTCATACTTGCAAAATAGCTATCCCTTGACTTGTACGGCACACTCTCTTATTCCATTCCACAAATGGATTAGGTGGTTGCTAGCTATTGTGAGTGGTTTAGCTAACTTCCGCTGGCCCAACACAGGAGTGGGAGTGGGTCATGTTTTGTGGGTTTGGGCTTTGCTGTGAAGTATCAAGTAAGTTTGACCACCATTTGAGATCATAAGTTTGGGCATGGGCTTTAGCTTGGCCCATCATCATTAATCAACGGCGGCCGGCGTCCAATTAGAGAAGCATTGTTTACTGTTTTAGTAATTTACTGGTGCTCTCGTTTTCTTGTTCTGTTATTCCTCTGCCTAACTGAGGAATAATCAAAGCATGCATTTTCTTCACGTTGTTGCTTTCTTTCCCCAAGTTGCAAATTCCCACTCATCCAATCCCATCCTTTCCTCACCTTGCCTTTTCTAGTACGTCTCCATCAATGAGCAACGGTTTATGCTCGTACAAATACAGTTACTGTTGTTGTTATTATATGTAAATACCTATATACGTGTTACGTAGATATGTACTCATTATAATTTCATGAAACGGTCATCAAACATTGTAGAAATGCATTGAAAATGTAGTGCGCTTTAAAAGAATCATAGTATTTAGGAATTTACAATTTAGAGTGAGGAGAGAAAAATAACAACAATTTCTGTTTATCATTTTCTAATGTTTTCTCGGATACATACATCGTAATTTTATATAAAAAAATTAAAAGCGAATTGTATCCCCTCTTTAACTACACGTAGCTCCACCACTCGTACCATACTTTCATGTACTTCTGTATTCAACTGTTGATTATAGAGAAAAACATTCCACGACTTATTAAAAAAACAACAATTCGCACGTGAAAAGAATGGCAATAATTGGAGTGCTCATGAAGCTGGACAACCCTACCTTCCATAAAGTGCATCAATTGGAGGGCATTTCCAATCGTGAAAGAAGCAAACAGAATGACCCAAAATTGGGTATGTGGATTAATTGGTGCAAAGTTGGAACGAAAGCTTTGCTCACTACCTTTTCTTCCATCGTCGGTTTCTCTCATTTAGGGAAACAATACATACCCAACACGTTTATGGGCTGTCACGCCCCCATTTCCTTGGTTTGGAGCCTACACTTAGCTGTTTCAGGTTACTGTTTCTAGTGTGTGACCATGTTTCTTCAACACAGCAAGAAGGAAAGCTCCTGCATGGATTGTCATATCGGGAAAGTATGATCTGAGCAAGCAAACTCCATGAGATAATTCACCATCAACCATCTTACGCGGAATTGAATTCGGCTGACTTCTTTTGCGTTCAGAGTGATCCAAAACAAAAACTTAAAACTCTCATGTTTCATTTCCTTTCTGAATCTTTGTCGTGAATCAACATGCAATATGAAGTGACGTTGTACCGTCAATGTAGATCCACGTATAGATGCCGCGAATTTGAAAGTTCCAATTCAATACACGTACGGAGCGAATCCCAAAAACTGTGCGGAGTTAAAATGCAAATTTACCGGAACTCAGACCCTCCATTGTTACAGAGATACAGAGGATCATGAACATCATTTCTTGCACACTTTTGCCATCTATCAAATCACCAAATCCTCGTCATTTTAACAGAAAAGCAGAAATATTCCAGCCAATCTCCACTGGACTACTCCAAACCTTTTGACATTTCTTTCTTCCTTCCCTTTTACAGGATTCTTATTCCCCAGCTTCACTATATCAACCCCTTTGGAAATCAGGAAGATCATCCCATTGGAAACAAGTAAAAGAAAGGAGAGGCATAAACAAGTTAATACCTTTGAGCTGCAGATTGCAGTAATGGCTTCTTCAAGCTATCCTGATGTATTAGCCTGGATTCAGACACTTCCTCCAATTTCTCAATGGAAACAAAATCCAATGTCTATCACCATACTTTCTTCTTCTTCTTCTACCTCCACTACTTCTAGTCCTTCCCTGAAGCTTTCCGTCTGGAAGAACCATCACTCTCCAACAACAGTCTTCTTCTCCATATCCACTGATCTCACCTTGACCATATCTCTCTGGTCCTCAAAACCCATCAACACAAACTCCAATGACCCCCTCAGGTTGCTAGGAAGCGAATCGATCTCCTTCCTCTTAACGAACTTCATCGAGGACATCCTCAGTTACGGCCCTTACAAGTGCAGCAGCAGGTCCTCCTCTGTCAAAATACCGAAGCTCGACAGTCTCCCAAACTTTAAGGCCATATTCAACCTCTCATTTCTCACACTAACCCTCCTGGTATGCATCTACGAGGCGCCTCCCGAGATCAGGTCCCAGTCCCTGGCCACCCTGAAGAACCAGCTCATTGATCCTCAGATGAGAAAAGCCTCGAGATCGCTCATGAGGATGATGGGGTCGAACCTCGAAGAGCAGTGGATGAGGTCCATTAATCTGGCCATCACAAACTGGATCGTCGAGCTTCAGGCTGCTGCTCACAGGAGTTTCAGGACGCCTTCCCCGTTGTTCTCTTGCTCGTTCTCGGCCTTGGGGCTGTGGAAAGTTCAGCTGTACTGCCCTGTTATAGCCATGGACATGGAGAGCTCCAGTGGGTCCTCAGCTGATGAGAAGCTCCTCTTCTCCCTGAAGTATCAGCAGCTTGAAGGAGTCATGCAGTTCAATTATGAGGTCGTCGAGCAAGAGAAGTGGGTCGACGTGACTGTGTACACAGACAACATAAGGCAAGTAGTTGAATAAATAATTTTCACTTGATGTTGGATGTAGAACAAGTTTGTATTCAGATCTTCTGCTCTGATTACTGTTAGGTGCGACATTTACCGGCTAGTCAACGAAACCTTGATGGGAGAACGAGGAGTTGGGTCAGAAGAGAAGCATTTCCCATCTCGAATCGCAGTCCACATCACGCCAATCCTGCAGACGAACATAATAAGCGTGTCAGTAAGCAGCTCATCAGCCAACCCGACCAGAGAAATCGAGCTGGAGAAGGGGATAGAGACTTCCTTCGACCCGCCAAACAGCTTGGGGCTGAAGCTCTCGGCCGGAGAGACCGTGTCGATGAGCTTGAAGCCATGGAAGTTCGAAGGCTCAGTGTACGCTTACAGTGCGGTGTTCAGCTGGTTTCTGCACGATAACATGGACGGGAGAGAGGTGGTTTCGTCCAAGCCTTCAGCCTTGGCGCTGATCAACCCTAGAGCATGGTTCAAGGACCGGTACAGGACGGCTTATCGGCCGTTTACAAGGCAAGGTGGAGTGGTGTTTGCTGGGAGTGAATATGGGAAGAGCATAACTTGGAAGGTGGATAAAGCTGCCAAGGGGAAGACGATGGAGTTTGAGATCAAGGGGTGGATTTGGCTCACTTATTGGCCTAACAAGTACAGGACTTTTTACAGTGAGACCAGGAGGCTGGAGTTCAGGGAAACTGTCCAGCTCACCATAGCTTAGGCCGGGTTTTCGCTCCCGATAATCTGTAATTCAGTGTGTCCTCAATACTCTTTCATGTAGAAAACAGCAGGAATTGGATATAGAAATACAGTCTGTGAGTAATATTATTGTCAGCAATGACTAATGATAAGGTCTGTTCACAAGAACGTTTGAATTGTTTGCTCAGGTAAAAGAATACAGTTGTGCATCCTCGAGCAACAAACATACTCAAATACAAAGGAAGTACAAAATATGGTAAGTTCTGGAAACTAAAATGCCTGCTTTTTCATCGTTTATTGCTCATTACCTAGATCTACTTCACAAATCAAACAAAGCAACAGAATGACACTGCCATTCCCTGAGCCATAAGATTGCAAGGGCAAAGCACCGCGGCGGCAAAAAGAAAAGCATAAGGAGCGTCAATCCTCGAGGCTGCCAAGAATAGAACCTGGATGTTACTGAAGCCTTGCAGGATGGTTGTTTTACTTCTGGATGCCGGGAAATGATGGCAACACAGCGATAAGAGGGTCCTTGTATCCAACAGAATCTGCATCATGTGCAATAAGAGATGTTAGGAAAAACAACAAAAAGAGAGAAGTTGCATCCTAGCCAAGGATTCAAATACTAAGAAGCTATGCAATGAAATTTTGCTGAGGGATCTACTGGTAGTTACTTTTCTGGAAGTCCCAGCCTGGAATCACTCGATGTCCCTAGGTTGCTAACAAAAGACTAAGACCTCATCTAGGAACGAGTTGATTATAAACAAGTTATGGAAAGACTTTTGTCTTCCTTGACAAAACACAAGCTACCCATCTTGAAAATGTACCCCGGAAGATTGAGAAAGAGAAGACAAGTATGATCGTGTGATGTAAGGAAATTTAACTGTCTTTAATGTACAAATTTAATTTTGTAAGCACGGCATATGAATGCAAAGGAACTGATCATTAGCAGGGATCAAGTTGACAGTTCTCAGAAATGCAGGGAAGCAGAAATTTTTACCTCCATCATCAAAGAGGATCTTTAGAACTTCCCCAGCCACATCTGTCTGCTCAGTCATTAAGAAGCACCACAATTAGGAAAAATCGGATTCAATTCAGAGATAGCAAAAACAAATACACAAGCACAGAAAACTCACCTTCACTGGGAGTTCAGTGCCAAACTGATCCAAATATCCAATCACCTGTCCTTCTTTGATCATATCGCCCTGCATTGGAATAATGTACATGTCAGTTCACAACAAGTATGCGATTCCAGGGACAAAACATCCTCAAGGTCCAGATACCTCTTTGCAGATCTGAGGTTGCTTCTTTCCTTTCACAGTACGGTTCTTCCTGAATGTACCAACCTGAAAAAGTAAAGGATGGATGTACACTCAATTGAAGGCTTTTTCAGTGTTAGGAAGAAGGAAATGAAAGATAGAGAACCCTCAGCAGGCAACTCCGGCACTGTCACGTACTGTTGGAGAAGCGACTAACACGAAGCCGCTAGCACCAGAAGCCTCCAGAGCTGCCAACCTTGGCGACTTTCCGAAGGAGACATTTGTGAACGGATTGGACTTTTTTGGTGGCGGAGTTGGTGCTGGTGGAGCAGCAGGAGCTGCTACGTCCATCGGTTTAGATGGAATAGGTGGTGGCACTGTTGGTGAAATGTTGGACAATGGGGCATGTGTAACTCCTATGTTACGCTTCAGATGCATTTCAAAGTCGCCCACCTATCAGAAACAGGTAGATGAGTTACATGGGAGCCAAAGATTAACATATGTAGTTCTATGATAATGTCAAGATGATGAGTTTACCTTCAGTTTGAGCTCTGCAACTTCTGTTTCATCACAGACCTCTAGCATCAGAGCCTGATGATGAAAAGAACAAGAAGCAAGACCAATCATTAAGGTTCATAACAGGCAGATGTCACGAATGTTATGGAACATTATTTATAAAAAAAAAACTTCTCGCCAGATATGGCACTTATTTTTTGATAATGGTGAAGTGATATATTAAGAGAAAATAAAAAAGTTCAAGTACAAGGAAACAAGCAGCGGAAAGAGATCACAAGACCTGATCTCAAAGCGCAGAAAGAAAAGGAAACGAGAAACTGCATAGGAAGATATGAACGAACAAAACAAGAACAGTGCTAAATGGATCAGACCATTCCTGTAGCAGCTTCATTGTATTCTAATCTAACCTATTCTTAAGTCCTACCAAGAATGGTTGATGCAATATCAAAGTTCTCTCGAATACAAGGGCGGCTTTTGACTACTATCATTCGAAGCAACATGTAATCTTAGCAACAAAACATCACAGGAGTACAATGAAGTGATTCACAATCAAGTGTGGATTCGGAACACAAAACTAGTTAAAGCACTGAGAAAAGAGAACACTCACTTCAAATCCACTGGGGAAAGTTGCACGGGGCGCACCATTACTCTCTGAAGCAACTGGTATAGCACCATCTGCTGGAAGTAAACTCATAATCAGCAGCGGCAGCCAGAACAAAACCGCAATTCACAGCGCCAAACACAAATTAAGTTATACAAATTTCCACCCACAGCTCCATTGGTTCGGAAAATGGATTCAAACTCCTCAAATGGCATAGCAGTAATGGTCACATTCGGCATTCCCATACACTACTAGTACTAGCACAAGCATAGCTTCTATGTCACCAAACCGAAGTACAATCACAAGATTGAGTAATGGCAACGACTCGAAATTAAGTCCAAACAGATTGGATAGCTTCTATGGATCAGATAACCAATCCCAGCTACCTTACTGGTACACATCAAGGGGGAAAACCAATTCAATCTCGAGAGAAAATGGAAAATACGCACCTGTAGACTTGGAAGCTACAGAGGAACCAGATGTCTTGGCGCAAGATACTATCGAAAGATTCCTCTTAGCCGGCGAGCAAACAAGCCTCCTGCTGAAGCCAACACTCTGGATAGAAGAAATCGCACCGCTCCTTTCGGCTGCTGGCTGGGCGTTTGAAACCGTAGGCACCGAACCTGAAAGAGAGAAGCGTAGCGCAATCAAACATTAAGCTCAAGGACAGTCTACACGCAAGTACGCAACAGATCTCTCCGCGAACTGGCAATGGAATTTCGAACCAGGCTAACTAGAGCAACATAAGCACACCATAAGAAGAAGACGAAATGCGAGAACAAAAGTGACGGAAAGCTTGAGAGGGAGACAAGGAGAGGGACAGAGTTACCGTGGAAAGAGCGGAGAAAGACAGAGGACTCCATGGGAGAGGATTTGAATTGGAGCTTCAAAATGGGGGAGAATGGACGGAGTTTATAGCGTGGGGGAGAAGGGAATTAGTTGGCTAGCAGAACTATGTGAATGAGCGACGGACTATCTTTGTAATGTCCGCCTGCTTTCTCCTCGCTCCTCATTTTCTCCACCAAAACCAAAAATAGGGAGCGATTAAGGTTTTAATTAGCTACAAAAATGCGGTTAACTAATACTTAATTAGTCTAAGCAGTAGCCAACTGGAGATGAGTGGGAAAATGTTTATGAGGCAATTAAGCAGTAGCCTAGCCAGTGCCCAGTGCCCAGTAAGCAGCGCGTGATGGGATTTATGGAACTGTCCGTCGAGCAGCTTGCCAGGCGGCGGTTGGGTAGAGCTGGAAAATATTATTGCCGGCTCGTGGGAAGGTTGGGCTCGGAACCAGTGGCTAGTTGGGCTCTATGATTGCGCGGAATGGATCGAAACGGATACTATCGAACTCCAAACTTACGATTTTATGAAATGCATATTTGCACCATTATGAGGACGAAAATTTTGGTAATTTGCGTTGTATAAAATTTTCTCAACTCGATTCGGGTGGATGTTACTTACTAGTGCGTAACATGGAGTGGTGAGTGGACCTGTTGCCTGTAACCAGACATTCATACTCGTTCTATTTCGAATCGCTCAATTATTTGCTGGTCTAACTATGATGTAGTTACTATTAAGGGAGAACATTGTCGTCGTCGTCGAATAGCTTGACATTTAGAAGTCACGTCTGCATATAGCACCTCACATTTCATAAATAACTGATAGGGAATGAAGGCTGGTGTTCGTGCCGAGAATGGCAGCTACAAATGCGACAGATAATTGCAGCAGGACCATAAAATTGTGCGTCCAGTCAATAAAACAACTGCTTCACAGTTCGTCTTTCCTTTCTTCCTGCCAAAGTGCCAATACCACAGCGCACCGACACTTTTGCCACCCTTATAGTTCCATGGCGGGAGTATCTTTCTTACTTTACCAACTAAGCTGAAATACCACAGCTGCATCAACTACAATGCAGCTGAAACATTCCCCACAAATACACAAGCAGCCATAGTCGCCCATTTCAACTCCGTGCAGAATTGAAGATGCTATCAGCAGCACAACCTCCGACCATAGATACCAACTGCAATCAATCAAACTACTCGAAGCATCCAAATGGCCGGAACCTACAAATGGATTCGCTCTCTCCTAGACATTCTCAGCCATATGATCAAGAATCGAACAACTATGATGCACTCGGGAAAGCAAAAACGCATCACATCCACTTAATTTTCATAGCATCCCACGCAGATCAGCCATCTAATCCTTGTTCGGGAGTGGTTCAGAACCCATTTAGGTAGAATTGCTAAGTACCACCGAGGATATGTCCCAACTGAAACATAGCTTCAACCAGAGCTTTTGATCTACAGTGGTTCCATTTCCACCCAAGTTACACACACCCCTCGACTACACCACAGAACGATCATGTCAATCACAGTACTCGACACAAAAAAAGCCTCCTGCTATAAATTGAAGGCTAACTAAACCCCAAATCATCATATCAAACGAGTCTGTCCTAAAGTATGTAGATAGCATCCTAAGTTTCCAGAAACCATTCTTACATTCAACAGACACGGTCACTAACTCATTCCATTGTGAGTATCTAAGATCCAATCCAAATAGAAAATGTCGTGCACATCTTTGTGTAGCTAAACAAAGAACTGTCAAGCATCCTAGCTCGGTACTAGACTGATGTGTTCATCAATCAACAATGCATAACTACAGGGATTCACATGGAAGAATTCAATGCACTATCATTAGGTTCGGCAGCATACATGAAAGGGAGGAACAAAACAGGATTCATGGCCAGGAATCGAGCGACGATCAGTTGTATTGCACAGTTACGAATTACCACCACATAAGCAACGATTAAAAGTACAATGAAAACGAATGGATTGGATTTAGTACTGCCGTGCCAAGATCAGATAAGATCTACTACAAGAAATCTAATCAACAAATTGCAGTCTCAACGATAACAGGTTTCGAGATAATGTATGTCTTACTCAATCAAAAGCTATATGCGATTTCAATTAACAAAAACAGAAAAGAAAAGATAGGAGCGGGGGAGTTCAGTTCTCACTTCTCACACACGAGCGGCGACAACGGGAGCGGCGGCGGCAGCTGCGGAGGAGGCGGCGCCGCCGAGGAAGGAAAGGAGTCCAACGTTCGCCTGCTCTTGCGGCTCATCAAGGAACAGATCTTCGGGGACCCTGAACGCGCCGTGCACGCAGACAATAGCAACTCCAGCCATCAGCGCCGAGATCAAGAGCGAGCCGACGCTGGTCAAGAACACCACGACGATGGTCGACAAGAGCAACACGCCGAGCGTCTCCCGCTCCGAGAAGGTCCGGCCGAGAATCACCACGGGCTGATCGGAAGGACGGAAGAGGTAGAGGAAGATCCAGGAGGCGAGGAGGGAGAGGAGCACCAGGAGGGAGAAAGGATGGGACAGGAGGGAGAAGCCGAGGACGACGACGAGCATTGAAATGTAATTGACCTTGAAGTAGGACAGATTCTTGCGGATCCGGGCGGCGGCTTCTGTGAGGGATTCAGGGCGGGTGAAGGCGGAGCGATCGATGAGTTCCGTCCATGGGCGGCGCTGGGAGAAGCCCTGGCGGACGGAAGAGGAGAGGCGGGAGATGAAGTTGCGGAAGGCCGGCGTGGCGATTGGAGGCTGGGATTCGGGCTGTGACGTTGGGTTCGTGACCGGGAGAGGCGGAGCGGCCATTTCTGTTTGACGGCGGAGCGGGATCAGGAAGGGCAGAGATCGGGCGGTGATGGCCGGGGATCTAGAGGAGGAGGAGGAGAGAGGGAGAGATCTGTGGTAACTGTGGGTCTGGGGGTGGAAGACAGATGGAAAACCGTCGGAAAGGCATACTGGCAGAAAGTATGACTGCGAGAGTTGAGGACCATGGGCCGGGCTCGGATTAACAAAATCCAATCCTTTGGGCTTAAAACGAAGATTGAGCGCAGGCCGAAATGTGAAGATGGGAAGAATTCCAGGAAATTATGGTAAGCATGTAATCTACCCACGGATTTCAAGATTACATGATATATGAGATTCTATTGTTTTTCTTGTTTCATTTTTGGACATATATCATGATATTGGTGCACCAAGTAATTCTAGAACTCATGTGACCATGATATCTCAAATGTTTTGGGTTTACTCAAAGTGTTTGAGATTTCATGCCAAATTATGTGGGTTCTACTATAAACTCATGCAAGCCAAACAATGCATTCTAATATTACACAAGTTCTCACAATTCAACCTACAATATACATGAATTCTACATTACGATTGTTTGCTTAGGATATGGCTTGGCAGAACAAAAAAGAAAGAGAGAACATAGGGCAAGAAGGTTCGGTTGAGGAAAAAAGATATAGAAAATAAAAAGTACCGAAAATTTTGGTGGAGCCGTAACGCTGACGTGGAGAAGGGGTTTTTGAGAAACTCTTTAATATATTTTTTCAATGTTTTAAAAATCATATTGTACCTATCCGTCATATAAACTAACAACCCAAACGGTAGATTTTTAGCAGCACAAAGTGGTTGAATTATTTTTAAACCATAATTTTTGTATCATTAAATTTTTTGATATAATTTCCCGTACGATTTCACATTCATTACAATAAACTTTAGTTACTAATGGAAAACAAAACCAATCAGCTGAAAAATATTCATTATATTTTTATTTCATATATAACATCACAAGAACACATGCAAAATATTCATAACATTTTAGGGGTCGTTTGCTTGTTGGATTTGGGTCATGGATTTGGTATCCAAATCCCAAGGTTGATGGATTTAACATAAGTCCATTGTTTGTTTGTTGAAGGATGCTAAATCCGTGGGGTCCACGGATTTGGTCTTTATTTTGGAACCAAATCCATGGATCCCACGGACTTGCAAATCCCACATATTGATTTGGGATTTGCAAATCCTTGATGGTTAGTTATTTATTTAACAAATTCATCACAAATCCATCATCAAATCTATCATGCAAACATTGGACTCTTCAAATCCATAATTCAATAAATCCAACATAAATCCCAAGGTTTTTGTTGGCCAAAACCCTCATTTTTCAAATCCAACAAGCAAACTACCCCTTAATTCATATAACGTAGACCACGTACAACTTTATTCATTAGTGCTTATAAGTACTAAGAGCAAGCCATCCTCCTTAGTACATGCACAGTTTTTTGCTCATAATCAACAGAGTTTAAGGATTGGGCGACGGACCATTATCTCTGCCGCCGCCTTGGCAACCGGACTGACAACCGCTGCCACAATAATCATCAGTTTGCCCACAGAATCCGTACTGACTACAGCAAAGCCCAGCCTCGCACTCTCCCCCGCCGCACTGACTGCCGCAGTTGGGATCGCTGTAGGAGTCGTCGCCGTTCACCATCCTGCTGGCAGGCGGCGAACGGGCGGCTGCTTCGAGTGCAGCAAAAGTGGTATTGCTATTATTATCACGGAAAGCCCGCTTCTTCTGGCCTCCGTCGCAGTTGCTCTGACAGCCGCTGCCGCAGTGCGAGTCGCTGTTCCCGCACCATCCGTCCTTACTGCAGCAGCTGCCGTCGGTGCACTCGTCGCCGCGGCATTGCTTGCCGCAGTTCTGAGCATTGGCGACGGGTGCAGGGTTCGTCGCTAATGCTAATGCTACTATCAGCAACGGGAGAGCCACCTTCATGATGATTATCTTCATTTTTCTTTTTCTGACTGCTTTGGTTGTGTGCTTCTAAACAGTGGTGACGGGGGCATCGTATTTATACGCTTACGGGCTGGGGAAGCTCTGGATTTTTTGGTTTGTCGACAAAAGAGGTGAGCGACGTAACTGAGAGCTGCAAATCATTAGGGCATTTGCTGGGAAAAGAAGTCATTTGTTGCTTTGGTATTTCTTGTTGTTCGGGGAAATTTCTGTGCAGGCCGGAAAACGCTTTGAAGCGGTGGTTTGGGATCGATAAACTCTATTCCTAATTATTGGGGATAACTTAAACCCCGGAAATTCCCAATTTCATTGTTTTGTGTTATAACTTATAAGATAGGATCGACAAATTCAAAGGTGGTTTGGATGAAGAACTCTAACGGATGCAAAGCTAATATCATTGGTACAGCCCTTGAGATTTATAAGAGAATATATTTACGTGGTGCTTCATTTAAATAGAGCAATAGTCAAATACTTTGTATGAAGTTTCCTATGAGCAATAGTCAAATGAACACTTACTCATATGTTAAAGTATATATTTAGTTTTTTTTAATTTTTTTGGTTAAAATAGTGGATCAACAAATCAATCAAATCGGGGTGGTTCACCTGGTTTCATGTCAAACCATTTAATTTTAATCACCCAAATAAATAGACCAAACTGCTGTTGTAACTAGTTTGATGATTCTACTAAACACGCGCCTCTGATCGGTTCGGTTCTTATAACTAGGTAAAAAAAATACAAAGGAGAGGAGGGTGAAAAGAGTTGAGACCGTGGGCCGGATCAAGATTGACAAAATCCAATCCGAGTCTGTGTTTATGAGTTTCACTTCGAAATGAGAGCCCAAAAGTTGGGGTGGGGAGAAATAAGATGGAGCCCTGGGGCAGCCCAAAACCCATGAGGCAAAGGAAGAAACAATCTTAAATAGGTAACTAGCACCGGACCCGGCCTATTGGCCGGGAAAGTTTGATGATGGATATAATGTACGGGGTTTTCAAGATCTTCAAACCTAATTTATACTGTTGTGCCAATCTATGCACACCACATAAGGCATAGGATTAACTGTACTAAGCATGGGCAGAAATAGTACTTTACCTAAGTCGATCCCTTTTAGCAGCAATTTGTTGATTTGTTCGATCTTGGGAGATGTGAAAATAGCTCACATACCCTATAGAAGCACAATGTAAGAGTTGTAATACTCAGCCCCCTCGAACAACTTCAATAACTATAAGGCAAAGATCCCAAGTTATGACAATACATTGGCTGTTGGAATGCCGAACACGGCGAGCAATGGTTCCCAAGGTTGATGGGCCGACAGTTTCTTGATTGGGAACCATTGAACCGGAGCTCCACAATTGTAATATAGGAGATGAGGGCTTTGATTGTATGTCGTTAGATTAGACGGAGTCAAGATTTTTGTTAAGGAGGGGCCATAATGTATCATTTTTATTAAAAAGGAAAAAAATCACATATTTTATGAAATTATAATAAAAATAAATTTCATTATAGAAATGAAAATATTTCACAAAAATATTCATAGATTCCATGCATAACATACATAAACACTATAGAAAATATTATATACTAATTTAAAGTCAATGTTAATAATTTGGAAACTCATATGAATCGTATTATCTAAATATAAAAATAGAAGAATTTTGATATGTAACTACTGTTAGTATGTGGTATAAGATTCATTATTGAATTTCTCCCAATAACTCGAGTTATTGGGATTATGAAATGATTCTTAACATAATATCATATCCTTATGTAATTGGAAGGTCTACTATTCCAATGCTGACGACCCATTTATTAAGCTCATGGTATCCGGACGTGTGCAAACTTGAAGCACTTGTGACTGACTCTTATTTGATGAAGTGTGTTAGTGTGTGATATAATATTCATTATTGAACCTCTGCCAACAACTTAAATTGTTGAAACCAATTGATTCTTCGACCAAATTATGGTTGACATATTGATAATGCATAACAATAAAATTAGCCAACAATTATAAAAAGATAGTTTTGTTTTTAGCCCTACAAAACAAAGCAAAAAAGTTGATGGTTTATTTTTTATGAAAAAAGGAAAAAGTTATACAGAGCCTCGGGGACTTGGAAGTTGGAACAGAGTCTTGGATGGGTCGAAAATCGGCTCTTCATCAATTTCATTCGAATGTTTCTGTTCAGTCAAAGTTATATTACGAAAAAGGGAGATGTCAATTTATACAGAGCCGAAAAAGGGAGATGGTTTCATAGGATCCATCATTCCATTCCATCTAATTGTTCCATCTCACTTCATGCACAATGGTTCATCTCACTCCACTTAATATTGTTTGAGTTTGATGTTTCTGTTCATTTTTGTCATCTCATTATTGACTTATAGTTGTCTTATTATGGGCGTTAAATTGATGTTGACTACTGCTTCACAGCACCTGCCACCTAGCACCGGAAGACCAATTGGCGTGTGACTTGTAATTGCAGCTCCTCCGCTACGGGTTGGTTGCAGAGTATGAAGGACCAGTCTTCGTTCTTCAGGGGCGGGGAATGAGGCACGTTAGAGGCTATAAATCACCACCGGCGATCCAAATAGCACAGATATTAGGTGATCTTACATGGAGAATGGTGACTCAGCCAGGGAAGATGGTGCCGTCGTCGAAGAGTAGTAGCGTCAGTACGCTGAAGCTCGAAGATGACACGCCGGTGGTGAAGCTGCAGCGACGGGAGATTGGGCCCAATCTCCGGCCCTCCAGGCTCCAAGTTTGGCCCGGTGGTTTGTCTTTTACCTCCAGCGGAAGGAACCAAACGTGAAACGCAGCATTATAAAATATAAATTAATAGCAATGTTGTCAGAACCGAACCGGAGCATGACCCGGTAATGCGAAGGGTTCGCACTTTAGTGGTCCAATCGGCATTAGACCGTTTAAAAACCGTTAGAGAACTGGTACCTAATAAACGTTATCAGTATAAATAATGGACATTTTTTAATCAGAGCTCGTCTCTTTACTTCGAAATTGTGAAATGG